CTATATAGCTCCAGTATTGATGCCTCAGAGCTAGATGATAGCCCAAAAGATTTGCTTTCACAAGCAAACCATGGTACTTGTATATGAGCCTTATTGAAAATTATTTCAGGAGGAAAATCCAACACAACGGAGAGAAAGGGGGATAAGAAAGAAAGAGGGGAAAATAACTGAGGGGAGAAAGAGTGCATGAAAAGAGAAAATAAAACAAAACAAAAAAAATAAACACGGAAGATATCTATAACTCCTAGTAATCTGCTTCCAAACCTGTATGAGACGAGAGGGACCAAAACCAGAGAAAATCAAAAAAACCTTCTAGATTTAATTAGGCCATTAACATCTGGACAACTCAAAAGTTTGATATTCTATTTCTTATATAGCGTTCCATTATATTTAAATTCAGTGATTTCATATGTATTGCTTTTGATTACTCAATGCAAAAAGTGCTGAAAATGAGTTAATCATAAGCTATACAGCAGAGCCTAATATTCAAGTACTTTTATTAGCTTACACAAAAATGTCCAAACTTCAATAACGTTCTGGATAGCACTTTGTAGGAGATGCCTCAATTTGATGATCAGTGGTGAATTAAGATCTTCTTACATCTCTTCTAAACACAGTATTTATACATGGTCATGTAGCTTAGAAATGTTTAATGGCCGTTCTAAAATAAAAATGGCGTGTTTGAAGGGCTCTGTTTCTTTATGTTTTTATGTGCAATTGGCTGACGTCCAAAGTACCTGAGTGCCACGCAGCAATAGAATATGATGGCTTTGAGGGATCTTTCAAAAGCAGCTTAATGGCTGATCCTGTCTTTTGGCACACACACAAACACAGAATGTCATTTTAAATGGAAACATTGCCCGCTCTATGGTAGAATGTCAATACTATAATCTGATTGGTCTAGTTGATGGATAGGTGGTTTGGTTGACCTATCACAGTTAACTTAATTATTTCTCCCACATACTCACCTTTCAGTCCTTCTGTCTGCCTTCTTTTCCCTCTCTGTCTCTTTTAGTCTGTCTCTCTTCCTTTTACCAGATTCTCTCACTCTCTTTCAGTCTCTGATCTTTTATCTCCCATTTCATCCCTTTCACTTACCAAATTATTAGTGCCCCTTCTGGATTTCCCCCTTTATGGGTCTGTATGAATGGAATGAAAGGAGAAGGGGAAGCGTGCGTTTGTGTCCATCAGGCTAAGCTGTTCCTACCAGATGTTTTTCTTTGTTTTATTCTTCTGAGCGCCACGCTGTCTGCCTGTCACCAGCAGATACAAGGCCTGGGTGTTTGTATCCATGTGCATTCAAAAAGAGGGAGTGTTATGGAGAGCGTTGGTGACAAGGGAGGATATGTGTTTGTGTGTCTTTGTGAGATTAATTCCTTCCACACCAGCATACTATGTGGTGGAGGGTCATCAGAAAATATGATGGCTATCAAAAGATCTAATGTGAGCGATTGTGAAATAGACAAACAAAAGAAGCCTTGGGATTAAAGTAAAATCTTTCATTTATACCTTTAAATTTTCAATAAAAATATGATCAGGATTAAGATTAAAACATTTTATTTTATGTGCCAAGTGCAAACATCGGAAGCACCTGAGTTCTTTAGTGTGTTAACTAGTGCTTCTGAAAAAGAAAAGAAACAAAAAAGAAGCAAATTATATGATCAGGAGCTGTGTTATGCACAGGTCGAAATCCTTCAACATTAATTAATTCACTTTTTGTCTGTTGTTCATAATCTCATTTAGCAGTCAACACAAGGCCACTTTGAGTCGGTCCCAAAGCTGCTGTGATAGAGTCATTCTCCATGCTCCAGCAGCTTTGTTTGTTTTCTCTGGAGTTGCTTTAGATTCAGATCAGCCCCAACAACCGATCTCAGTCAACCTTTTGTATACAAATCCATCTTCAACATTGACTTTAAGTTAAGGCTGCTGATTTATTTGTTGGCTTTAATTATTAGCCATGATCCTAAAATAACCATCATAACCAATTTAGCAACTTACCTATTAGATTTTGTTTGCCCATTTAAGTACATGAACAGCCTTTTTTTAGATTTAGGAAAATAACTTCTAATGATGTGTACAGTGGATTAGTTTAACATGAAAGTAATATTGTTCATATTTACTCTTGTTTTAGTACCATACCATACCATACCAACTTTATTTATGAAGCACTTTATACACCGAACAGGACCAAAGTGCTGTACACAATCATAAAATACAATAAAATTATAAAATAGAGAAAAAACGAGTGTAAAATACATATTAGTATACAAAAAGAATAAAACAAAGTAAAACCTCTCAAATTGTGCCAAAAGCCAAGGAAAAAAGATGAGTCTTAAGAAGGGACTTAAAAACAGCAAGAGAAGAGGCCTGTCTTATGCTCAGAGGCAGATCATTCCACAGCTTAGGAGCTGCCACAGAAAAAGCACGGTCTCCTCTGAGCTTGCATTTTGTCTTTGGGACCCTCAGAAGCAACTGATCAGCTGACCTGAGGGAACGGGAGGGTGTATAAGAATGTAACAGCTCAGACAGATAAGAAGGAGCAAGGCCATTAAGAGTTTTAAAAACAAATAGTACTTAAGTACTCTTAGTACTTAAGACTCTATAGATGATTGGATGGGAATAAATTCAGTGTCCTGGTTTGTACCACATTAGGAGTTTGCTCGGCATAATTATCTAGACAGGTGTAGGTAACACAATCATTGTGTTAGTAGGAGATCATAAAGGTCCAGCAACAAGTCCACCTTAAACCAAATTAAAGACTCACTGAGTAAGAAAAATCTTTTGTCCAGAAAAAAAAGGACAAATTGAAGCCTGATGGTTGTAGTAAAAGGACAAATTAAAGCCTGATGGTTGATGAAATAACTAGAGTGAATATATGGGAAACTTTCAACAAATGGACGGAGCAGAGTTCTGCTCTGGTAATGAAGATAACTTAAATACCAAAAAGCTCTTCTCAAAATAACTGCTATATTTATAACTTTATCCCTTAAAAAGATAATATGCCTCTAAACAAAAAACCTTAGAAGTTGCCATGGCAGAAGATTTTCTTTTTCCTCTCCTTCCATGTGTGCACAATACTAGTGTCATTTAACTTGTCATCAGAGTTGGCTAACTTCTGCAAAACTCTTGAGTGTGAGCTATGCTCCTTTTAAAGAATTAACATTGACTGGATCTTTAGAATTTGGAGAAAATTCATCACCAAGCTCACTTTTTACCTTGTAGGTTAGACAAACCGATTTAATCATCAGTTATTCAATAGAAAGTTCAATCCAGGACGTTCCAAGGACGTGTCATTTTTATAATAACATGAATGAAATGGTAAATTACCTGTATTTTTATAGCATTTTTTTCAAGTCAGGAGAATTGACCAAAGTGCTTTCTGCTACACTCAGTGATTCACCCATTTACACTCACACTGATGGTGGCAAGCTACATTGTAGCCAAAGCTGCCCTGGGGCTCACTGACAGAGGCCACTACAATCAGTAGGAGCCAGGGCTTGAACCAACAACCCTCAGATTGAAGGGCATACTCCTGCACCCGGAGCCACTGTCGCCCTGCAACTACAAGGATAATATCTGCTGACTGAATTTCTTGTGGAGGTTGAAATATAATTTTTTTGGCTTCTGTGAAGATACAACCAAGCGTTTGTGGTATACCATAGTGCAGCTACCTGTAGCTTTCAAAGGAGCATAGATAACTAGCCTTTATAATTTTGTGCCATGAAAACCTAGACTTTCTAATCAGTTTTTTTCTTTTAACAACTTTGCTAGTTTTGAAAAATAATGCTTTAAGTTACGCTTAGTGTTACGCTTTTTTTTTCATACTGCTTTTGCAGCGAATGATATTTCGCTATTAATTCTATTCCTCAGAGTCTGTTTGTATAAGAAATGTGTAATTGTTGTTCAGACATCACAACTGAAATACAAAAACAGGGCTATATTCGTATGAAAGTATCCCAATATAACACCTACTGTATATTTCAGCTACTTTGTTTTTCTTTTCTTTTTTTGGAGAAGCTCGGTCCCTCCAGGTTCAGGTCTGGCTAGTCTTTCCCAGGGGATAAGGTTTTAGCCTTTAGGGATGTGGCTGGCCCTCTTTCCTAAACCTCTGGCCTTGTGCGCATTTGTGTCCATGGGAAAAGAGTGGGATTAACAGAGAGGGATCAGGGGCTGAGACGAATGAGCAGATTGAAAGATGTAGCCAAATATGTTTGATCATCTGACATAACTAGATATAGTGCATTCAGGTTTTAGTCTTCCAGCTCAGAACAGCTATAAAAGAGATCTGACAGATAATTACGTGGATGATGAATTGTTTACAATTTATCTAAATAATCAAAAAAGTCTTATGATCCTACGCTCAGAGAGCCATATGAGGACATTTCTCAGGACCTCGGGCATGAGGTCGACACTGTGACAACAATCTCTGAGGGAATGCTTTGGTAGGAACACTGCTTCTGAATGTCTACGTGTGTGTGTGTGTTCATATGTGCATCAGACGACGGCCATGAGGGACCGGAAGGTGGCTGCTCTGATAAAACAATCAAAACGTTTTGATTGTGTAGACCACAAGTTACACAAATACATGTTAACACAAAAAAATAATCAAAGACACACACATTACACATCCATGCAGACAACCAGGAGCTAGATGCAAGATGCATCTTGTGCAGGACTTAGAGGAACAATAAAGATATTGACCAGTTCTCTTGATTCTACATTTTACCACAATGTAATAAAATGTTGACATGGAAAAACAAAGCTAGCAATTGGGCATACAGTATATTTTAGGATAGCTAGGGTACTACAATGAAGGGAACTACTCAGATTTGAGTGTTTAGGATTTCCTCACTCGAGGAGAGAAATTATTCCTGTAAGAGAGCAGTGATACCTTTAGCAAACTTATTTCCTCTCATTTACTGTTTTCTCATATTCTGTTATCTCCTGCAAAGCTGCTGCTCTGATAAATCAGTGGACCTTGCCTTTTTCTGTGTCCGCAGGAGCGTGTGGAGTACCTGTTCCTAATCATTTTTACGGTGGAGGCGTTTCTCAAGGTAATAGCTTACGGCCTGCTCTTCCATCCCAACGCCTACCTGAGGAACGGCTGGAATCTGCTCGACTTCATCATTGTAGTAGTAGGGTAAGTGCAGAGAATGGTTGAAAAAAAAACAAAACAAAGGTTTATAAGGTGCAGCAGGTTCTGGGTTAGAGTGACTTGCAAATCAGAGCAGTTTCTATATTAAACAAAACACCAATGTTCTGCTCTGACTTTAATTATAAATTTAAAAAACAAAATAGTCTTAGAGTAGCTTTACTACAGAATGCATAGAGACTTCTAAAAGCATTCATCCCTTGAACCTTTTTAATTTTGTCACTCTGAAGCTTAAAACTTCCATAATTTTTGCTAGAATTGAAATTACTGAAAGGTTTGTATATATATATATATATATATATATATATATATATATATATATATATATATATATATATATATATAATTTTTTTTACAATTAATATTAGAAACTGGTTTACCTACGTTTCTGCGTCGTTTATTCTGATACAACAAATAAACCCCAATTTGGTTTAGTAGTCAAATGCTCCGTTAATGTAAATTATGTCAGTCACAAATGATCTCAATAAAATATGTTGAAGTTTAGTATTATGACTAGCACTATGCAATAAAGTTGAACATGCATAAAAAACTCATTCAATGTTTAGTTGTATTTTTGGCAATGATTTATCACAAAATAATGTACTTTTTTACATTCTAAAAAATTTGATTTCATTACTTCCACTTCTTACAGAGGCTAAATCAATGTTGCCATTATATTTGTTACTTTTATCAATCTCTATTGTGGGTCATTCAACTTATCATTGACAGTTTAGATGATATTATCACCCTTTAAAGTGTACGCTGTTCAAACCTTTTTAAATAAGCAGCATTCTTTGTATGCAATAAGTCACATCATAGCTCTAGTCTTTTCTTTTTTTTCTATTCAGATATTTAATATTATTATATGCATAAGTGTCCAAATTCAAACCAAGAAGGTAAAGTGTAGGGTAAAAGTGTGGGTTTTAAGGCCTTTGGCTTTTTATATGTGTAAAAGAAATGACTTCCAACCTTAATTAATATTTGTTTTAAAGAAACTATGATTCCAATATTGGTCAGCATAATTCTGAATAGAATTTTCTCCATAATTAAGCTACTGTTGTAACAAAAATCTAAAAGCTAAGATTTTTTTTTTCCCACATTATAAAAATCATTCTAGTATGTTTTTTGTTTGGTAAAGTAAGATTTGTGTGGCTCATTTTGAATGCAGATGAAAGACCAGTACTCAACTTTGGCCTGCAGAGAACTGCTGCAGCTTAAACTGATTAGCTTGTGAGTTGCTGATAGCAAAGCTCTGCTCTGTTTTTTTCCTTTATCTGAAACTCGGCAACAAAGACTATCTGCTAAACCCTCTGCTTCTTTTGTGCATCTGTGTGGGACTTTACGCCAGCTGAGCCAAGCGCATAGTTTTTTCCCGTGCATTACAACCAGTGGACCTGACAGATACATTAAAGCCATAAAAGCGGTCTAATTGAGGGTATACATGTGTGCAAGTGTGTGGGTGTGTTTGTAAGTGGGAGATAGGCAGTGAGGAAGCGGCCTGTGACCTGAGGGGAGGCTTCAACAACACAGATACAAACACTCTAAACCAGTCTTCTTCATTGCCAGTCAACTGTTCCCTCACATTAGGCTTCACTTACTTAACACATTTTGCTCCAGCTCATAAAAACACACACATGCAAAGAACATGGTCCCAGTGCCGCAGGCATAAACACAACCTTTAGCATTTCAGCTATCAACTCTCCTTGCCTGTCCCTCTCGTAGCATATTACCTCTATATTTTTAGGATTTTACTGTAATGCAGTATTTGTTTATATTGCAGTGAGATGTTAAATGTCTCAGTAAATGGTGATTTCGGCAGCTAAAGGGCGCAGTGGGTAGCAGATTTACTGCTCCAAGAATCCTTGCAGCAAGAAGATCGTGGGTTTGATTCCCGGCCCAGGGTCTTTTTGCATGGAGTTTGCATGTTCTCCCTGAGCATGCATGGGTCCCTCCGGGTACTCCGGCTTCCTCCCAAAGTCCAAAAATATGACTGTTAGGTTAGATGGCTTCTCTAAATTCTCCTTAGGTATGAATGTGTCCTGTTTGTCTCTTTGTTGCCCTGCGATGGACTGGTGAACTGTCCAGGGTGTACCCCGCCTCTTGCCCATAGACAGCTGGAGATAGGCACCAGCACCCATCGCAACCCCACTTGGGATTAAGTGTGCCAGAAAAAAAATGGATAAATGGTGATTTCCTTGCAACATGGAGCAAATGTGGGCTCCACCTTGAAATTCAGCTGGGACATAGTCAAATTCAGGGACATATAAAAGCTACTAATTTGCTATTTTAGACCGTTTAGCCCATGTATTACTCAGGTTCTTTAAGGTTATGTTTCCTTTAAAGGGGCAGAGTCATATATTATGCCTATTAGATTTAATAAATCTACACACACACCAAGCATTTCTCGTTGTAGTGTTTTAGTCCTTTTTGAGCCTTAAAATCTTTTTGATCAGCAGACATCTATATGGCTGTGTGCCCTCTGCTGGCAGCACTTAATCACGCATCCATCAAAAAAGCAGCAGAATCTGAATGTTTCCTCAGGTTTAGCTCTCGATTCGGCGAACACCAACGTTCATATTGTATTCTGAGTGCTACCCATGTCTCGTCACTCTTTACACCAAATTATTTTATGTGCATGTTTAACACTTTAAATTTTCCATATTCATTTTTACATTTATGCTGGAAGTTGTTGTTCACAGTATCCTACCTCTGGTCACGTTTTGTTTTGGTTGATATAGACCAAAGTCTAAGCTTACTAAACAATATAGAAAAAATAAGTGGCAAAATGCTGAAATTAAACATATAATAAGCCAACAGGGCAAGATAATTTCTTTGGAAAGTGAAATTAAGTTTGCAAAAAAAATCTCAAAAAGCTACACATCCTTCTTCTGATCTGTAAAACCTATGGGGTGTTTACACCGAATGTGTTTTGGGCATCAAAAAATGCTTAAACTCTGAAATTGGGACACTGGATCAAACTGTCTGGATGCTCGGCTCTCTGGTTGTTTATCTATTTACCTCTGTTCTGTAGGTTAAGGCTAGACAGTAGCTTGGCTTTATTTACATTTATGAATTGGAAAAATTGTTTCAGCACGTTTTTAAGCAAAAAAATCCCCTCTAAAACATCATCTGTGCAGTCAGTTCATCAGGATTATGATTCTTCTAAAATATAGTTCTTGTTCGTAGCTGCAGAACTCCGGGATACCGTTGAAAAGCTCTCTGCTGAATCCGGTTTGTGGGGGATTTCCTGCTGGTTCATAGCGGGACGAAGTGAATATAAAGAGTATTTAAGGTTTGTGGTACAAACTCCAAGTACCAGAATATACAATTGAAGATTTTTTTTGACAAGTTTTCACATTTTTAGTTAATTTGGGTATTTATTAACTGTTTTACCATAGTTCATAATTAAAGGCTTTGGCAGCGATAATGAAAAGTTTGTTCTCTTTTCCTTGTAGCATACATAACAAATCATTCTCACGGCTTTATTTTATTTATTATTATTACAGTTTAACCCCTTGACGTTTATTTATTTTTCATATACAGAATGCTTGTCGAACGATAAAAGCTTGTCTGTCTGTGTCTGTCTCCTCCCCAAAAAATCTCCTGGAACAGCTTTTCTTTTTGGTTGATGCTCCGGTGTCCAGTGGCAAAAGTTCAATGTTCTGAACTTCAGCATCAAAGGCTTGGATGCTCGGACGCCAGAATGCTTGGATGCACCGCTATCTATGCTCAGACCTGTCGCCTCTTGATGCCATTCCCTATAGAGTTTACATTTATATCGGACGTGTCAACACCCAAAACGCATTTGATGTGAACGCATCATTAAAGATCGATAAGGAAGATAAGAAAAAAAGTCAATGACATTTAACATTTATGAATAAAGGTATTCTACAGTGATCACCACTAAAGGTTATTTAAATCATGCATTCCTAATCAGTTTGGGGAAAAAAAGTCTGTTTTTTGGTAAATCTCATATGTTTAATTTGATGCACTCCTGACCATCACATTTAGAGAGAACACCATTGGTCTGGCTGTGTAATCAAGATCATTTTGAGATCAGATCATAAGATGCTGAAAGAAGTCTGTAAAAACAAGCATTCCTATTGTAAAAACAGCATGTTTCTGCTACAGTTATTAGCAAATTATAGTCTTTCAATCACAAAGAGACTAGTTTAACATTAAAAAGATGCGCAAGGACAGCACATTTAAGACAAACATCAAGGCCAGAGTTAAGTATGAGGCAACATGACAAACACCAGGGTATAAATGTTTTTTTTTTTTTTTTTTTCAACAAATGATACTACTAATGAATTGTGTGATTACCAGAACAGGGGAAATATTTGGTATAAACCAGATAAAAAGATCTCAAAACCATGAAACATAGAGGTGGATGTGTCATAGTGTGGAGATAGGCTATCTGAGGATCTTAACTGTTGACCCATCCAGATTCTATCATGCATTCTACAGAAGCTTAAAAAGATGTAGCAAAATGTTTAATCAGAAGCAGGAAATAGACCTTGCATCAAGACCGTAACCCAAAACATAACAGTTGATTCATATTGGACAGGCTAAGCATAACAAAAATGCTCTGAACAGAATCAAAACTAAGGTCTGATTGTCATTGAGAGTCTGTGTGGTCAAATGGAAATCTCAAAGCTGATGGTAGAAAAAGGGGCTCATTTGCCACAGACCAACGTCTGGATATCAAAGCTGCCTCCAAAAAGCTCAATTGGAGTTATTTTAGCCCAAAGAGCATAATACTTGTTGAGAAAGTCACTTTTTAATACAGTTTTGCAGATATATTTTGTTTGATTAAAGAAAATAAGCATTTTTCTGGAATTTAAAAGTTATTTAAAAACAACAACTATGAAAAACAAAAATGGTTAAGATATCAATACTTCTAAAAAGATAATTCAGAATTTAACGATGTGCCTTAATTTTATTTTTTGTGACTAAATGTCATTAAGATATTGTCACAAAAATATCCTAAAATGTTCTAATGGAAAACCACTTGAACCAAATTGTTGTGAAAAACAGACAAGTAGATACACTCAGTGTAGAAATGTTCAGCTGTGACAGCACTGCCTCCTTTTACGTGCATGGCTAAGCGCTCATCCTCCTGTATGTGCATGTTTAACTGCCAGTGTGTGCCTCTACATGTGTGTTGGTGTGTGCGGGTACAGATGAGAAGCGACAAGAGTTCACTCCCTCTGGAATATTCACCATATGGGTGAAAGAGCTTGTACCTGGTGCATAGCAGCCTGGGGACTCGGGCACCAGCTAACACAAGCATGCACACACATGCACGACACGCAGATGCTACAGGCCACATTGCTGCTGACACATACCTATGAGGTGATTAGTGAAGGTTCGTGTAAGTGTGTGTAAATGAACAGGTAGTCTGACTTTTTACTTCAGGACATGCCTTTCATGAGCTGCCGTATTTTTTCCTTCTTATTTTGAGAAGGTTTATGCTTTCTCATAAATGAGTTGACCTTTTAAAACATTACAACTACCTGCAGGTAAACTGTGTTACACTACTTGGGCTGGCAGAAAGCACTTTCTGTTTGGAAAATATGTATTGTACTACAATTGTTTGTTTTTTATGTTTCCGGCTTCATTCTCAAATCATGTTGTGGAATAATAATCTAATAGTTAATTTGAAACTTCTTTAGATATAAGACAACATAATAATGAGCTAATGTTGCTATTAAAGCAAGCTATACTACTAAGCAAGCAGTGCCACAGGCTGATTACCTTCACATCGATCTGTATTGATGCAATAATGAGAAAACAGGGTGGAATACATCGGCTGTACAGTTCAAGGAAACACTTCATATGACTCATATGACCAAAAAAAAAAAAAAAGAAAAATTAAACTATCTTGAAAAAAGTTCACTCTAGGGAACTGGACATGATGGTTTTTAGAAAACCTTGTATCTCCCATCCAAGAGGCTTCTTCAAATATAACTAGTGGTGGGGAGCACTGACATTTATATAGTGTAGGTCTAATAAAGAATTAGAAAAGGTGGAAAAGGGGGACAGGAACCACTTGGAAACGGGGGGGGGGGTGGGGGGACAAAAGGTGGCTTTGATCCCTCCCACTGAATTGGCCAAAGAGGACACATGAGGGGTGTTAACGGTCGTTAGGGGGTCCTGATGGGTAGTAAACTGCCTCGTCAGAGTGGTTTCGGTCACATCCCTCATCTGAGTGTGGGTTCCTAAAAGTGCTCCAGGTCAAGCTCGAGTGTGACTTGGATGACTGAGAATCTTCACATAAAATGAAGCTAAAACTATTAAACTTTAGGGGTCTAATTAATGCCGATGCATCTGTATGACTTGGTTCAGTTCTGTTTTGCACAAATTGATACAGATTATTTGATCTCCCTTCCATGTTTGCAAATTGCTAAAAAAAAAAACAGTTATCAAAAGAATAAAGTATGCATACTAATATTCTGCAAGATAAATATATACTTTTGAAATAGGACGCAGAGTCTCATAATTGATCCCAGAGTTTCATATTACAAACTTTCATTTTGATAAGAGAAAATGTTAATCTGTTGTTCAAAGGGTAAATAATTAAATGGTTTGCTAACCTAGGTGAGATTATTTTTAATGCTACAGATTATTCAACATTTTACTTCCTCATAGTGTTTAATTTTTAATCAGCATCGTATCTCACTAGCTGTCTATGAATGTACAGAGCTGATCTGATGTTTGGTTGTGGATGCATACAGGCCTTTAAGTGCTGCTACACAAACACTAATTAATTATTAAATGAAATGCTGGTGGTGTTAACTTGTTGATCCCAGACGTGCTTGTCAGACCCAGAAAAAAAAAAGCTGTGCTTCTCAACCAGACATAGAGTTAATCAAATAGAGAGGCTGAGAGAGAAAAGTGGAGAGGGCGACATGTTTTGAGAGGCCCTTTCAAGTGGCCATTTCATCTCTGCTAATTGTTAATTCTCCATGACTTCCACACTAGTGACTGGCCTTTGAGCTGAGCTAGCTACTGTTTTCTAAAGGCTGTTAGAAGCAGAATTAGGGGAAAAGAAAAGACTGGGAATGGTATGCGCTCATCCTAATGCATGTACGTTAATTTAAGCTCATCATTCATTAGGACTAAGGAGACATCGCTAAATCTAAACAACATGGATAATAGTTGCTAAAAGATTAAAGGACAACAGCTACTTATTGGAAATTATATCTGTGCTTTTAAGATTACTAAGGTTGCAGTATATGCATTATGTCTGGACACCTACAGTAAAGAACAAACACTGATGTTTTTCCTTTTCTGTAAAAAGACTTAGCTTGTCAAAAGTACAGCAGTCATTAACTTCTTAATCTGGCTTCAAAAGGTTGTTTCTTCTCATTTCACTTAAACTTATAGCTCTTCCATTATATAATAATGTAGGCTACACATGCTATAGTATGATTCATAAAATTATGTATGTTGCTATATTTCAGAGTACTGTCAGAAATCATTAGTGGTTTTTATTCTATTTTTCATTAAAAAAATGATTCATTTTAAAAAATTATGTTTGTACACCCTTAGTGTATCCTTAATGCTGAAAATAGTTTAATGATCTGAAAGGTTTAATTGGGACAAACGCAAAAACAGATGTTGGGGTAGACGCATTTTCACAGCGGTGTAATTATGTATATTAATATAAATTTTATCACTGTATAATAGCAAGGAATTAAAAAGGATTCTCAGATAAAAGTCATTAATTCGGAATTATAATATTTGGATTTGATATTTTCAAGGGAAAATAAAACATCTAATTTATTAGATGTATTATTTTTTATCTATAAAACACCTTTTACAGATAAAAGTAACACAATGCTTCAGACAACTTTACAGCACAGCACATTTTAAAACATGATATTAAAGGCAACATATTTTTAAAATAAATTATACTAAAAAAATGATTTATTCCTATTAAGGTGCACACATAATATAAACACATACAAAAGGATTCTACCATTAAAATAAAAAAATAAAATAAAAAAGATTTCCAGTAAACATACTTTACTTTGGTGTCCAGCTTAATGGCCAACCGTTATGCACATTTTGATAGCAGTAATTGGCCAATTATTTCACATTAAAAATTATGACCCCAAGCCTGTGTTCTTCTTTAACACATTTGGATATGTTAATATTTAAATTCATTTTCAAGGAAACAAAATGAGATTCAAGTTATATGACCAAGAAATAAAACTGACGCTTGAGAATAATGGTGAGTAATAAATGAGGACATCCCCACATTTATTACCTCTTAAGAGAACCAATTCATGTGCAAACACAACAGCCAAATATATATATATACACACATAAATACAGGAGCAAGCAAAAGCCCCAGCTTATTAAAGCATAGAGTAGGTAGTGTCATGGATGGGGATGCCGTTCTGCAGCAAGACCTGCTAAAACTCACCATGAAGTAAGCCATTATATATAAATTATATATAAATTCCACCTTGTTTCAGTCAAACATGAAACCAGCAATAAAACAGAAAAATATATAAATGGTGCTAAAGCAAATACTGCACCTAAAACGTACCAGTCAATCCATCAAAAACTGTTAGGTCATGATTTATGAAGTCACTGAGGTACAAGACAATACTTAAATGTCTGACAATGGGAAGCCGACAATGTGTTAAATCTTCCACCCACTGATATAGGAAGTTGGTAGAGGACTACAAAAGAATCACAAATGCCATAACACTAACAGGGGGTTAAATCCTAACTTTTACCAGGGTTGTATCAAGAAATTTCCAGAGATAAAAAAAACAGAAATGTTCAGATCAAAGTTCTTCTTTTGGTACATTACACATTTCTAAAACACACTTAAAATTTAAGCAGGCTGATAGTTAAAAAAACGATCAGATGACTGAGAAGTCTTCAGTTCAAGTCTCCAGTTATCTTTCTTCCTGTTTAAGTAGCCAATGTGCTTCCCAAGAAAGTTTCCTTCTAAATAGCTTTTTACAAATGTTTGCCTTATCAGATTTTATTTTTCACATACCTAGTAACAGGCTTCACACCAAAGAGTGTTGCTCTAAAAGTAACAAGAATTGGCTAGCCTGTTCTATGGTGCATTAACTCAGTGAAAGAAAAAAATAAAGACTGATCTCTGAGTTTTAGGTCCCTCTGTTTTTATTATAGATAATAATATGAAGGAACACCCACTAAGTGAGCAGGTCTAAATTCTTCTGTTTCTATCTTTGCAAATTCCTTTCAGAAAGGCAGGCTAAAGCACAGCTGTAGGGTGGTCGGAGGATGAGAGGTTTAATTTCCCACCCTTCTGTGTGTCAATGTGTGTTTAGGGAAGAGATGTTGGCACTGATCTGCTTATCAGTGTATGAGTAAGAATACAAAGTAAAATACTGTATAGAGAACTACATGTGTCATTAGGTGATTAAAGAGATGTTTCTCACTTAAAACAAAATATTGTTTTAAATCAAGAAATAGTCACATCCAAAATGGAAAATAATGTAAATCACAAGAAGTGGGGTTATTTTGTGCTATTTATATCACCTCATTTTTTGGATGTGTTTATAAATTTAAGATTGTCATTGTATGTAATGCATTTACTGCTCTGTCCCACAGGTTATTCAGTGCGATTTTGGAGCAGGCCACAAAGGGAGATGGGGCCACTCCGATCGGAGGGAAGGCGGCAGGCTTTGATGTCAAAGCTCTGCGAGCATTCAGAGTTCTAAGACCGCTACGACTGGTCTCTGGAGTACCCAGTAAGTACTGTAAAACATGGGTACTATAAAGAAGGATGAGGCGATCTGCAGTGAAAAGTTATTGGGTGAGGTGGTGGGGAAATAAACCTCAGAGTATGGTTGACATTGGCACTTGATGCACCACACTAGACACTGATTTTTCCCATCTCAAAAATATAGACATTCTGGGCAACAGAAGACTTGGCTGTCCGCCTATCTATTGGACTACAGCAATCGATAATCTAGAAGGTTATGGGACACAAAAGGAATGGAAACTCAGATTAAAAAGGGTACAAGAGTACAACTTTTTATTTTTGTATACAGCCAGACTTCTGTCCTCTGTAGACAAGTCTGCTCTGTTCAGTGCTTTTAGATCAAACTATTTGCTAACTAACCATCATGATCAATGCTTTACAAACATGCTTTGAAGTTTTCTACTTATAACACAAAACAAGTGGGGCTGAACTAAAATAAAAGAGCTTGCTCAGAGTATTTAGTAAGAAAGGTTCTATGTTTTAATATCTTAATAAAATGTGTTATGAGAATCAAAAAGTTCCAGAACTGACTATATGTGGATCCCTGATGTCAGTTCTGCTGTTCAAAAAAGCGTTATGTAATTACATGACAATATTCACTGAAACACAAATGTAAGATTGATTGGAAGGAGAAGCTTGTTTGAAAGCAAACAGAGATAGTAATTTATCATTACTTTCTGTAAAGATATGATTATGTTTTAAAGATAGGAAGCTGTTTGTTAGAGCTACTTACAAAGCCTGCAGTGAGTGTCTGCAAAATGTGGAATAAGAACAAATGAAAGAGTAATTGTTTATGTGATGTGCTGTGTATTAAATAAGGATAGTGAGGTTTATTTTTTGTAATGCAGGAGATTTTTTGCTTCATGACTATACATCCAACAATTTAAATCATTTGTACAATGTAAAACTAAGCTTCCAACTAAGCTACACATTTTTTAAAAGAGTTCAAAATCAAGGACACTGAGCTTTATTTAAGCCTGTTTTATTAATTGCAGCACCAGTTTATGTGCTTTCTTGGTATATTTCCTACCTCCTCCGGACAAGACTCTGCTGTCCACCTATACCTTAAGGACAAAGGACAGTTGTTTGAGGATATGTTCACATTTTGGACAAAGAAGAGAGGTGGTTTGAAAGGGGTGCGAAGGAAGCCATTTATGTTGTGTTAATAAGAAAAACCAACCCTAAACAGAGGGGGGTGGTCTTAGGTTACAGCTCCTTTAAAACAACCTACAAGGTAGCGATAGAGTTGATTCCTTCCCGCTATTTTTTCTATCCTCGTCGTCATGCAGGGAACCAAAATATCTTGCCCAATCAGCCAGGCCGACAATGACCAAACGACTCCTTTTTCAGAGACATAGGCCAGTATCAGGTTTTATAAGCCAAACAACGACCTCAATGACTCCCCATTCCTAAGAGGTGGACCCGTTTTTTCAGTTCTATTTTAAAGGTTTTCCAAGCCATAATAAGGCTTTTGTTTGGGCTACTCTATAAGCCTTGAACTTAAAACTCTGCTCCAGACATTTTGAATTGAGAAAGTTTGCTGGATGAGAAGTGAAATGTCTTCATACTTGGAAAACAAAGTCCAGTGGTTTGTTTTTCAACTTTAACTTTTTTGGAATATATATTAACTTCCAACTGCAGTGGGTCCAAACATTGACAATCTAAACAAAACTTCAATCTTTAAATGAGGGAAATTGGTAAGAATGATCTGTAATTAGATGATTTATGCTCATTTACAATTCTATCCCATGGAAAAAGTGCCAACTCCTAAACATTATACTGGAGTACCACTCACATCCTTTCACTCAAAAACATGCAACAAAATTAAATGCTGATTGGCAGACAGCTTGAAGTCAAGGGTCTTGGCCAGGGGTACACATTCATGTTGCAGGAGGACGTTAATAATGTAAAAACCACAACCTTTGGGTTGCAAGAGCACAGTAAGATGCAACTGCATCATAAACTGGAAGCTGTTTACTTAATTTACAGTTTCCTCCAGAGGCAACATGATTTTTTGGCTAAAAGTCATGTTGAAACATAAAGGAAATCAAACCAGTGATGGACATGAACATCTAGATATTCAAACTGAGAAATTATTGGAAATTGAGTTATTGAAAGTTGGTTTGAAAATGATTCTATCATTTCTGGTTAGGTGAGCGTTCATATGAGCTTCTGCCAGTGTGCTCCAGGTTGTCAGGCGGTGTGAAGGTTTTAAGAGGACCCAAAAGCAGATGCGGAAGCAGAGGTTGTTTCTTGCAGATTTAATGAAAAAAACGTAAAAACACAAAATCCAAAGTTCAGAACTGATCGACAAGGATAACTCAAGAACCAAAAAAGCTAAGAGACACGAGGGAGGAATGTGTGGATGATGAGGATCCAGGAAAGAGCGACTGAAGAGGAGGAGTATATATGAAAGACAGAAACAATGGGAGGACTAATTAACCGATAGGGAGCAGGTTTAGACAGAAATAACTAGAAGGATCTAAGAGAAAGGAGACTGGCACAAGGGGGCAACAGAGAGTAACTAAAAAATTACATATACTACTTACTATTCTGCTTACTATAATGTTTAAATATGACACAAATGGAAAAGAAACCAATGATCAAGAAAACAGAATAACAAATCAAAGCGTAACTGAGAACTTAAAAAGAAACTTAAACAGAGGTCCACAAAAGGCACCATAATGACACAGGTCAGGTGTGGTTACAGTACAGCTCAATACAATCAGAATGTGCTTGAATGGGTGAATGACTGAATGGACTTGATTTAGTGCCCCAAGTCTTAATGATCTAAGAAATGGCCTGTATTCATATAGGAAACAACCTCTAGGAAGCAATAAAAAAAAAAAAGTCATACAAATACAGAGCATCAGTGTTTTTGGTGTCTCATACAGTTTTGGAGCGGCAACATGCTCCCATGCTTGTCTCTAAAAGAACAAATCTTATATAATAGTTTTTTGTCATATATCCGCTTTCATATGTAATGTGCGACCTGATAAGAGCCATTTTCTTTATTCTGCAGGTTTACAAGTCGTGTTAAACTCCATAATCAAAGCCATGGTTCCTCTGCTCCACATTGCCCTCCTGGTCCTTTTCGTCATCATTATCTATGCCATCATCGGCCTGGAGCTCTTCATGGGCAAGATGCATAAGACCTGCGTTTACAACCACTCAGGTAGGTTTATGCACATATTAAAAGGCTGGTATTGAGCTATTCTGTGAAGATGAATGGAACACCGGCATTTAAAAGTAGATAAAACTTTATTGATCCCTGCTGGTAGCCTCCATCAGTAGTAAAAAGTAATTCATCTGCGATACATAGCGATGAGAATAAGAGTTTTAAACTTGAAAAGTTCTATGAATAATTCACAACATAATGTTTTATTTTGTAAGTATTAAGGATTTAAACATTTGTTGGAACAGGATCGTTCAAAATTTATTGAAACAACTATTTGTAAATGGATCAGAGTGTTTTTTATTGTGATGGTATTGGTCCCAGAAGAACCATTCTCCAATACAGTACATTTATTACACCTGGATAGTTTTTTCTTCCATAACTGGTTCAACAAATCTGTATTTTTTTTTCATCAGTTTATTTTTGATCTTATGGTCCACTCTGGACTTGGATATAGCGTATTTATAGCATTAAATAATTTCTAATCCTAGATCATGATAGGTTAGATAAATAGTATCTCACTGGCAACTGGAAGTAAGCCACGAGGTCTTAAAAATCAACTCATCATTAACCTATACATAGAAATGCTAAGAACAGAAAGAATTATATTATCCATCCTGCAGGAAAGGTTTAGGAGATCGCTTAACATTAGGGCCAAATACATTACCCTCTTTAAAGAAAAAAAAGAAAATTACCAAAGGTCTGTGTGTATTTATTCAAGCGTTCTTTTTTTCTGATATTTATTTATTTTGTAATTAATTCAATGTATAAAAGAGCAAAAACAAAAAATATGCAAGGGTGGAAATTGTTTTGCACAGGATGCTATACATGTATGCATGTATTAGAATGTATAATTGATTAAGTTTTTTTAGTGGGTTTATCACATGATTTTCAAACAATGTTGTTTTAATATTTTACAATTTTTTCAAAAAAATATATATGCATGGCAAACTATATTTGCCTTTTTTTCCCAGGCACAAATGCAGAGGAAAAACCAGCACCGTGTGCCCCTGATGGAGCTTATGGTCGGCACTGCATGCAGAACGGAACAAAGTGCCAAGTTGGTTGGGAGGGCCCCAATGATGGCATTACCAACTTTGACAACTTTGCCTTTGCCATGCTGACAGTGTTCCAGTGTATAACCATGGAGGGCTGGACGGACGTGCTGTACTGGGTGAGTCGTTTACCACAACTGTTCATGCTATTGGTGTCTGCAAATTTAGAACTGCACTGAGATGGAAAAATAAGCACCATTTTAGCAAAGGCATTAATATAACATAAGTATGTAGCAGAAAGGAGAAGATTCATTACACAGTGCAGTTGATCAACCTCCTGTCTGGGTTTTATGGATGCTTAAAGCCTTGATAAAGTCCACCAACAAGATTCTGGCACTCAGATAAAGTGCAGTCATAAACTGGCTGCATCATCTTACATTTAGTCTGCCCAATAAACAACTTGCTAGAAGTCCTGCTAGGAGGTTGCAATGTCCTTCAGTTTATTCAATATTCACTCAAATATTTTATGACCAGAGACAGCAGTGTGATGTTCTGTAGACATTAAGCCCCGTAATGGGGCTAATCTTGGGGACCAGTAGAGCGCTTGAATTACGGGGAACCTCGTGGCGCTAGGAGTCTTGTTGATGGGGAACAAGATGTTTGCACCACTCAGTCATTGGGGAGACATTATCAGGTCCTCTGAAGCTCAAAGAGACACTTAACTCTTCCTCAGAAATCTTAGTTTCCAACCTAAATTACAAAGTGTCAAGGCTGTTTGACACCTTGAATGGTCTGAAAAGTATTAACTTCAGAAGCAGAGAGGTTTGTTGGATCATCTGCAGAAAAGCTGTTTTTTTTTTGTTTTTTTTCCATTGTACCTTCCTTAAGTTGCCTTGATATTCTTGGTTAGTTTGTTCCTTACCAGGTTACACTAGCCCCTATTGTATGCTTCCAATGCTATTGAATGTGTGAGAGGACTTGGTCCATGAGCAGATGTCCTCAAAGAAACTTATGTAAGCAGGCACAGTGTCAACAGGATTGTTCAGTGACTGAGGCTTCAAAACCATTTCATATTGTGCATTCAAAGCAAGCTTAGCATCTGCTTTGGCTCCTTGAACAACTTCCTAACAGTTTGAAGCTTATGATTGGAAGTTTTTCATTTCTGCCTATAGGTTGATAGGAGGGGAAGCTGACTCACTATACAGGTGCTGGTCATAAAATTAGAATATCATGAAAAAGTAGTTTGATTTCAGTAATTCCATTTAAAAAGTGAAACTTGTATATTATATTCATACATTACATACAAACTCATATATTTCAGATGTTTATTTTGTTTAATTTTGATGATTACAAATGACAACAAATGAAAATCTCAAATTCATCATATCAGAAAATTAGAATATTACTGAAGACCAATAAAAACAAAGGATTTATAGAAATGTTGGCCAACTGAAAAGTATGAACATGAAAAGTATGAGCATGTACAGCACTCAGTATTTAGTTGGGCCTCCTTTAGCCTGTATTACTGCAGCAATGCGGCGTGGCATGGAGTCGATCAGTCTGTGGCACTGCTCAGGTGTTATGATAGCCCAGGTTGCTCTAATAGTGGCTTTTAGCTCTTCTGAATTGTTGGGTCTGGTGTATTGCATCTTCTTCTTCACAATACCCCATAGATTTTCTATGGGGTTAAGGTCAGGAGAGTTTGCTGGCCAATTAAGAACAGGGATACCATGGTCCTTCAACCAGGTACTGGTAGCTTTGGCACTGTGTGCAGGTGCCAAGTCCTGTTGGAAAATGAAATCTGCATCTCCAAAAAGTTGGTCAGCTGCAGGAAGCATGAAGTGCTCTAAAACTTCCTGGTATGTGGCTGCGTTGACCCTGGACCTCAGAAAACACAATGGACCAACACCAGCAGATGACATGGCACCCCAAACCATCACTGACTGTGGAAACTTTACACTGGACTTCAAGCAACGTGGATGAAGTGCCTCTCTTCTTTTCCTCCAGACTCTGGGACCTTGATTTCCAAAGGAAATGCAAAATTTACTTTCATCAGAGAACATGACTTTGGACCACTCACCAGCAGTCCAGTCCTGTTTCTCTTTAGCCCAGGCAAGACGCTTGTGACGCTGTCTGTGGTTCAAGAGTGGCTTGACACAAGGAATGCGACAGCAGAAACCCATGTCTTTCATACGTCTGTGTGTGGTGGTTCTTGAAGCACTCACTCCAGCTGCAGTCCACTCTTTGTGAATCTCCCCCACATTTTTGAATGGGTTTTGTTTCACAATCCTCTCCAGGGTGCGGTTATCTCTCTTGCTTGTACACTTTTTTCGACCACATCTTTTCCTTCCCTTCGCCTCTCTATTAATGTGCTTGGACACTGAGCTCTGTGAACAGCCAGCCTCTTTAGCGATGACCTTTTGTGTCTTGCCCTCCTTGTGCAAGGTGTCGATGGTCGTCTTTTGGACAACTGTCAAGTCAGCAGTCTTCCCCATGATTGTGTAGCCTATAGAACTAGACTGAAAGACCATTTAAAGGCTTTTGCAGGTGGTTTGAGTTAATTAGCTGATTAGAGTGTGGCACCAGGGGCCATCAATTTTGAACCTTTTCACAATATTCTAATTTTCTGATATGATGAATTTGAGATTTTCATTTGTTGTCATTTGTAATCATCAAAATTAAACAAAATAAACATCTGAAATATATGAGTTTGTATGTAATGTATGAATATAATATACAAGTTTCACTTTTTAAATGGAATTACTGAAATCAATCCACTTTTTCATGATATTCTAATTTTATGACCAGCACCTGTAAAGGCCCAAAGCAGACCCGGCTACCACAGGATATGAATCTTTTAAAGGGGCCAAGTCTTATACTATGGCATTACAAATTTCTTCCCCAGCAGCTCATTCTGGTTGCATACTTTAGAGGTCTAAGGAATAAAAACCTTTCTTAGACCAGTAGATTTGTGCCCATTCATTTATTATCCTAATGCATTTCTTTAATTGTATGTCTGAAGAAAATGATATTGCCTGCAAGGTGTAGCTTTAAAGCAAGGGACATATCAAATCTAACTTAATGTTAGAAATGACTTTATTCCAAATTGATCAATTTTCTCTAAATTCGAAAGTTAGTATGTATAGTTATGTCCATAATATGCAATACACATGTTGTGTGAGTGTGCGTGTGTGTGCTGATTGGTGTGTGTGCACATTTATGCACATGGAGCTGATAGCCTACAAGCTCTACACCCCTTCTGTTGCTTTTCTGATGGCTGCAGTCTGCAGGTGCACTAACAGAGCTTTTCAGAACAAAAAAGGACAAATGTATGCCTTATATCAGGTTGCATGTCATCTAAATTATGAAGCACTGTCTACAAAACTGTCTGTCCACAAAACTGTATATTAGAGGCCCAAAATGTAATATCCTGCTGCATTTCCCAAAAATTCATATCTTGAAAAAACAAAGAAAAAAACTAAACAAAAAACGAAAATGATTTTCTTTCTTATGGTTCAGTTTTTTTTCTTCTTTTTTTTTTTTTACTAACATAGAGGAATTAATTAACAGGATTTTTTTTTTGTTTAATAAATCTGTTATATGCTTGAAAGAATCAGAAGGTCTATACGTTATGGGTTCTTTTTATAAAAGGGTTTAGTCACATAGACCAGCTTTGCTTTTTAAACACATGATTATCTTTAGCTCCATTAATACATTAATGTCGTTTCTTTTTTCTAAACTTAACCTTTTTTAAACTAACACACTACCTTTAACTTTTACTCATTGCTCTCACATTTGTTTCTCTCTTGTTCCACGTCACCCCTTATTTCTACCCATTTAAACTTAATTTCTTTGTTCCCCCTGTTAATACTTTTGCTTCTTTCTCCCTTCTCTGCCTCTCATCTCCTTTAGATGCAGGATGCAATGGGCTATGAGCTACCATGGGTCTATTTTGTCTCTCTTGTCATCTTTGGCTCCTTTTTCGTTCTCAACCTCGTTCTGGGTGTGTTGAGCGGGTAAGAGCTTGTGCTGTTATGTGTATACGAATGTGTATTGTGTGTGCTGTGCCCGTTTATTGTTTTGATGTATGAACTAATTATGTATCAAAACTCAAAAATATCTGCAAATTTAAACAGTTAGATGTTATAATAGAAATTTGTATTACTTTCTACTGCTATTCTTAAAAAAAAGACCTTTTAGGATACCAGCATGAACCATTATTAATCATTAATAGAGCACAACTGGTGTTTTAACTAATTTTCTACAGTCTACGTCTAGTCCACTGTAAGGAAAATTATGTTATGTGACTCAAACAAATAGCATATGCCAGAAAGGCAGCCTTTTTGCTTTTTTTCAGGAGTCATAAGCTATAATATTTCAAAGAGTCAGCAAAACATACAGAGATCACAAGCCAATTAAATGTTAATAGGGTGAAAAATAAAGTATTTAATCATTTATATATAAAAATAATAAAATAAATTTTAGCTCTTTTGGCCATCTGTCCGCATAGTTAATAAAAATGTAAAGAAAACTAAACTGTTGTGCAATTTTTTAAAAATACGTAAGTAAAATATTCTATATGGATCTAGCAGATTACAATTGGAATGCTTAGCCACAAAAGATGTATAATAGAAAATAAATACAATGTAGAAATATAGGGCTACTTGAAATTCAAACTAATTCTTCGAAAGAGTTTGTGTGACGCCATTTTTATAGTGTTAGCACTGTGACATTATTGCATTTGGCCAGCTGTTAACATCTATAAACTTCAACAAGATTCACATCTTGTTGCAGCTAAATTAAAGGTCTTTTTTTACAATAAGGCGATTAAAAAAAATCATAACTAGATAAACTCTATAAATAAACTAATAAAGGCTTCTCTCAAAACAAAATACAAAAAAATTCAGAACAAGGCTGCAATGACAAAAAGCATAAAAACTAAAATCAATTAGATCTAAAACAAGTAATTTGATTATTTGTGATTCATTAATTTTTGAAATAATCATCAACTAATTTAATAATCAATTAATCCTTAACTGGAGTTAGAGACTTTAAACCATGCCTTTAGCAACACTACAGAGCAATAATTATAAAAAAAAAGAAATTGTAAAAAGAGAATGTATAAATTTTATTCTAAATAAAGAAATAATGTTTTCATCTGTCAGTATGCTTGATCCAGAAATCTTTCATTGGAAAAGTTTTAGTTTCACCTGGTTTAATTCTGTGCAAAAAAAAAAAAAAAAAAATCTTCTTTAAGGAACCTTTTCCTATCTGATCATTAAATCGGTTGATAAAAAAAAAAGACAGATTAATTGATTAGAAAATGAATCGCTAGTTGCCGCCCTAATGGCAATATGTTTCATAACCTAGCTAACCATTTTGCAGTGTGATTTCCGAGAGGTTGTTCGGTTTATAAAAAAACACCATGCTACATAACTAACAAAGCTAAAGCATGAAAATCATAAAACATACGTTTGCTTCTATCTGCTCTGGGTTGAATCCCCCAATAGCCAAACCAAGAGACATCCCCTGACTCGGTATACATTTAAATTGTGTGGTGTACTGCTCTTCTGGTAATCCTCCCCAGTTTTATATAGTGGAAAAATTCAAAATGCTGTACATGTAGAGAGAGAAAAAGTAAACTTTAGTGGCATGAAGGGAAAACAATCATTTAAAGAGGATATAATTAAAATATTATATTGAAAAGATGAAATGATTGATAATGTAAATAAAGATGGAACGAAAACTTAGCTATGTTTAGCTCAGTCAAACTCCAGATACATGTGATAATCTCAATCAGAAGCATCTTAAGATTTTAGCACTTTTACAGTTTGTGTCTGGATCATGACAGAACAGTAGTGCAAAAATGATTGGATGAATGCACACAGTGACCATCATTCACCAATTTCAAGCTCTCATCACTGACTGCTTGAATAATAAATATGCTTTCAATCTGAAAAACTCACAAGGACAGAAAAGACAATTAGAAGAAATGTATTGATACAATTACATTAGTCTTTGGCGCTGAAGTTTGATTGATATGCATGAACAGGAATAAAGAATAGGGCCGTTTCCCTTCAGGCCTGAAACAGGTGAAGGAGTTGAGATAGATGAAGTTGGTCAGTCTGTAGACTGCTGGTTGGCAAGACGGTGTGCTTGAGTTGTATGGAGAGATCCAGTGGACTGCATGAGCTGATACTAGAGCTTCACTCAGGAACCTGGAAGATGGAAGTCCAGCTTGGATAACACAGGTTGAGTGAACCTGTCCATGATGAGCAAGCATGAAGCAACAGTGGAGAGGAAAAACTTCCCATTGGTAAGAAACCTCTGGCAGAACCAGGCTCAACATTGTGGTCGCCTGCCGGACTGGTTGAGATGAGACAGGGAACGCAGTAAGAGTCCAGGAGAAATGAAACTGATGAAGTTTTAGCTATGATGGTAGAGGAGGGGCTGGAGGTGGGTTGAAACGGGGTCATCTGAATGAAGTCACACAGCGCAGCCACCGCCTGTGCACTAAGTAGCAGACAAGTTGTGGATCTGAGGCCTTTTAAGATGAACTTTGGATGCTGATTGGCTTTCATGGAGGCGTGGTTCAAAGCTGATTGGCTGTGTCGTAGGCGGATGAAGGTGAAAAATCACTTTATTCAGTTGAATTTCTGCCTAGGCTCCTTTTCATTGGTTATTTCGTCTGTTTCTTACACCTTATATCCCAAAGCTTTCATTTTAAGGCACCCTTCTGATGTAAAAAGATTAAATAATCTTTCTTCAATATAAAAACTACATCAAATGGGCCTGGTGCCATAGCTTAGGTCGGTTGTGAGAAGCTTTCTACCACTGCATTTCTGACTCTCAGTTCTATAAGCATGGCTAGAATATCCTGAGCTTGATTTATTAACACACCTTTTAATAAAAGTTGCAAACTGACCTTCTGTTTGGACTAATAGATTATCAGACCAATACTTTTATGTTCACCATATTTTGCAACAGGCTTGGAAGAATAACAAATATACTTTAAAATTACAAAGATGAGTCCAAATCTATTATTTTCTTGTCAGTTGTGTTGGGGCCACATCCTGTCACTGCCTGTGTGTGATGGACACGTGAACCCCCACCCCCACCCCCCCACCCCACTAGGTTTGTTCTTTCAGTCCGTCTACACATTGTGAATGTTGATTAATAAAAGTGACCTCCTTATTTTGTTTTTCTACTCCAAGAAAAATGAAATTCATTTTAATTCCTGTGCACCTAAGTTGAATGTGATAGTATGAACAGTTACATGGTGTTTGTGTTTTCATTCTAAGTACTGCTCTACCTGGGTGCAGTTTTCTTCTTTCCCAAATCACTCTGTGTAAGCGCCTCCTGGTCTGGGAGGACACAGGGCTATAAATAATTTACCCCTCAGGTGGTTCACTGAGGTGGAACCCTAAAAAGTCTTACTCCGCAGGGAAAACATGGGGAGAAAAAAGATCTGATGCAAGAATGTGGCATTGAAGATATAAAGCATGGGAATTAATTATGAAACACTATACAGGAACAACATTATGTTATTTATATAAGGATTTTCCAGATCTAACACAAAATAAGTAAAACAATTACAATGGTTACATAAAGACTTGATTTGAATATGAAACTTTTAATTCAATCAACTCTGCAACTGAAACTAATTTGATTAAAAGGATATTTTCTTTTTTCTTCCCTAAATTAAATCATTTTGAAATCTTAGAGTCCTGGAGAGTTAAAACTTTGTCATGAGGGCTATAATTACTGTATATTCAATCCTTGTGGGTCTTGCTGCACAATGCGCTTATCTGTTTTACTAAATCAAGACAATTTTCCTCAACAGGGAATAAGGCAGAAAAATGGCTTGTTTGGGTGTGCATATATGAAATCACAGCACTGTTAGGCAGATAATGATGTTATGATTAGATCAATAAGATAGAGCCTAATATAAAACTGTAAACTCAAAGGAAATGCTTTGGTCTGCTTTTTAATTTTTATTTTAAATGATTCTAAAAGGTTTTCGATTAAATATTTTTGTACTCTGCATACTGTGAAAATGAAATTACTCCATCCGTTATAATGTTTATTTTTGATCCCTTCCCACTACCCTCTTCTCTCCCCTTTTTATTCCCGTATGCCCCCTCTGTTTTATCCTGTCATCTTTCTTTTTTTTTTAATACTTCTCCTTGGACCATTTCCTCCTCTGTGCTCCATCTCCTAGGTGAATGATGCAGTAGATTACAGGTGGCCTTGGGTCTATTTTGTCACCTTGATCATCATCGGCTCCTTCTTTGTGCTAAACTTGGTTTTGGGGGTGTTAAGCGGGTAAGGGTAGTCCAGAGTTAAAAACAACTTCCTGTTCCTGCCTCACTGCTGTGTTTCTGGGAAAAGTATAGAACATAGCTCTGGGTCTCCTGACTCAGAAGATCTTTGTCTGGATTTTTTTTTTTTTTTTTACATCCTTGTCTGTTACATAAACCAATATTGCTTTTAAAATTACAAGAGGAATGTGCTGTTGTGATAAAGCCTTCTTTAAGTATTGATAAACTTTGGTTTGGTTTATATTAAATTAGCATGAAGCCTAACCGTTCAATGCACTTTGCTCAGATTATGCGATATATACTCTACCATATCAAAGAATAACCCTGATGCTTTTTACTTAGGAATAGAATATATGGTTTTACAGATAACAAGCAAAAAAACTCTATAACCCTGTGCAGTTATAAAATTCTGTGCAACTATTTATTTTCAAAAGTCGCCTAACTGGTTAGCAAGTATAGTTTGCACATCTACAGAAGGAGAAAAAAAAGCTTACATGGCAAAAAAAAAAGACATAACAGAAAAGTTAATGAATTGTGCTAAAGGCAGCATCGTGCCTTGAGGTTGCTTTTATAGCCCACGTCTATACCTAAAAGCATACTTTCACTCTCATTAAATCTCTACAAGTGTTCATTTAGGAGAAATTATTTTACAAACTAGTGTAGTTTTGTCATTACAGACTTTTGCAAAGGAAATTCAGAAGCTTTTAAGTGAAAGATATGCTGATAGATTTTAGCAGACTGTAGCTGGATTACTTGTGTCTGCCTCAAGACCAGATAGAGCTTTTGTGTCATTTCTGGGAAATAACAGCGGTTGATGCGAGGACCATCCACAGCTACAGCTTTCCCCCCTTCCACTGCACAACATTCTGCATGTCAGTGTGTTTTACCAGAGGCCCTTGAATTATATATATATATATATATATATATATATATATATATATATATATATATAATATATATATATATATATATACACACATACACAATGTAAATAAAAAGCCTATGTTAAAAACATTTGTGTCCTATTCATATTACAAAGTATTGATTAAAAACAAAAAAAAAGACATTAGCCAAACCCACTAACTACCATTACTTCATTTACTGCTGAATGTTATTCAAATACTAGTATCAATATGATGCATAACTACCCAACTGCTAAAAAAAATAAATTCTTAAACAAGGGCCGAGTCAAAATCTTGAGTTACAGAATGAATTGATTCTTGGAACAAATGATAGATGCAAATTAAGCATGACTAGAGAGAATCCTTAACAAATATTGTTTTATGTATGACATGTAGTGTTGACTGTGTACACATTTTTCTCAGAACTGTTTTTGTTTTTAATGATGTCTGCTTTGAGACTCCTGGTTTTGTAAAGGAGAAAGTATAATAAGTATCTGGTTCAAACAGCTTGGGGTTGGTTTGGCGCCTTGAATCCGACTCTGAGTAATGATGCTGTCAGCACACTACACAGCCTGACCTTTTACCAACTGGTTGCTCATTGGCCTCTCTGTTTGGCATTATAACTAATTGCTAAACAGGAACAAGAACAGCTACAGTACAATTTGGAGACAAAGACAAAAAAAAGGCAATTCTAACAAATCCTAAGTAATTGTATGCTGGGGAAAAATTTACACTTTTTGTCACCAATTACTCTGGCAGTCAATAAAATCATTACTTTTCATACAAATTATTTCCAGTTATGACTGAGCAATTTAGCTAGTGGTCAGAGTAGAGATTATGTTTTGTCAAATGCATATTAAAGATCACAAGTAATTTTAGAGCACACCTCAGTATTCCACGATGTTAAACCTGTTTTTGCGTATTGTTTGGAAATTATATCGTTTTATAGCATTATAAAATATTGAGTGTTCCTTGTACACATCTTTGGTGTTTGCTAGATATTGTATTGTGCTAAACGGTAGTTGACTGTTAATTTGTAATTTGTTGAGTCCCAGTCAACATCTAGTGTGCTTGGCTTATTGATCTGGCTCCTGCCAGGTACATCAATTTAAACTGTTTGTACGGGACAGATGTATAACAAATATTGACAGTATTGTTCAAATGCTGTTATATATTGGATTTCCCTTATCTGAATGAAGACAGCTAAAACAAAACACAACTGTTAGAATTTATGAGAAGTGTTGATTACAAAACATAAATAAGTGTCCTGGGCTAATGACTTACAGCCATAACAGAAGGTAGAGACAGTTGATAAATGGTATAGACATAGAGATGCCAGCGAGATGAAATTGAAACCTGCCATGAATGCCACTGCAGCTGCAAAGAAAGAGTTACAACCAAAAAAAGAAATAAAATAATCCAAAACTTGGGAGGTACAGATGAAACACAGCAGAGGTGGGACCTAGAAGTTGTATTCTTTAAGAAAATCCAAAGCAAAGTTTTCTTAAGGTTCTCCTTCAAAGCTGACTTGTAAGAACCTAGAACCTCAAGTTTGCAGTTTGCTCACTAACCCCTCTCTCCTTCACTCAAAGCTTTTTTCCTCAGCAGGTTGTCCCACCTTCCTATAAGCTGTGCATCAATTATCTAACATTTGCCTAAACTTAGATTTTCAGATTCTTCTTGTCTTTCATCTCTTTGTTCCTCTTTCTCCCCTCCTGATTCTATACCCATATCCCTTTACCCTGCCTCCCCCTCCCAGAGAGTTTTCCAAGGAAAGAGAGAAGGCCAAAGCACGTGGTGACTTCCAGAAACTACGAGAAAAACAGCAACTGGAGGAAGACCTAAAGGTGGGCTGCTGAGTGTTTAATCAACATATTTAGCTAAAGTTAAGAGATTAGCTTTACTTCTTTGTATATATATATATATATATATATATATATATATATATATATATATATATATATATATATATATATATACACACACACACACAGTGGGGCCTCTCTCATCTTAAAAAGATGAGAGAGGCCGGTAATTTTCATCATAGATATACCTCAACTATGAGAGACAAAATTAGAAAAAAAAATCCACAAAATCACATTGTCTGATTTTTAAAGAATTTATTTGCAAAATATGGTGAAAAATAAGTATTTGGTCAGTTACAAACAAGCAAGATTTCTGGCTCTCACAGACCTGTAACTTCTTCTGTAAGAGGCTCCTCTGTCCTCCACTCGTTACCTTCATTAATGGCACCTGTTTGAACCCGGTATCAGTATAAAAGACATCTGTCCACAACCTCAAATAGTCACACTCTAAACTCCACCATGGCCAAAACTAGAGAGCTGTCAAAGGACACCCGAAACAAAATTATAGACCTGCACCAGGCTGGGAAGTCTTGGTGTGAAGAAATCAACTGTGGGATTAATTATTAGAAAATGGAAAACATACAAGACCACTGATAATCTTCCTCGATCTGGGGCTCCACGCAAGATCTCACCCCATGGGGTCAAAATGATCACAAGAACGGTGAGTAAAAATCCCAGAACCACACGGGGGGACCTAGTGAATGACCTGCAGAGAGCTGGGACCAAAGTAACAAAGGCTACCATCAGTAACACACTACGCCACCAGGGAATCAAATCCTGCAGTGCCAGACGTGTCCGCCTGCTTAAGCCAGTACAGGTCAAGGCCCGTCTCAAGTTTGCTAGAGAGCATTTGGATGATCCAGACGATGACTGGGAGAATATCATATGGTCAGATAAAACCAAAATAGAACTTTTTGGTAAAAACTCTACTCGTCGTGTTTGGAGGAGAGAGAATGCTGAGTTACATCCAAAGAACACCATACCTACAGTGAAGCATGGAGGTGGAAACATCATGCTTTGGGGCTGTTTTTCTGCTAAGGGACCAGGACGACTGATCCGTGTGAAGGAAAGAATGAATGGGGCCATGTATCGTCAAATTTTGAGTGAAAACCTCCTTCCATCAGCAAGGGCATTGAAGATGAAACGTGGCTGGGTCTTTCAGCATTACAATGATCCCAAACACACCGCCCGGTTAACGAAGGAGTGGCTTTGTAAGAAGCATTTCAAGGTCCTGGAGTGGCCTAGCCAGTCACCAGATCTCAACCCCATAGAAAATCTTTGGAGGGAGTTGAAAGTCCGTGTTGCCCAGCGACAGCCCCAGAACATCACTGCTCTAGAGGAGATCTGCATGGAGGAATGGGCCAAAATACCAGCAACAGTGTGTGAAAACCTTGTGAAGACTTACAGAAAACGTTTGATCTCTGTCATTGCCAACAAAGGGTATATAACAAAGTATTGAGATGAACTTTTGTTATTGACCAAATACTTATTTTCCACCATATTTTGCAAATAAATTCTTTAAAAATCAGACAATGTGATTTTCTGGATTTTTTTTTCTCATTTTGTCTCTCATAGTTGAGGTATATCTATGATGAAAATTACCGGCCTCTCTCATCTTTTTAAGTGGGAGAACTTGCACTATTGGTGGCTGACTAAATACTTTTTTGCCCCACTGTATATATATATATATATATATATATATATATATATATATATATATATATATATAATACATATAAAAAAATCCACAGTATGATGCTTCCGCAATTTTTTTTTAAAAGTTATTGTGAGGGTGATGTGAGGAGGACCATCCACATTTATCTCTCCACCCACCCTCCACTGCCCAACATTCTGCATGTAGGCAAAAACATGCTGATTTAGGGCTCATCTGTCGGAGCACCTTTTTCTACATGTTATTTTGTGTTTTACCAGAGGCCCTTGAATTACTTTGGAATTTTACTTTGGCAAAAATGTCAAATGCATTGAAAGATGAGAACATGTTCAAAGAGATTCAATACTTCTGCAAAGCATTGCCTCACTAGATGTTTCTTTTCTTGCCCATGTGTATAATTGCAGGGCTATTTAGACTGGATAACTCAGGCTGAAGACATTGACCCAGAGAATGAAGAAGAGGGCTTGGATGATGACAAACCCAGAAACCGTGAGTATTCAGTAGAATATTTCCATTCAAGCAGGGGAATATCTTACCATAATATGGTTGCATGCTGTAATCTTGTGTTTAAGTGCATAACTATGTTAATAGAAAAGGTGTGTAAAACTAGGGGTGTGTATAGGTTATTGCCAAATCCAATTTTCTCCTTGCAGTCTTCTTCAGAACCTAGCAGTAAAGTTGATTTAATCAGTTGACCTCCTCATTATTGAGTGTGTGTGACAAATATAAAAGCTTTCTTTGCTTGAAAGTCCTCCTGTGGTTTAAATCCATTTAGATTTAACTGGAACATGTCAGACCACATCTTTTATGGCCTATGGGTGTACACTCTGCATCTCTCCCTCTCATACATGCACATGTTCTACAGGTCTACATCCCAAGGAATATCTGCATTTGTGTTTCGAAAGATATGTACAGAACAAATTACCACCCTGCCTCAATTCCCTATATGTCTGAAGAGAGAGGAAGCCACAGAAGGGTGCATCCCTCTCTAAGGGGTAATCTTTGCCTCAAAAGGAAGAGAAATAGAGCCTCCTAACCTGGAAGGCTGACATCAAAAGCTTAAATTTGGCTTGTGTGAGTGGCATCAAGAAGAGGAGAAAGGGTCTTTTTAAAGACGGGAATCACAGCTTGCATGTACTTGAAATGAATGAAAACTAATTACACAGAGACAGCCAGGATTGTCTGCACACATCTTGTGCACCAAGCTGGTGTGTTAGGCTTACAAAAAAGAAAACACATTGATGACATAGTGGGTAGAAAAGAAAATTGATTAATGCAATCATGATATTTGTTTTCTGAGAATCCCCTAGATGTAGCATTGTCTTAACAAGGAATAGTCAAGTTTAGGGGGTTGGGGAGGTAGTACAAAGTCTACATCAATTGTGTAAGAAAAAAAAAACAGCCTAATGTGTTACTATTTTCTTTTTTTGATGCCCATCAGAGGAAAAATAAAATTCGCTGAAGCTAACATATTTGCACCCTAATAATGTTAACAAAGAAATGATATTGCAACATCAACACATCACTTTCAGCCCAGTTTAACAAATTGAATTGAAGCATACAGACAAACCCTTATTTAGCAAAAGCACCATATAATTTACAACTACTTCATAACGCATGTTTAATTTCTATTCCAACTAGTAATACATTATAATAATGTCCATCATTAAATTGACAGGAAATCATAACATGACCATTACGTATCAATGAGATGACAAAATTATTTTCTATTATGATCAAATGTTCTACTTGTAGAGAATCAATCATTTGTCTGTTTGTGAAGGAGAAAAATAAAGTCAAATGATATTTAAATTGCTCTGCCTCCACTATGATGGATAGGTACCCCCGCTTTATGTAGGACAGATTTAAAAATGGCACTGCTTAAGATGGCAAGAGGTTTTTTTTTGTGTTTTTTTTTTTTTTTAACACCTGGGAGCAGCTCATTAATAACATGAAAACAATACATGAAATACTTCTACAAGTACCAGCTAAGTTGAAAAAGAGGCACCAAGGATGCAGAGCAGGAGAAAGGAGAAGAGAGAGGAGCAGGAAATTCAAGCCATCTCTTCCATCACTCATGGGCAATGTAAAAAAACTTTAGGAAACAGATTAGAAGAACTCAAAGCCCTAGCAAGGACCCGACCAGAATATTGGTTATGCAACATTATGTTTTACTTAAACATGGTTGCAGGATCATGTTCCTGACTTCAGAATCAATTTTCCGGACTTGCTGACCAGACAAGCAGACAGAAACTTTAAAGAAGCATGCCCGGTCTAATGAATTTTCTGTCTTCAAGTTTTGACAAACCACATTTACTTTTAGAACAATCCTATGAGGGTAAAAATTTACTTTGAACTACGGGTGTACTGATACAACTTTTTCATTTCTGATACAGCTTTGAGAATTGGCAGGTACCAAAATTACCACGACTGATAACAGATTTTATTAGCCATTTTATACTGTAGAATGTAAAAAAAGGCTTGATAAAGTAATATTATTGAAACAGGGAAGAAAAGTCAACAACCAAAGGTATGAATACAACTGACTTGTAAAATTAACCTATGAGTTACAGGAACTTAAGAGAAGCACGAAAATATTGGAGATTTTAGATGCCAGCATATTATTTTCTGACTAATATGGATCGATATCTGATAAATTCAGATCGGGACGTCCCTACTTAGAACTGATGCCGCAATGTGGCATCAGCTCAATTTTTCTTGTGTCCCAAGTCATCCTTAGAAGCATACTGTATGCAATTGCAGTCCCATTTTATGAGGCTTTTTATTCCCTTACCTTGTGCTGCCTAATCGCACGCCGCCATCCTGCCATTTATGCCAGTCTACCTTGGTAGAAAGACCAGAAAGCTTGTTTAGTTCACTCATTTTGTCGATTCACAGGATGATATTCAACCATACAAGGGAAAAAAGGTGGTGAAGGTGTCAGAAGTGTATTATTAAAGAGCAATATTGAATGTGACAGATTTCCGCTTACAAAGTGAAAATGACTGCAAGTAGAAAATTACCCTCAAATTGATGGATCAGGTCATCATTCCATGTTAATTTGAATCCTCAATTCAAGTGGTTTACTTGCCTTATTATCCTTATACAAATTTTCCAGAAAGAATGAAAGATCCTAGAGTTGTGTGTATGTAGCTGTAGCTGACTATTATGGTGCAGAGATGGTTTAAATTATTCTCATTGCTTGTAGTCAAGTCTGAACTTTAACTGCAGTGGTTGGATAAAATGAACATTTGTCTTATCATTTTATTTTGCATGTTCAGTTTTATGTTTTGCTACCTAAAATGTTTGCAAGATTTATCATTCTAATTCTATTGAGAGAGTATGTTATAGAATGACAAGATTTTAAGAATGATTGAAAAAAAAAATGCTGAAGAGGCCAAATCAAAGAATAAAAATTTATTTTCCTTCATTGAGAAATCTTAACTTTCTAACCTTTATTTTGTGTCCGTTTCTCCATGCTGAAGATTAGGAGTTCACATTTCTACAGCAGGAAATGAAATAAAGATCGAATAACTGCAAGAAAGGCAGAACAGACAATGCTGAATTAATTCTATTAATCATTTCCAAATTGAAATTAGGTTGTGGATGAAGAGATGTGTGAGTAACTGTTAAAAAATGTCTTTTGCAACTAATATTAGAGCCAGTGATTATCTTTCTTCATTTAATGTGTTTGTGAAGGTCTCATGCTGGCTGGAGGTAAAATCCGGCTCATGTGAAACTGTGTATATAGATCTATGTGTTTGTCCTGTTGAGCCATACTATCTGTCCCCAGGTAAAGGTCGTCATTTTCTCTCTCTTCGTGGAGCCGTGAAGAAAAACGCGGCTTTCCTTCGTAAGGCGTGTGGGTTTGTCGGCATGGACCAATATTAGTTAAAGATTTTACAGATCGTAGAACTGCAAGCGGACTGCAACCTCTCTGCACTTTTACTATGCCCAAATCTTCCTTTATTTTTGTTTTTATACCTTCCTTTTGTATTTAACAAATCTCCCTCCACTTAAGCGTTTGCTTTTATCCCTTTCAAACTTCGATCTGTTAGTATGTACTGTAGTAAGAACCTGTCAACACTAAACTTGTTTTTTTTCCTCAATGTCTTTCTTGTGCTTCTATACACCTTTAAAATAAGTGATCCTTTAATTATTTCCCACATGAGTATTATGAAATTTTAACTTTGTTGATGAGGGATTTTTTACCCATATATGCTTATCCTGTTGCAGGATAGTCATTTCTCTTGATTGGACGTTGCAATGCTTTGGGTCACTCAAGTTTTTTCATTTAATTGGCTAAAAAGTTGATTGCAGTGTAAAAGGAGACACAGAGGAGAAACAACTTTACTGTTGTGGCATAAAACTGAACTTGAAAGGAAACAATTTGCCTGATGTCTGAAAACATAAGAGGTTAATGTTACCACAGACAATTAATGCCGAGCACATATTGTACATGCAGAACTTTCTTTGCAGATGTGATGACATAATCCTCTTGTTTCGGATTCCTTTCCCCAAATGCCCCTGCATCATTCAAAGCTTTCAGAAAATTTATCTGAAGTTTTATCCTGTAAAATTTGACCAGGATCTTCATGGATGCCTTGCAGAATTCACACCCCTGAACTTTTCATTATATTGTCACATTACCACCAAACACTTTAATGCATTTTATGGGGAATTTATGTGATAGACCAACACAAAGATAAAATAGGAAAATAGCTTTCCATTTTGCTTTGTTTCTTTATTTTAAAACCAAATATTTGGCTTTATTTATTTATTTATATGTAATTTATTTATTTAAATGTTATTAGACAAACTGGAATCGATACTTCACCTTTCAGCAGCAAGACTCTTTGGAGTGTGTGGGCCACCTCTACCCTTACAGCACTGTCATTTGTTAAGCTCAATCCATCTTCCTCTACTCTGATGAACTCCCCATTTTGCAAATCAAAACCATTTCAATAACATGATACTGCCAGCTTCATGTTACGCAGATAGGATGGTGTGTTCAGGATGCTTAAGTGCAGTTATAAGAGAGCATCTTTTCCTGCACCTTTGTCATGTCGCTTAGAGAAAGACTTCTTATGTCTTTCCCCTACAAGTGTTATTAGTTGTTGTTTTTTACCACTTTACACAATTTATACTAGAACAGTCAAGTTCTTGCCATCTGAGCCATCAGTATCTGCAGCTTTTCTGACCTGTTGCATGCTTAATGCCCTTCTTGCCCACCTGTTACTTTAGGCAGTCAGTCGTGTCCTGGTAGGCGTCTGCTGAATGTGGCGGTTTACATATTTTTTCACAGATCACACCTGGGACAGCAGGTGGTGACAAATATCAGAATTGCAATTAAACTCATTTTGTAGGAATTACTTCTTTAATTTAATAATAAAACTACATTTGTAAAATCTATATGTTGGTTTGACGTATCCATGTAAAATTTGAAAAATTTAATAAATGTATAATTCACCTAACCTAACCATTTCACACGGAATTTTGGAACCAACTAAAGCAAATTTGACTTTAAGTAAATACATATTTGCAGTTTATGGTCATGCAAAAAATAAAAAAATAATAAAAAATAAAAAATAATAGCCAGGGTTGAAAAAACTTGTGGCTACTTTTTATGGGTTTTTGAACAGATTCAGCTTTGATTTGAAATTCAGGGGAGAAAGTGATGCATACTGGAAAACTCAGCTATTTTTGGTGGTTTTCCAGCAGCTTAAGCAATAGTCACAATAGTGAAATCAATTGAAATGCAGCAAATTGTAGCCCCTACCTCCTTTTCCTTCACCTTTCATGGGGTCAACAGTATGAGCGCCACTGCTGTCGGAAAGGAAAGATGGACTGCTGTGTGAAAAGGTCAGGCTTTAGCCTTCCGGACGTCATCACAAACATGGATGATGATTTTCTAATTGGGACTTGAGCCTTCTGCAAAGAAATACAAAAAACACAATTTACAGAATTGTAGCTGCTGCAACTCGCAATTACAAAACCCCAAAAAAGAAGGTGAGGACATTTGCAGTGCTCCAAGAGGGGTTTATTTGAACAATCGTCTGCCGTAAAAAGCGTCTTAATAACTACTTAACACAACAGCACTTAAAACAAAGGCTAAATAAGGGACAATTTAATATTGTTTGATAACTGTAATATAATTCTGTCAGTTTTTAAAGATTGTACATTTTAAAAGATTATTAACAGACTCCTTGGTTGACAAAGATTCTCCAAAACATAATTCTCATTTGCCAAAATATCCAAAAATTCAAAAAGATTGTATATACATCATGCTAAACCGTCATCTAATCCTCTTTACACTAGAAAAACATCTCATCCTGGTTTCCATCATGTTCTTACCTTTTTTTTCTAGTAATTTCTCACCCTCCTGTGCTCTGTGTTCATTTTCCTCATTTCTCGTCTCCTTGTATCAAGTCTTTGGGGTTTACTCTAACAATAGTTATTAAACTAGTTCATAGCTCCATTGAGGGGAAGTCACCGGACTGCTTTTGAATAGTATTTGAAAGCCACTTGCCTCAGGAGAAAATTTTAGGCCGCAAGTGCATTTAACCAAGAAGCTTAGCAGCAGGAGGGACGTGTCCATTTGAGGAAACTTACATCATGTTAACAGCTAAGTTCAGAGACTGTACAATACCTTTCAAGTGTGAATCTCTATCGCTAGTCCATGTGTCAGTTTATTCTGACATATAACGATAGCAGAGGGTTTACAATTTCTCCTATGGTAGATTTGTGGCTTCAACAACTACTGATCAGATGATGAAACAGAAATGCTTGAATAAAAAAAAATTGCCACAAACACACAGCTTATTAAAAGCTTTATTGCTGATAGAGATCAAACTTTATTACAACTGATTTTTTCTGTAAAAACGAAGTGATTATTTTTGGTTTTGGAACAATTTATTTTAATATCTGTTCATCCATTTTCTCCCGCTTAGTCCTTGTCAGAGTCGAGGTGTAGTCGGTGCCTATCTCCGACAGTCTATGAGAGAGGTGGGGTACACCCTGGACAGGTCGCCAGTCTGTCGCAGGGCAACACAGAGACATTCAACCATGCACACACACACTCTCACCTAAGGACAATTTAAAGAATCCATTTAACCTAGCAGTCATGTTTTTGAACCGTGAGAGGAAGCAAGATTACCTGCAGAGAACCCACGCATGCACAGGGAAAAAAGCCAGAAATCAAACCTAGAACCTTATTGCTGCATGGCAACAGCACTACCCTCTGCTCCACTGTGCAGCCCTTATTACTTTAACATTTATAGAAAAAACTGAATATCATAAGCTAGAAAAAACTATGCATTTAATTCAAATACTAAAATAGGTTTCTTGGGCCCAAATATATACACACTGCACACACATTTATTGTACATTTAGCTAGCTTCTTATGCCATGATTTCCATAATGACTGTAATCTTCTGGGAGAATATGTGGTAAGATATCCAAACTGATTTAGTCTGGGTGTTTTCCCATCATGCACCTACATTTTAAAGCATATTTAACTATTTTATCAGCTTCAAAACGAGACCGAATACTTTTAAATATTTTGTATGTAGTAAATTTACTCTAGTTCTCCATTATTCAACCCTTTTTTTGTGGTGTCTCTGTATCAATGGTAGCATGTGCCATACAGCACACATGATGCAATTTTGTTAAATGCTGTGAGCTGGGCTATGCTTATACTTTCTGACATGCAAAGAATTTTAGGAAATCATAAGTATTCTTAATGACCTATTGATAAGGACAATCCAGTTTGCTTTCCTTACCTTCAACACAGAGCCTCAGCATGACCATTATTATCACATCTTTTACATACTTCATATTTGCTACTGTATTCCTAGCCTTTGCACCCCCTGCCCAATCAAAATAAAGGCTATAGATGATGATAAATGGAAAGGAGGATATGTCCTTCCTAAGCTGAAAAGGCACTGTAGAACCAATACCAACAAATGTATAGTCATTTAATCCATGGATTGTGGAAAGAAAATTAAAAATAACCCTTCTTCACACACCCAAAAAAAATGTAAATTCTTGCCTTGATCAGCCTTTAAAGTTGATAACAATTCCACCATGAATGAATAATGGTTAAAGTTCACCTTTAAAAGCACATTAAAACAAACATGCCAGTAATGAGTGCAGGCAAACCGACTACTGGTGTCTGATTATGATACCTACAACGTGCAATAAATAATTGTCGCTCATTTCTTTCCAGCAAGCCTAGACTGACAGAAGCAATAAAAAGGGATGGATCATTTCATATTAGTCTTTCAACCAGCCATCTAATTTTCCTTTCCTTGCTCACTCAGTCTCCTGTCATCTAATCCTTCTTTAGCATTCACATTATTGTCTCCTGGTCTCAATTCATTGGTATCAGTTTGGACATCCATTTTTGTATTTTTTTTTTTTTTCATTGTTATCCATGAATAGATTTCATATTGTAATCTCTTCTCCCATCCTTTTAATATCACCTTATCTCTCTATTTATGCATATAAAACTTGAATGCCATTTGGAAACAGAAACATAAAACTGTTGTCTTTCAGAAAAAGTGTGCTGTTATGAATTATACTTGAAACTGGATAAAAATATTTAATTTCCGTATTGTTACAAAATATAGGATTAATTGGGGATAAAAGCATTAGAAATTACAACCCGTTTAAAGTTCTTGCACAACCATTTTCAGCAAAATGCAATATATATTTCCTTTACTTTTCAGTAGCTACATTAGTTTTTGTAATATGGCTGAACAGAGCTGAGAGTTTAGTACTTAAAATATAGAAGTATTTATATTATTAAAACAGGATGTTTTACATCACAAACCTTTCATGATGTATTAAATGAGGACTCAAATGGAGAGCTTGGTAGAAAAAATCAAGTCCTTCGACTGAAGAAAAAAAGAAAAACTTATAAAGCTCGAACTGGAAAAGGTAGAGCAACAGAACTATAAACAGTTAATATCCCGGACAATGAGACACAACAAGAGAGATTCCAGTTTAAAAACTGGGTCTGAAGCTCAAATATTAAGGGAAGGGGGTTCTTTACATCTGAATCAAATGGCTAAAACAGCTCAACAGCTCACTAGTAGATGTCATCCCTGCTAACGAGGTCATATTGAAGTCAGGTGTGTTGAAGCAGAGATGCATCAGGAGTTTGAGCTCGCTGGTTGTTCTTCTTCTTGTGAGGTTTTATGGCATATATATATATATATATATATATATATATATATATATATATATATATATATATATATATATATATATATTTCCAAACTGTTCAACTGAACCCAACATAATAAATACTACATTTGCTCTTTTCTAATTTATGTTTAAGTTCCCAGTTTAATTCTTTAACTTCAACATACTTTTCTGCAGCTTTCACTATTATTTTTGATGTTTTTCCGTTTTTCCCATCATCTGTGCACTACAATTGATCACTTCAACCATGAAAAGAACAAAATCTTTCTTTGTTATAATCAATTAATATTCAATGTTGGGACATTGCTCCAGAGGTTTTGAATTTGCCATTTGCTGAACTGTTGCTTTGGGTTTTTCTGACTGGGATGGGATCCTTTTTGCAGCTTCAGCATATGTTATTCTGAACTCAAATTTCAGTTTTTTTATTTCTTCAGACCTTTTACTCACTTCACAGCCACGATATGCAGCAGTATGTTCTCCACCACAGTTACAGCATTTGATTTTAGCTTCTTTCCCACATTTTCCATATTCGTGCTCTCCAGCACACCTTCAATATCACTGTTTTCCTTTACATAATGCTGCTATATGTCCAAGTTCTTGGCATTTGAAGAATCTCAGAGGCGGAAATTGTAGCTCAGTTATCCAATGAAAACTTTGCTGGGTAATTGCTCTTCTTCAAAGCTCACTGGTTTGTGTATTGGAAGACAGTAAGGCAGAGCAAGCAGGCGATAGCAATCACGAGTATGAGCAGCAGCTGAGGAGAGTTACTGTGAGATAGGGAGCTGAGAAAGAGAGCAACAGGAAGTTGTTTGCCAACCACCATTAAAATACAGAGAAAGAAGAAAAAGAAAACAACAGGCAGAATTGAGCAGAAAGAAATAAGGGATATTTCTACCACATTTATCTATCATAAACAATCATAGGAATAAACTACCCATCTGTGTGAACTAAAACGGCAAAACAAAGAAAATATAAACCACACAGAAGGAACTTATGGCCTAAATCTAAATAAGCCCCCCTGAAAAAAAAAAAAAATTCAAGGATCATTAAAAAGTAATTAATGTGTTTCAGTTAGATTTTGGCCTCTGGATCATTCTGAATAAACGAAGAATTTAATTCAGTGTGTACTTCATTGCAGCTTCAGTGCAAAATCTTTTTTAATTGTCAACATGCAACAGGCAAAGAGTGCAGGAAAACTAACTGGAGCACGTTTAATTGAGACAACAACAACAAAAAAAAAAAACATATCACACAAATACAATTTAAAAAAGGATAGAAATACCAAATTAAAAATGTAGATTTTAGCTGTCCCTTAGAGATGAAGATGGAAAAAAACACTTTAAGTTCATTTGGCAGCTCTTGCCAAAAAAATTAGCTACCAAGTGTTATGTTTATGACAGAAATGCAGTGAAATAACAAGAGAAAAATATATCAAAGATTAATAAAACACACGTAAATGTGGCAAATGTTTCCACTAAATATTTTGTATGATAGTATTGTTGTAATAAAGTAATGGGGATTAAATACAAATAGGATCCATTTTATCATATATTTTTCTTCATTTTCACTGTTATTCTTAATCATTTGGTCTATCACGGAAAACTCCAACAAAATAAATTAAAGTTGGTGGGTTTATGATGCCACAAGGGCAAAACAGTTAAAATACTACAAGCACTTTTGGGAAGCTGTATGTGTACATTTGGAGTGCACATTTTATTAATCCCGATATACACTTTTACTCCCAAAGACTATATTTTGTTTCTGATTCACCCTCATATTTCTTTTTGTTTACCCATTTTTCTCAGTGAGCATGCCAGCCAGTGAAAACGAATCAGTCAACACAGATAACGCCCCCGGAGGAGACGTGGAAGGGGAGACATGCTGCACCAGGCTGGCGTGAGTACCTCACCCTCTTACACAAACAAACACACCTCTTCTTCAGCTCTTTCGATCACCATCATTCCCATGGATGAGTTCTCGCCCTGCCTGGATTTTTGTCTTTATCACTGGCACTGCTGTGATGGACATGGTAGAATTTGGTGTCTCAGCTTTCCTCTGCGCTTCATTGATCTAATAAGGCAGCCATGGTCTAATGCCTCATTGAGTTTTTTAGGCATCCATGCATTAAAGGTTGGTGGGGTAAAGTAACAGCAACATGCTCCACACAGATAAAACATTAAGGTAAAGGTGAATGTATCTGAGGAGACACAGCTGGGTTTTCTTCTCACAGGTCAGTTGTAAGGCTGTAAGGCACCTTTGTCTTTTATGGAGTCCCATTTCTGAAATAATAATTCAAAAGAATCCCTCCATTTTTTTCTCTATGTGTTTATGTTTATGTATGGTATAACAGGACATTTCACTGGCTGTGTTTCTGATCATTCTCCACCCGAGCTAATGTTGGCTGTTGAAACGCTTTCTTTCTCCCCTGTGGGAGTTCACAAACAGCTGACTCACTAACTCCTGTAATCCCCTGATGCTTTCCTTCTTATTTTACATTATTCAAACAAATGAGTTGCTTTCTTTCTTTGATGCAGGGCATCACAGCTGCCGTGACCCTCAGTGAGCCTCTACATTAACATGCAGAAGCCAGTACATACACATACAGAGCTGCTCATCAATAAAACAAATTACTTCAAATTATAACTATATGAAACAAAAAAGAGAAGAACTTTTTATTAACTGAATAAAAAAAAAAAACATGCAAGGATGACCCTTTTTTCTACCCTTATTGTCTACGGCGTATTTTCTTTTTATTGATTTGTTTAGTTGTATTTGACACTGTCAAACTAAATCAACTTGAACTTAAATAATTGAATAATGACCACTTAAAATAAATGCATTTAAATATTTTAGTTAAGTTTACTCGAGTAAATCTTATCGATCTACGTTTCTGTCTGTCTGTCTAATGTACATCCATTATTCATCTCTCATCTATCAGACATGTACAATAGTCATCCATGCATCCATCTATTCATGCGTCCATTCGTCCATCCATCTTGCTATCCTTCCATTTATCATCCATCCATTTATCATCCATCCATCCATCCATCCATCTTTTCATTCATCCATCCATGCATCCACCCTTCCATCCATCCATTCATCCATGCATCCATGCATCCACCCTTCCATCCATCCATTCATCCATGCATCCACCCTTCTAACCATCTTTCCATGTATCTGCCCTTCAATGCATCCATCCATCCATCCATCCAGCCTTCCATCCATCCATCCATCCATCCATCTTTTCATTCATCCATCCATGCATCCACCCATCCACCCATCCATCCACCCATCCATCCATCCATCCATCCATCCATCCATCCATCCATCTTTTCATTCATCCATCCATGCATCCACCCTTCCATCCATCCATGCATCCACCCTTCTAACCATCTTTCCATGCATCTGCCCTTCAATGCATCCATCCATCCATCCATCCATCCATCCATCCATCCATTTTTTGTCTTATCCATTAACTAATCCATCCATCCTTCACCATGTTTATCCAACCATAAACCTATTTCTTTGTCCATCCATTAATCATTCAGCTAACTATCCTTTTTTTGTCTTTTCATGTATTAATTTAGTCTACACATTTCCCTCTCCATCAGTATATTTGTTCATGGATTAATCCCAGTAATTTATACGTCTTCTTACCAGTCATCTATTAATCTTTTATTATCTTTTTATTTATTTTGCCATTTGTTCATCTATCTCTATTGACACGCATCAGTCTATCCAAGTCAGTTCTACCTCCCTGCTCCATCTTTTAAACTTGACCTCTTTACAGATATCTGCCAAGGTATCGAAAAAGATTTTATTGATTACAGCTTTAAGAATGGCTTTAAAGAATTGGGAATTTGGAATAACCAAATCTGGTGAGATTTACTATTTTGAATCTTGAAATGTGAAGAATGTTAATAAAAAAAAAAAAAATACTTTTTTTTTTTTAATTTGAGAAAAAAAAAATCTATTTTGCAATTTGTGATTTAAGAGAGAATCATTTTAGATTTCAGACTTAACATTCGTTGCATTGTGTTATCAACCTGGTTTTATTGATCTGAGAAGATCAATAAGATAGGAAGATAGAAAGAAGATTATATATATATATATATATATATATATATATATATATATATATATATATATATATATATATATATATATATATATATATATATATATATATAAGTTTGTTTGTTTACTTAAACCCTAAACAAATGCGTTTTTAATCTAATTTTAAAGCAGCTGATGTTTTCTGAACTTTTACAGTTTTCTGTGAATTTCTCCCAGATTAGTAGAGCATTACTAACTAAAAGCTTCATGTTTGGTTTTGGTTCAGGGTGTACTAGATTATAACCGTAAGATTTCAGTGGATTGTTGATATGCTAAAATGAAGTCCATATATCAACTTTATTTTATGCAAATATTTTACTCAAGTGGTCACAATATGATTTAAAAAGAAAAATAAATTAAATATCTTATCTTTGATCCTTTTTTTTATTTTAAAACATGGTTATTTTTTACATACCGTAAAAAATAACCATCCTTTCACTAAACAAGTAAATAAGTGTTTAATTCGGATATAGAGATTTACTGGGACAAAAAATATCTGCAGGAGTTTTCTTCCATTTGAGTTTAAAAACTATAGGCTTTCAGTGTTTGTCAGTTCTTATTCACATTTCCAGGAGACAGGCCCTTGGGTACCAGCTACTTCAGCACCTGCTGATCTCTTTACTGAGATGGACACATAAAGGGAAGTATGCACTGTCAGGCCCCATATCCAGCCAGTCAGTCATTCTTATTCATTCTTTCAGGGCATCAATAAGTCGCTTCATTGTTTCCGTCAGCTGTTCAGTCAGCCAGTGAGTCAGCTGCTCCATCACTTCATCAGATTTTGTCAACCAAATCAGAGGACATTTAAAAACGTCTGATAAAAAAAACTAAAAAGATGTTTTAGACAATAGTTTTCAATTTAATCTTTTGATTTTGGTACTTTCTATAGATATTTTTCTCTTCTCTTCTGTCCAAATGTTCTCCATAATATCTCGTCCTCGCTTCTCCTTGTTCAAACTTTTGGATGTTACAGTGGTGAACAATCAACAGACTTTATTTGTAATTGTGTTTTTTTACACAGGGATTGACTGAAAGAAAATCAAACTAAGATTATTTTCTTTTGACTGGATGCCACTGTTTTTTTGTGTGTACTGTCTATATATGTTTAAGAGAGTGATTTGTTAGCAAAATTTAGAAGAACATTGTTGATTTTTTTAGGATTATTACAAAAAAAAAACTACCACAAAAATGTTAAGTAGAAAACCAATGTGGGTACATCAAAACAGTGTACTGTACCAATTCTTACCAATCAAAAGCAGACATATTTACTGCAAATCCTTTCTCCAAAAACGAGGGAAACTAGATCTCCTTCTATAATTTTCAAATCACCTCTGTCTTGCGTTTTTGTCTGTCTATGTGTTTTTGTATAATCCATTTTGTTTTCTGTGTTCCAGAACTAGGATCTCCAAATCCAAGTTCAGGTTAGTACATGTTTACCATAGTCTTATACTGAAACGGTTCTTGTTTCATGGCTGTGCGTGTGAGTGCATATTTGTGGTTTGGTACTAGTGTTAAGAAGAAAAAACTTAAGAGAATTTATGAAACTAACATAATCAAACTAACAGAAAAGGCGTGTAGGATAGACTAATAATTTTACTAATAACAGTAACAGCAATATCTGTAATAAATACCAATAATTTGTGTATTTTTATAGAGCAGAATAACCTATTTATTATAAAACCTCTCTATTTTTGAAACTATGGTGAAAATAAAATATTTTCACTTCTTTTAGAGGTATATAACCTTGTCTTTTTCTCCTTGTCTGACATTTTAGTAGACCGAAGTTTAGCTGATTAATTTAAAAAGTTTCACCAAAATAATTCAATTTCTTTTTACTAAGAAAGAAGGTGAGATTTAGCAAACCTCGTCTCTTCACTCCACAAGTTTTGGACTCGTATAAGCACTTTGCAGCGGGCCCCTGCAAAACTTTGATTTTTTTTTTTTCAGATAATGCAGTAATATTTACACATATTTAAATATAATTTCCTCATGATGTCATCTGCATTGTAGGGAATCAATCCAACCTGCAGCAAAATATGCACATAACGCCATGCTGCTATTAACATACTTACTATTTAGGAAGGAGTTTTATTCTTGCAGAACATCCCGCTCCATCCTTCTGGAGATACACATTTCTTTAGCTGGTATCTGGCGGATTTCTTTTGAATTTGTCATGGCCTTAAACATTCACAGGTGGGCCTGTATATAACTCACATATTGTAAATAAATTCATTATTTAAAAAGAAGCTTAAAAAGCCCTAAAATCATCTGGGTTCTCTAATATCGAATGCACAGAAGTCTAAGTGCATGTAAATGTCTGGTTGTGAAAAAGTAATAGAAAACATTTCTTAAAATAACCTTGTTCAATGTTCTGGAATCTGGATGATAAAATATTGGTTATTCTGACTGATTTGAAAACAGTAATAATAGAAATATTGCATTTCATCTGGGTTTTATTTTATTTATTTTTTTCAGTTATAGAGCTAAAAGAATCTTGATGTAGTACCATCATATATGAGAACTTTCTAAAACTTAATACTCTTCTGTAATTCTAAATCTAATGTTATCTGACAGATGCTTTCAAATAGATGTTTTCTATTAGGAAAGAAAAATATTAGTGAAGGATGGCAATAAGTTTCAAAATCACAAATATGACTATAGCATTAAGGAGTGGTCTGTTTGTGCTTGTAATGTGCTGTGGGTTATGTCTTGTGTGGGCCGAAACTAAAAGAAAAGCGATTTAGCAATAAAACCAGCTGTGTTCTAATTCATGAATATTCCTATACGCTTGTTTAGAAAAAGGAAAAAATCAAAAAGAAAAAGCGGATTTGACACCTTCATTAAAATGTTTATTGAATCCTTGAACAGTACAGGTTTTTCCTCGTTAAAGCAAATATTCTTCCTTATGGTCATTTATATTTTTAGAAACATTATTTTCTTCTGAAAACTAAATGTCAAACTAAGTTGACAAGTGAAGGGCTGAACAGCAGAATGTTAGCTGGTTAATTTGTCCGACTGCTCTGTTAGCCATCCTGCAGTTATACACACTCCTTGTACTTTAGCAAATGAAATTTAAAAAACAATTACTTTGCAAAATGTATTTACGTTCCATTGCTAATTATGATTTGCAAAATTGTAAGGATATCTAAGCAGCAACATCGTTACTAGCATGGAAAAATCATAATAGCCTTGTTTGAGCAAAAACAGGTCAAGTAAGGTCACCTTTGTGTAAAGCTATTCAACATGCAGCAGAAAAAAAGTATCCTTAGACTTGGACGCTTTAAAATCCCCCAAAAAGTGTTTAACATCAGAACTCTACTTTTTAATCTGCACCCTTTAAAGCTGTATAATGGAAACTAGCCTATGTTCAACGGCTACATTCTTGCCTATGGAAATTATTTAAAAGAAGTATTTGCTTCTCAGAAAAAAAAAATGTTTTCTTTAAACTAGGGCTTAAACAATTAATAGAATTAATCGCAAGTACTTGATTATTGAAATAAGCATCAACAAATTTGGTAATCGATCAATCGTTTATTGGAGCGTAGAGACTCTAAAACATGCCTTAAGCTGACACAGCGACCCACTCAGAGCAGTAATTAAATCAAAATTGTAAAAAAAAGAAATATATATTTACACATTTTGTATTTAAGATAAAAAAAACGTTCTTCTGTCATAATGCACTACCCCGAACTCCTCAAGTGGAAAAGTTTTATTTTCACCTGGTTAATTTAATAACAAATATTCTTTAAACAACCTTTGGCTAGCTGCTTATTAAACAATTAATCAAGAAAATAATCAACAGATTATTCGATTTTGCAAAATAATCGTTAGTTGCAGATTTACTTTAAACCTGAACAGAAAGCTGTCAAAATCACATGTGACCGTTTATTATGAAATATGTCGAGCACACAGTATTCAAAAACCTTTTCACATGCAAAACAGTTCATCGTCTTCTTTTCGCTTAAACTATAAGTCAAGATAGACATAATTGTTATATACACTCACCGGCCACTTTTTTAGGTACCACATGCTAGTAACGGGTTGGACCCCCTTTTGCCTTCAGAACTGCCTCAATTCTTCGTGGCATAGATTCAACAAGGTGCTGGAAGCATTCCTCAGGGAGTTTGGTCCATATTGACATGATGGCATCACACAGTTGCCACAGATTTGTCAGCTGCACATCCATGATGCGAATCTCCCGTTCCACCACATCCCAAAGATGCTCTATTGGATTGAGATCTGGTGACTGTGGAGGCCATTTGAGTACAGTGAACTCATTGTCATGTTCAAGAAACCAGTCTGAAATGATTCCAGCTTTATGACATGGCGCATTATCCTGCTGAAAGTAGCCATCAGAATTTGGGTACATTGTGGTCATAAAGGGATGGACATGGTCAGCAACAATACTCAGGTAGGCTGTGGCGTTGCAACGATGCTCAATTGGTACCAAGGGGCCCAAAGAGTGCCAAGAAAATATTCCCCACACCATGACACCACCACCACCAGCCTGAACCGTTGATACAAGGCAGGATGGATCCATGCTTTCCTGTTGTAGACGCCAAATTCTGACCCTACCATCCGAATGTCGCAGCAGAAATCGAGACTCATTAGACCAGGCAACGTTTTTCCAATCTTTTATTGTCCAAATTCGATGAGCTTGTGCAAATTGTAGCCTCAGTTTCCTGTTCTTAGCTGAAAGGAGTGGCACCCGGTGTGGTCTTCTGCTGCTGTAGCCCATCTGCCTCAAAGTTCGACGTACTGTGCGTTCAGAGATGCTCCTCTGCCCACCTTGGTTGTAACGGGTGGTTATTTGAGTCACTGTTGCCCTTCTATCAGCTTGAACCAGTCTGGCCATTCTCCTCTGACCTCTGGCATCAACAAGGCATTTCCGCCCACAGAACTGCCGCTCACTGGATGTTTTTTCTTTTTTGGACCATTCTCTGTAAACCCTAGAGATGGTTGTGTGTGAAAATCCCAGTAGATCAGCAGTTTCTGAAATACTCAGACCAGCCCTTCTGGAACCAACAATCATGCCACGTTCAAAGTCACTCAAATCACCTTTCTTCCCCATACTGATGCTCGGTTTGAACTGCAGGAGATTGTCTTGACCATGTCTACATGCCTAAATGCACTGCGTTGCCGCCATGTGATTGGCTGCTTAGAAATTAAGTGTTAACGAGCAGTTGGACAGGTGTACCTAATAAAGTGGCGGGTGAGTGTAGATGTGATAAAGGTGATTCGCTTAAGCTCAAACTAAGCATCAAAATATATATAAGGGACTTGACTTAGCATGGTTCATCTCAAACTGGTTTCTTGAGGATTTACAATGAGTTCACGGTTCTCCAGTGGATTGAACACAATAGCGCACCTTTGGGATTTTCTACTTGGATGCAATTGCAGGATGTTATTGAGTCAGTAACATCCACAATCTCTAAGGGGATGTTTCAATCACCTTTTTGAATATATACCACAAAAAGTAGGGCAGGAAAATGGGCTCCCTATTACCACAAGAAAAGTGTGATTAAATAACACAACCTTTGAAAGTAAGCCAAAAAATCTTAGCAGTATAGTGTTCTTTATGTTGAGGCTTTTGTGATGTTAAGGTATCCATACAAGTACACTATACTGTAATTGTAGAGACCATTTCATACATACTTGTTTGACCAATGAATTCTGATGAAACCATGCTGTTTGATTTATCATTCACTACTGCACAACCAGAATAAATAACCTTGTGTTGCCCTCACTTGTTTTATGTCACTTACTCAGAACAGGACAATTATGAAATTATTGTGGAAAATTGTTCCTACATGGGAGGAGATGTTAAATGACCCGTGCGCGACCCTTTGTGTGGGGAGTGGAGTAAATTGTTTGTGAGGCGTGAAGCTAGCAATTACCAGAAACAATAACAAACATTTTCTACGGTGGACAGAGAAAGAAAGTGAGGAGGAATTGTTTGACAAAACCACACAGATGAAATATTTTTTACATCATTTAGGTTGTTTTATTGTGTCAAAGATACATTGTGAACCATTTGTAAAAAAAAACTAAAAAAACAAACACATTTTACTTCCAATGTTTGGATACAATCTTAGTCTTTTCCTTCTTTTCTCTGCATGTCTCTGCAACAGAGCTCTGTTTCATGCTTCTAGTTTGAAGCAAGTTTTATAATGACTAACTGTTGAACACCTCTGCTTTAAGACAACAGATGGCCACAGGATATGGGGCTGAGGTCACCTCGACTCTGTGCACCGACCAATTAACTTTTTCCTCTTCTTCCCCTTTCTCCACCACTGACTGTCTTTCCTTCTATATCCATTGCGGGGTTGTTCCTTATTTCCTCATTGGCTACATGTTTCCCATCACCTGGTTCCATGTTTCCACCTTTTGCTCTTTCTTTTTCTGTTTTCATCTCCATCTCCATGTCTTTCTTCAAACTCCCTGACCTATACTTTCCAACATGTTTTCTCTGTTTCAACCCTCTCCTATCTCTCCTCACCTTTCCATCTGCCCTTCTCAGTCGCTACTCTCGGAGGTGGAACAGGTTGTGTAGGCGAAAGTGTCGAGCAGCAGTCAAGTCCCAGGTTTTCTATTGGCTCGTCATCTTCTTGGTTTTTCTCAACACCCTGACCATCGCTTCTGAACATCACAAGCAACCGCAGTGGCTAACAGACGTACAAGGTACATTGCACACAATGTACAGATTACATGCAATAGTGCATTGGAACAATATTAAGAAAGTCTTTTTTTTTACATTTTCCTTACTTCCTTTCATCTTCCTATATGTTTCCCTGTCTCTGCAGATATAGCAAACAAAGTGTTGTTAGCACTCTTCACGGGTGAGATGCTGCTAAAGATGTACAGTCTTGGCTTACAGGTAAGTGGTAGCAATAAGTCACAATCATAAACTTCTATGTTTTTTTTTTTATGGAATTAGATTGTCAAAAATAAGTGCATAACTACAGTGGAAGGAAAATATATATGCTTTTAAAAATTACATTTGAAATGTCTGTTGTGTATTTCAATTTAGCCATCGAGTTGGCACTTTAAATCCCCTTTTGTTTGTAGTTACAGTGTGTTAGGTTGTGTTTTGTACATCTAGCTATTTACATTTTTGCATCCTTAAGGGTTGCATTGCTCAGGCTCTATCCAACTGGAAAGCACACACTGAATGCAAACCTTTCTTCACTGGTTTAGGTCTGACTTGGACTGGAATTTGTACTAACATAGTTTTAACTGCAGCTATTCAGTTGAAGCTCTGGCTGAACGTTAAAGGTCATCACGCTAAATCTCTATCTCAGTCTAAAGCCCTTTCATCTCAGTTTTTACAAATAGAGCAGAAAATTCAGTTTGGGTCTCATCACACCTGCCAACATTATACTACATTGTGACGTGTGAGTGACAATGGCCTTTTCCTTTTTTTTAAAACAAATTCTATTGTTCCTTTAGGTGTTATTTATCACAGAAATGAACTTTTTCCTTCCTCTTTGCAATTTTGTTACATTGTTTTTTTCTTTCAAACTTTTCTTTTCTTCTACAAAGTAAAGACCAAATGTTAAACGCCTTAATACCTAGATATGCCTCTGGAACCACAGGTTTGAGACCCCTCGTCTAGTTAAAAAATAAATAAATAAACTGAGGTTTTTGATTGTAATGTGAAAATTTGTATAAATGTCTTTGTTCGTGATACAACTTCTGCAAACTGAACTTTTCTTTCCCCCCGCAGGCGTACTTTGTGTCGCTCTTCAACCGGTTTGACAGCTTCGTAGTGTGTGGAGGAATACTAGAAACCATTCTAGTTGAAACAAAGATCATGTCTCCTCTTGGTATCTCAGTGTTACGCTGTGTGCGCCTTTTAAGAATATTTAAAATAACAAGGTTATTATCAACTTTACAGCATTGATCCTAATTTTTATTTAGTAACAGGCTAAAAATAGTCCAGCCTGGCATCTCTCAGGCAAAAATATAAAATAGATGTAAATTTGAAGCGAAATTCATCTGGATCTCTGTTTTTCCTTTCCTATAGATATTGGAACTCTCTCTCCAACCTCGTGGCCTCACTACTCAACTCAGTTCGCTCCATCGCCTCCCTGCTACTTCTGCTCTTTCTCTTCATCATTATCTTCTCCCTGTTGGGCATGCAGCTCTTTGGGGGGAAATTCAACTTTGACGACACCCGACGCAGCACCTTTGACAACTTCCCGCAGTCTTTGCTCACTGTGTTTCAGGTTACAATACTGTAATTTCTTTCAGGGTCATACTGGTCTCCATATTGCCTCGTCTTTTGCAGATTATTTATATATTCTTGATGCAGAACCACACAAATCTTTTTTTTATTATCTTTCCTCGCAGATTCTGACAGGAGAAGACTGGAACTCTGTTATGTATGATGGCATCATGGCGTACGGCGGCCCATCTTTTCCTGGCATGCTGGTCTGCATCTACTTTATCATCCTCTTCATCTGCGGAAACTGTATCCTTTTCTGTCAGCGGACTAAACCAGAAATGCAACGGAAAGACCAACATTTCAAGCTAAATCTAAAACGAGTGGAGAAACTGTCTTCTGCCCAGAATACATTTGTTTAAAAGCAAATTGTGTGTATCACGGCATTTTCACAAGATTTGCACCTGTCTCGCCCGCTGCACAATCTCATCTATCAGGTTTATATTTCTTACATTACTCCTCTGAATAGACATCCTACTGAATGTCTTCTTGGCCATCGCTGTTGACAATCTAGCAGATGCTGAGAGTCTGACATCAGCTCAGAAAGAAGAGGAGGAGGCAAAGGAGAGGAAAAAGCTGGCAAGGTAAGAGAAACTGGGAAACTAAAAGAGAGCAGCAACTAAAAGTAGAAACAAATCAAGAAGTATTTCAGAGAGAGAAAACCTTTTTGAAAATCTGGCATGTTGCAACTGTTGTTGCTGCTCTAAAACATATATTCATTATAAAGTAGTTTAAGATCTCAGTGCCCCGTAAAGAGAATTTCAGCAATAATTATGAAAAGCTTATTTATTATACAGATTAATTACACAGGGTGCATTTTTAAGCATTTTGGTGATATCAGTTTACGGCCAACGAAAAGCAAAAATTCTGTTTCTCTGGCAATGTTAATATTTTGAAAGACAAATCTAAAAAATACAGGAATATTGGTGCATGCATAATCATGAGGGACATTAGCAACTTGACAGCTGCTCAGCACACAATCAATGATTCATTCTACAATAAGGTGAAGCCACAAACACTTAGTTCTAAAGATGCTGGCGCAGTTCTTTTTCCAAACATATTAACAGAAAAAGCGGATAATTTCATAGATTTCACCTATAGATATTCCAAGAACAAGAAGCTGAAACAACTGCATTAAGATGATTTATTCACTCCTTTTTTTCCAATAGATTTTCAGAATTTACAGCATAAATACAGCGAGGTATTAAGGTGATCAGGTCTGGAGTGGTTAAGAAGGCCCAGGTTTCTTTAACAGCAGCCTCCAGCTCACCTGATGCAACCCAGATCAAGTATTATCTGGGTTGCTATTGACTTATATACTGTCTAGCATATGGAGTTAATTCCTAGTAGGATATTGCTGTATTCAGTAACCAATTATATTTGTGCTGCAATTTCTGCTAACCAGAATTTTGGATTTATTAGATGCGGACCATAAAAAATAAATGCTTTAAAAACATCTCAGTGTGAAATTAAATATATGATGAAATGAGGAAGCAAATGTTCTATTTTTCATTGTAATGCATTATCAGGATATTGGAAAACATGAATATATCTGTCTATGATCATTTCAGCTCAGGTTACTTTTGTGCCCCATTGTCTTGTCCTCATCTCATTGTTCTGAAGTGAACAAATGCAAATCTGTGATTTAACAGGGAGAAAATAAAGTTAAAATCAGGAGAGAAGGTAAGATGCTGTTTCTTTACCAGGCTCGCAAGTCCAGAGAAGCGTCAGGAAAACGAGAAGCCACTAATAGAGGAAAAGAAGAGTGAGAAGATTGAACTGAAGTCTATCACTTCTGATGGAGAGACTAACACTGCCACAAAGGTACTTATTAAAATCAAAAACAAGCAGTGAAGCAACAGATTTTGGTCTGAGCAAACAGTAGCCTATGACTAAATCGTTCTACCTTTTGCAGATTAACATGGATGACTGTTGTGGAGAGGAAAATGAAGAGAAGAATCCATATCCTGCAAATGATTACATAGGTAAAGTGCAGAGTGAGAACAGCTACACAGGTCTTTCTAAACTGATAATAATAGTTTAGGTCAGTGGTTCCCAAAGATTTTCTTCTGGGCCCCCCTTTGGATTACAATAAAATTTCCACGCCCCCCATCCCCCCGACCCCAAAAAACAAAACAAAAAAGCAAAAACCAAAAATAAACTGGGCACACACATCGTTCAACCAGATATAATAAATCTATACACATATTTTGTTTTCAAACTCCACTGAAGTTTATTTCACACTTCAGGTTGCAACAAAACAAACTACACCATCTTTACAGTGGAACACTTTTGTGTAACTTTATTTTTTTTCATAGTTCAATAATGTAGATTAGAAGAGGATTCTTTGTTGTCTGTGTTATTTTAAAAATATTTCTTTTTTTTTTATTTGTAACAATATTTAACTTTGCTATAATCTATACATTAAAAAAGCCTCTGTGCAAAATGGAGTGAAAACATTTAACAGCTCCCTGAGAGTTTTTTCTTTGTACTTTAATCCTCCCATCTTTTCAGTGGCTGTAGTGAGCCTGCTTTTTGCTGTAGATCTTCTCAAATCTGGGTTGCAGTGTCACAACTGTCCATTATGCTCAGTCAAGCAAGCGCTGTTTTTTTTTTTTTTTCTTTTTTTCTTCATTCATCCATACCGCTTCCCGCGCCCCCCCTGCAATGGCATTGCGCCCCCCCTAGGGGGCGCGCCCCACACTTTGGGAACCACTGGTTTAGGTCAAGTTTTCATTTTCTAACATAAAATATTACCACCACTATCTTTTAACACCCTTGTTCTTTTCTCCTATTTGTTTTATCTCATATCTTCTCTCACTCTGCTATCTTCTCCACCCCATCAGGAGATGAGGATGAGGATGAGCCGGAGATGCCGGTAGGCCCGAGGCCACGGCCACTCTCTGACATCCACCTAAAAGAGAAGGCTGTTCCAATGCCAGAGGCCCGCGCCTTCTTCATCTTCAGCCACACTAATCAGTAACTGCTGTTCATTTGTTTTCTTTTTATCTTCTTCGTTTAGTTCTGTGGTCTAATTTTTTTTATTTATTTTTTTTCATTTTTTTTTTATCTCACAGATTCAGGGTTTTTTGCCACAAGATCGTCAACCACAACATCTTCACCAACCTCATCCTGTTCTTCATCCTGCTCAGCAGCATCAGTCTGGCAGCTGAGGATCCAGTCAAGAACGACTCCTTTAGAAATCAGGTGACTGATTGAATTATAAACAGGGTTCTCCACGCTAAGCACCTTTACCACTTAATGCTCGTAATCCCTTTTGGTGTCCATGGATTCTTAATTTCTAAACTGTTTATTTCTCATGTTACCTGCATATTTCAATTAATAGTTGCTTTAAATGCTAAAATTCTTTTTTTTCCCAGTGTTTTATTTTATTACACTGTCCAAAGTGCAGAGCAACGAAATTAACTCTCTGCATTTAACCCATCCCCTTGGGGAGCAGAGGGCTGCCATTGTGCAGCGCCCAGGGAGCAGTGTGGGGGTTAAAGGTATTGGGTCTTAAACTCAGGACCTCAGGATGACCTAACCACTAGGCCACCTTTTCCCAAAGCAGGCATTAGCGTGAAGGATCTTGCCTAAGGACCCACACTGGCAGCTCATTCCCCCCAGCCGGGATACGAATCCAGGCTTTCTGTCTCCAGGACTTACCACTTGAGCAAGCCAGCCACTAAACTTTGATGCATGTTTAGATTTAGTCTTATTTTACTTTTTCACATTTTTTTATTATCTCAATGTCCATTCAGATATTGTTTTAGGCCATCTGAATCTCATTATAAGGATAACAACATCCAATCAGGGTATTATGAGTGATCAGGAGAACTGATTGTGCCTCTAGGTCCCTCTCTGTGCCTATTTAAAGCGGTTTCCTGCAATTTTTTCCTGGATAAGCTCAGTCGAGCCTCAAAAGCCACCAGGCACTTTCCTGGGAGCTTCCCCACAGGTCTTATGGTCTCCTGAGCTTTGCCAGCAGCCTTGGCCCAGCTTTTGTTAAATCTGACTGTTTTCCTGAGGCAAGGTTGCCTTGAAAGACCCGACTAGGAGTCTTAGCATAGAACAACGCTTTCCAACCTTTTTTAGCTATGCATCCCCCTTCTTTGTCCCTACCGGGTTCTAGCACCCACAATCCCCCATGCCTTCTAAAAACAAACATTGTTTATTCCATGTTCCAGCTTCTCAGTCTAAATCTGACCCACAATTTAATTCGCAAAATAGAAACACTAAGAAGTTTAACTTGATTTGTGTCCGAAGAGGAGAGAGAGAGAACTTTGGTAGAGAGATAGTGCCGGGCTTGATAAAGCTGTTATCAATCAGATAAATAAAAAGTTATTTCCTGATTGTTCCCAGTGGTTACGTGCAGTAGATGGACATGCCCTTGGAAACGCATCTCAGCTCCTCCACATTTTCCTTGTTCCTGTTTGAATATGGACTGCATCTTTAAAATGAACTGCACCGATGTGAATCACATTAGCCAATGAAAAACATTACAGCTCTGTGCGTGAGCACAGTTAGGGAATCGCGTCTACCTCCAATTTTCCCCGTAGCATTGAGGTCATCATTTTCAGCCAGTCCAGCCACAGCACTACGGGCAGCGCTGTTTGTTTAAAGTAGAGGCCACCCACTAACTGCATACTACAATCTGTAGAAGGTTAACTTTCTCTATAATACATTGGAAAAGGAAGCATAGAAAAATACTTTTTTTAAATAAATAAAAATTTCCTGTGAGTTAATTGCTTATTTATCAAAATTACAATATGTATTACATCTTTTACAAAGGATATATTTGTTTACACGTCTTTGTAGTGTCAGGAAAAAAATGTAATCGTAATCATCAGACCTCCATACCTTAATTTTTTTATCTCACACACCCCCTATTGGCTTACCTTGCAAGCAAGAGGAAATGTTGCAAGATTTATTATTATTATTATAATTATTATTATTATAATTTACAAACTCTCAAAAATATTGTAGGTCAATTTGTTTTCTACAGGATATCAATCTGGCTTATGCCAGGTTAGCTAGTGGCAGCTCGTGCACCCCACTTTGGGAATCCCTGCCCTGGAACAACATAGCACTCAGAATCATAGCGGACACACAAATCCCTCCACTATTTCACAGTTTCGATCCGACTGAAGTCAGCTCCTTCAAATCTAAGGCTATGGTTCACTAACTGAAAACAATATATTTCTCTTTCTTGTTTAAAAATACATTTTGCCTTAATAAGACCGTCTTTCTACTGCGGTTAAGGAAGATCTGAGACCCCCAAAAAATTTAACTTCAGATTTAATAATCAATTTTTTGTTCCAATTGTAATCCATGATGTATGGCTCATTACCAGAAAAATGAAATATTGGACTCGGCCATGACAAGCAGAGAAGTTTACAGGTGCTGGTCATAAAATTAGAATATCATGAAAAAGTAGATTGATTTCAGTAATTCCATTTAAAAAGTGAAACTTGTATATTATATTCATACATTACATACAAACTCATATATTTCAGATGTTTATTTTGTTTAATTTTGATGATTACAAATGACAACAAATGAAAATCTCAAATTCATCATATCAGAAAATTAGAATATTGTGAAAAGGTTCAAAATTGATGGCCCCTGGTGCCACACTCTAATCAGCTAATTAACTCAAACCACCTGCAAAAGCCTTTAAATGGTCTTTTAGTCTAGTTCTATAGGCTACACAATCATGGGGAAGACTGCTGACTTGACAGTTGTCCAAAAGACGACCATCGACACCTTGCACAAGGAGGGCAAGACACAAAAGGTCATCGCTAAAGAGGCTGGCTGTTCACAGAGCTCAGTGTCCAAGCACATTAATAGAGAGGCGAAGGGAAGGAAAAGATGTGGTCGAAAAAAGTGTACAAGCAAGAGAGATAACCGCACCCTGGAGAGGATTGTGAAACAAAACCCATTCAAAAATGTGGGGGAGATTCAGAAAGAGTGGACTGCAGCTGGAGTGAGTGCTTCAAGAACCACCACACACAGACGTATGAAAGACATGGGTTTCTGCTGTCGCATTCCTTGTGTCAAGCCACTCTTGAACCACAGACAGCGTCAGAAGCGTCTTGCCTGGGCTAAAGAGAAACAGGACTGGACTGCTGGTGAGTGGTCCAAAGTCATGTTCTCTGATGAAAGTAAATTTTGCATTTCCTTTGGAAATCAAGGTCCCAGAGTCTGGAGGAAAAGAAGAGAGGCACTTCCACCACGTTGCTTGAAGTCCAGTGTAAAGTTTCCACAGTCAGTGATGGTTTGGGGTGCCATGTCATCTGCTGGTGTTGGTCCATTGTGTTTTCTGAGGTCCAGGGTCAACGCAGCCACATACCAGGAAGTTTTAGAGCACTTCATGCTTCCTGCAGCTGACCAACTTTTTGGAGATGCAGATTTCATTTTCCAACAGGACTTGGCACCTGCACACAGTGCCAAAGCTACCAGTACCTGGTTGAAGGACCATGGTATCCCTGTTCTTAATTGGCCAGCAAACTCTCCTGACCTTAACCCCATAGAAAATCTATGGGGTATTGTGAAGAAGAAGATGCAATACACCAGACCCAACAATTCAGAAGAGCTAAAAGCCACTATTAGAGCAACCTGGGCTATCATAACACCTGAGCAGTGCCACAGACTGATCGACTCCATGCCACGCCGCATTGCTGCAGTAATACAGGCCAAAGGAGGCCCAACTAAATACTGAGTGCTGTACATGCTCATACTTTTCATGTTCATACTTTTCAGTTGGCCAACATTTCTATAAATCCTTTGTTTTTATTGGTCTTCAGTAATATTCTAATTTTCTGATATGATGAATTTGAGATTTTCATTTGTTGTCATTTGTAATCATCAAAATTAAACAAAATAAACATCTGAAATATATGAGTTTGTATGTAATGTATGAATATAATATACAAGTTTCACTTTTTAAATGGAATTACTGAAATCAATCTACTTTTTCATGATATTCTAATTTTATGACCAGCACCTGTAAAGCGGCAGTATCCTCCTTTGATGAGGGTGGAATCAGGACAGAGCTAGAAATTTTTAAAGGGACTTTTTATACCCATCTGTGATACCTTTGAATGGGTTGGAGCGTGTAGCTGAGAAGAGGGGTTCCTTTGGTTTACTCCCTGGTTTACTCCACCTGAGACCCACTGATGGCTGGATGGACGGTTGGATAGATAGCATCATTACTTTAGCAAAATCTGTGTTTCCTTGGTAATTTTATTTATTTTTCTGCTAGTGGTTTATAGTTCTTCTTCCTTTTGTATCTTCCTTTTTAAATCTCTTTCACATCTTCCATTTTTCTAAATATTTCTTGAATTTTTTCCTCTTTTAACTTATTTATTATTTGTTCTTTTGCTTAATCTGTCTTTGTTGTAATCTGGACCTTTGGGCGATTGCACTCATGAGGCCATATAAGCAAAGCATCATGGCAAAGAGTGAAGGTTTTGTAGCTGTCATTAACAGCCCACGCACGTTTGTTATTAACTAATAGGATTACAGCTGACAGCTACAGATAGAAGAACTATGTGTTTTGTGCCTGGCTTGTTACACTTAATAAGATTGCTTCCAGTACTGGAACTATTATTAACTCCCTAGTAAGTAAATATAAGGAATCTCTTGAGATGTTTTTTATTTCATGTTGTCTTTTGTTTTCTTTTATCATAGAAAGAACAATAATCTTCCTATTGAACACATATGAACAGCTTATTTTCTTGTAGTTAACCTTCAGTTTACCAAGAATTTGTGCTGATATATATTTAAAGGTTTATGTGCCGTGGTAAAACACTGTCTTATGGGGCCTAAGTGTTGTTGTTTTTTCGTGAGAATGGAGCAGAGACAGTCTGCCTTAAGCACAAGATCTAAAACTACAAAGCCATTACAGTTTGTCCTTATGGGGCAGCTGCATTTATTTATAAAGCCTCACTGTGATTTGTTTATACAGGTTATTATTTATTTAAAGTTTATGGCAGTAATTGTGCTGTGGTACAATGGAAAGGCTGAGCGCCAAGAGTGTTTTATCTCTTCGTGTACATTGTTTCCTCTCTCAGTCAGAAACACAGGTCCCCTGGGGCCAACAAAGATCTGTGTTATAGTAGTTCCCTCACTTTGGTACATAGTATAGTTAATTAGGGCAAGCACTTAACAATATAAGGGAAAACACATTTAAATCTGTTTAGAAAAACTTCTGCCTCTTATGAAAAAATATTTCTTGACAAATTAACTTTATAATATCAGTTTATGTGGAGTCATCCACAGTGCTCTTCATGATTGAAGAGATTTTTAAAGATTTGAAATAACAATAATACTTAAAAGGTTCATCCTTTTGGCTGGGGTACGTTACCTGTGATTAACTGTGAAATTGATAAGGCTACCATGAATGTTTTACTTTGTAACAAGATATATTGAATTAACAGAAAGCTAAAGGTGTCAAAAGTATTAATATTTATTACTCAAGTAGGAATATGAATCCTGCTATTAAAAAAAAGTTTTTATAGAAGTTAGAGTAAACTTAAGCTTTTTACTCAAATAAAAGTGTAAAAGTACCATTTTTAAAACTAAAGTATAGAAGTAAAGTAAGAAAATTTTAATGACTGATGCTTTACTGCACTCGCTTATGAAAGGAACATTTTTCTTTCTGGATGATAACTTCCTTACACTTAGGTTTCATAGTTTTATAACTAATGGCAACGGTGTTAAATTTAACTTTGCATCATCTTGAAAAACTATTTATTTTAGTATGTTGTGAACAACTTGGTGCAGTACTGAGTCCAACCATAAAGAAATCAATTGTCTGGATAAAAGAAATTTCTTCTTTTTTTTTTTTAGATACCAACAGGGCATAATGATAATGAGCTTTAATTGCTACAAAATGTAAGGAGTAGAAATAGAAAGTTGTGTAAGATAGAGTATTTGTACTTTGTTACTTGATACCTCTAATCGCTTTATTCAAATGGAAAACATACATATCTATCTTGGCAAGGGGAACATGATCCCTCAGTTACAGTTAGAGTAACAAAACAAAAAAAACTGGAAGAAAAGAAAGTTTTATCCTGACGCTATGTATGGTAAGCTGAATAATTGAATAATATCAGGAAAACATTAAACTGCAAAATGATTGTTAAATGATGCAATAATAATATAAATGACCAACAAGTATGATCAGGTATGGACGTCTATATTTCTGTGTTCATTGCATCCAACTACAGTTGAGAGTGCAATTTTGCAAGCATTTATGCTGTAATGACTACTGTCAGTCAATATATTCGCAGTTCCAGAGGGTAGAGAAAGCCTCACTGGTAAATAACCTCTGCTTTGATCACTTAGTTTTGTTCTTTTTTTTGTATTTCCTGAGTTTTATTGGTCCCATTAGAGAAAAATAAAAATATTGTGTAAAATATTTCTTGAAGTCTATTGTTGTGTATAGTAACATGACATACTAAAAAAACAAACTTCCTGCTGTTTTTTTTTTTAGATCCTGGGCTATGCAGATCATGTCTTTACTGGACTCTTCACCATTGAGATCATTCTTAAGGTATTGTTCGCTGATGATGATCAACATTTGGACTATTTAGACTACAGCCATTTGTAAAACTGTCTGACACAGAAAATGTCTGCATCTGTTAAAACAGTGTCTGCGTTCTGTAACACTCATTTCAAATTTCATATTAGTAAATATAAAGGCAGTTTTTAGATTCTGATTTTATTAAGAAAAAGTTGAACGCTTTTCATATCCACCTGGCCCTATGTTGAAATGTAGTTACCACTTAAAAGTAAACTTGTTAAAACAACCCTACCAGTAATAACTATTATGAAACTTTTGCTATAACTGGTAAGAAGTCTTGAACATCTCCATGGTAGAATTTTGACCCACTTTTCTTTTAAAATTTTGCTTTAAGCCAACTGGCAGGTTTTAATGTATAAACATTCATTTAAAGTTGTGCCACAGCATAACTTTGCTTGGGAACCTTCCAACAGAAGCCATTTTCCCAGTCTGTTGATCAGTTCTAAGACAACTAAGACATGTAAAGTCTATGGATGTTGTTTTGGGCTCTTTTATGACATTTTGGATGAGTCATTTATAGGGTCTTAGAGTAAATTAAGCCTGGGAAGGTTTATCCTAGATTTGTTTTCTTAATTTGTGGAGAGTGGCTCTTATTTTGTTTGGGTAAGGTCTCAAAGTTAAAGAAACTGCTTTATAACCTGCCCCAGACTGAAAAACATGTTGATAATTTTACATTTCTACGGACAAAGATGTGCTGCTTTTGGGATATTTTGTTCTACTCCAGATTTTCAGACAGATTCTTCTTAAGTAATCGCAGTCCTAGGTTTTTCTTAAGTCAATTCATGATTTTTCTTTCTCACATAGCAAATGGTATTGTACTGATTCTGTATTTACTCTAATTACTCTGAAGCAAAATTTCCTTCAAGATCTGCATGATTTAATTGTTACTCTTTACTGAACACTCAATCCAAATAGTTATTGTCATTTTAAAACACCTTTATGATGTGTTTATTTGCAGATGACAGCATATGGAGCTTTCCTCCATAAAGGTTCATTTTGTAGAAACTATTTCAACATCCTGGACTTGGTAGTGGTCAGCGTTTCTCTCATTTCTTCTGGGATACAGTAAGTGCATCATCTACCTTTACTTTGCATGCTTAAATGTAGAATACCTTCATCATCATTTTGAAAGCAATGTTAAATTTTATACTTTGCTGTATTGTTTGATTGAAAGAACCTCACGAAAAATTGAAGACGACTGCATGGGTTGTATTGTGAATCCACCATAGTTTTAGTAGTCTGACATTTGAGTTTTGGAACTGTGCCACGGTTCACACTTCACTGACTTGTGTCACACATCACTTTGGAACGTCTACCCCTTTGTGATTTGTATTAAATGGATGGTTTCTGCTACTTGTTTCTTGCTTCTAATCAAATAACTCATTGAATTGTTGTGATGTTTAATATGCTATGCTACACTCTCTGTCTCTAATGCCTAATAGACTAGACTTCTCGACGTAAGTCCACATTAGTCTGTGTTAATAACCCCTTGATTAGATCTTCACCTTAAAGCTGTCACTGTTTTGATTTGATATTTCTATGATCTTGGAGAGTTTCGTTTTCCTCACATAAAACCAGATATAGGAAAGAAAAAGCTGGAAAAAAGTCCTGTAAAATATATTGTTCATGTTTGGATGTTTTAAGAAGAACAATCATGACATGCTTAATTTATGTCATAATATGAATTTGAAGGGAGCTGCATAATTAGTTTTGACCACAAAATGTGTTCCAGCAGGTAAATTATCTTCGGTTTTAGATGAATTGACCTGTCATATTACGATCATCCCTTTTATTAAGTTAATAGATCAAATTCATCTCTCCTGTTTCTGAATAAAGGTGAACTCTCCTGGGCTATAGAAATTACACGTGAATGTTAAACTCAGTGGGTTTTTGCCTGTTAAAGGTAGTGTGTGAGTGTGTGGGATTTTTCAGAAATATATCACAGCTGAATTAACTGTGATGATGCTGCATTTTTATTGTGCCTGTAGTGCTTACAAAATAGCACGCTTTTTCCTGTGGGGCACGTCTATTTCTTTAGTCAGTTCTAGGTGAATGCAAATACACATAGTTGCTTTATTTTCCCTATGGAGCAGAACAAAAACAAATTGCTGATAAAAATCCTGAACTGTGTCTTGATAAAATAGTTTATGCCCCTTAAAATTTCATAAAATGTCAAGTTATGTGTCAAGTACCAATTGAAGGGTATTTCTTGGGGCTTAATATGTTGACATCTCTAAGAGTTATATTTGTCAGGGTGGGTGGAGGTTTGAGAGGAGGACCCAAATGCAGAGACTGAAGCTGAAGTTGGTTTCTTGCAGATTTAAATATCAAAAAAGGCAACCAAAGCAAAAATCCACAAGATCCACAAAGACACAAAAAACTCACTTGAAGGGGAAGAAATGCGATGAACCAGCAAACAGTGACTGAGTGGGAAGTCTATATATGGGAGACAAAAACAAAGACCAGGCTAATCAGCAGATTGGGAGCAGGTGTGGACTGAGGAGTCTAGAAGGGAGCTAGGGAAAATTAGACTGACACCAGACGGCAACAGAGGGCTAACAAGAAATACCTCAAATAACTCAAATACAATCAAAGATAACTAGAATAACACAAAATGGATATTAAACCAATGAAAAATGCAAAGATAAATCTTGAACAGAACCAAAACCATGACAATAATATAGATATATAATATAGATATGGATAAACCTACTTGTAAACCTACCGTTAGCAAAAAGGGTAAGAGTTGCAAGAAATAAAGACAAAAAAATGTCACTTAATATCTGATAAATCTTTATAATAAGCCTTTTTCTTTCTAAAAAGGACATGAATATTTAAATTTTTATGATACTTTTAGATGTACCTTCAATGTTATTTTGTGGCATCAGAATACAGGGGGTGTAAAGCCATGTATACATTCTTATACTACATATTTTTTCCCATAAAATTACATTTTTTGCCAGTTTATTAAAGAAAACTTTGTTTTCCTCATTTTGTTCAGTTTCTATAGTACGCCCCTGTTTCTATTCAGTTTACCTTAATTTTTGTAAATGATTGAATTTTAAGGAAATTCAAGAAAAATCAAGATTTGAAACATCTTGATCTCAACTATATCCCCTGCCTACTGATAAATTATAATAAATAAATATCTTACATTTGTGGCCAGTACTTGATTGCGGTTCCCTTTAAGGTAATAACATTGAAAAAAAAAATGTTTTCTTTAACTCTGAATCATCTTCCCTCCAGTTCCCGGTTTTGTTTCTCCAGAGAGTAATCTCCTTGCATGCAGAAGTGGGAGCTGCAACATGACAAAACTTGAAAGTGTTCAGGAAGTTATAGCGAAGAGTTATTTGTATAATATCTATGGCAAATTGGATTTTTGTGTGGTCTAATCAAAAATAGCTAACACATTAGGACATTTATGTTTTTTAGCATCCTTGCTGAATTCTAAATTTAAATCTTATGGTTTTATTTTGTATGTTTGCTTTTCTTTTAGATGGATAGAGTACTTCTTATCATCAGGTGGTTGGTAAATAGTATTCTTCTTCCCTGTGAGCCCACCGAACTCAGCCAACATCTTAAACCGTTATAAATCAAATGCTTTGACTGTTTTAAAGAATGTGCTACAACTCAATATATCCTCACAGCTGGTTTGACTGTGATATGTGGCTGATGACATCCCACTCCACAGAAACTGCCTTTAACTGCTTTCAAACTTTTTTTCCTTCCTCTGTAAAGAGTTGCACAACGGGTTTTTTTATTCGATTTACTCTTCTCAAAAATAACGTTTCTCTCTAAATCACTCCTTTAGCCACCTAAGATGTCACCCTTTTAAAAATGTATGTTGACATTCTGAATTCCTCTAATATTTCAAAAGGATAGATTAGTACTTATCTAATCTTGGTATCTAAATTGTGTTTTAATTGAATATTTGCAGTACTGCTTTTGCTCTCAGCCAACCTAGTAAGGGTTTTACAAATTTCTTTATCTGAACAAAGATGCATGATTCCATAATAAGCTAAAGATGGATCCTAGAACTTTCAACTCTATTGCTTTTGTTGGGGCAAAATGTGGTGTAATGTAGTGTACTAACAGCTTTTTGCAACACAGTGTAGTAAAAATGTATTTATGTTTGTTTTATCATTCTAAAATTATTATAAAGATCAGCAAATTAACATGTGCTGCTGGTTTCAGGAGGAGGTAACAACAGTTTCAAAAAGTTGTGCCTTTAGCCAATTAGAAAAATTAACCTGAGGTTGCTCTGCAACATCCAAATTTCCCAGTAAAAATAATTGAATTAGCAGAAGCAAAGCAGCATTATGAGAAAATAAACAGCTGAAAGAAATACTCACAGATGTGTTGACCTTTTTTAGTGTCAGTCAAACATAACTTTTTAAATACAATTGTCCTTTTTTTTAGCAGTTAGCTTGACTAATGAAGTTATGACTGCTAACTGTAACATGTGTCTCTATGTGTGTATAAATGTGGCCCTATTTTGCCTACAGATTAAAACTTTTAAGTATTTCAGAAAATCTGTCAATGCATCTACTAATATTCTGCTCATCAACCATTTACATTCAGGATTATAAGACAGCTGTTTATATTTTAGTCATAATGTGTGTAGCAGGCTGCAAAGGTTACACTTCCATCAGTCAAATTAGTCTCAAACATGACTTCCAGCAACAGAAGAAATCCATGATTGGGTTGTTGGCCTTTTCCACATCCAAATTAAAATCTATGTTGATGCTGGGTCTGATATTGATATTGGATTAGCTAAGTCCTATCTCTAAATTAAAGTAAATACATTTTATTCTTATATATGTATTTGTGTTGATTTTAACTTTAAATAAAGGTAACCCGGTTCTTGATTTTTCTAATCACATATTGGATAAACTCAAAATGTCAACATATAAATTTGGTTCCTTTATAGTATGTACAAGCCTTTCCTTTTTGAGCACCTCCTTCAAAGGTTCACACTGTTTGACCGTCGGCTTGAACTGACACTCTTTTACAGCACAGAATTTCTCTGTTTGCTTGTAAAACGTCTTGTGTGTCTTTACTTTGGTCTCTCCATGGTGTACTTGTGTGTTCTTGTCCATATTTGATCTGTGTTTTTATGTGTTTGTGTGTTATATAGGGACTTTTGCTGAAGTCTCTTGTGAAACATTCATGTCAGAGAGAATAATGGATAAAACCCATAATGGTCATTTCATTGTAAAGTAACAGAAGATTTGTATTTTATCATCTGAGATCAGAGCTAAGAATATTTCCAAATTTCATAATTCATAATTATCTTGTTAGGTCACAGTATAAAATTTTTTTTTAAATCAATTATCCATATTATTAATTTGATCACCCTTTTTTGTGTGTTTGTCATCTTTTTGTGCAAAAAATGTGAGTTCCTCCAAAATGCAGGCATTTATCTGCAGTAAGATGTGCTTGGTTTGTTTGAGTGGGTATTAGCTTATCACATGATTTTCTTCAGGTCCAGTGCAATTAATGTTGTAAAGATCCTGAGAGTCCTGCGAGTGCTGAGACCGCTGAGAGCCATCAACAGAGCCAAAGGACTAAAGGTTCACAGAGAAAATACAAAATATAGTCCTAATTTAAAGAGAGACAAATCCAGACACTAACTTTGATCTTTGTCGTGTGTTTTGTTTTAGCATGTTGTGCAGTGTGTTTTTGTGGCCATCAGGACCATCGGCAACATCGTCATTGTCACTACGTTGCTCCAGTTCATGTTCGCCTGTATTGGAGTGCAACTATTCAAGGTAAAGAAAACAGAAGAGAAGCAAACAGTTTTTAAGGGCTTTAGGAAAAAATATTAAATCTATGCATCTTTCAAACAGGGCAAGTTCTTCTTCTGTAGTGACAGCTCCAAACAGACTCAGGCAGAGTGCAGGTAGTAGAACTCTCTTTTACCATGTGTTTATTTCTCTTAGACTCTAACTACTGGACAGCTATTATAAATGTCTGATGTTTTTGTATTTTCAGAGGTTCCTACATCATGTATAAGGATGGGGATGTAGGGAAACCAGAAAAAGCCCTGAGAATGTGGAGGAACAGCGATTTCAACTTTGATGATGTCCTGCAGGGAATGATGGCTTTGTTTGCTGTGTCTACATTTGAGGGGTGGCCAGGGTGTGTCTCTTCTTATGCACTGACGTTGCCTTATGGAAGTATTTGTACCTCTTGAACTTTTTTCACATATTTTCACATCAAAAATATAAACAAAAAAAACAGGAAATCACATTAAAGGAATTTCAAATATTTTTGTTTTTTTAATATAGTCGATAAGTATTTAGTTAATGCCAAAAAAAAATGTATTTTTTTGCATAACCTTTGTTGGCAATCACAGGGGTCAAACGTTTCCTGTAAGTCTTCACCAGGTTTGCACACACAGTAGCCCGAATGTTTGCTATTCCTCTGTTGCAGATCTCCTTTAGAGCAGTAATGTTTTAGGCCTGTCACTGGACAACACAGACGTTTAACTGCCTCCACAGGTTTTCTATGCGGTTGAGTTCTGGATACTGGCTAGGCCAAACCAGGACCTTGAAATTGTTTTAATGGACCACTCCTTCATTGCTCAAGTAGTGTTAATGAGACCCATTGTCATGCTGGAATACCCAGTCACTTTCCATCTTCAACACTTACACTGATAAAAGAGGTTTTGGCTTAAATTCGTATTATATATGGCCCCCGAATCCTCTTCCCTTTGTAGAAAAAAAGAGCACCAAAGCATTTAGTTACCAACCCAATGCTTTGCAGTAGGCATGGTGTTCTTAGCATGCAAAACCACATTTTCCATCCTCATAACATGACAATTTGAGTAAGTGCCAAAACATTGACAGCATGATATTCTCCCAATCCTTTTCTAGATAATCCATATACTCTCAGGCAAACTTCAGTTGGACCTGGACATGTACTGGCATAGACAGGGAAACATTTGGCGCTGCAGGATTTTAGTCGTTCTCGGCGTAATGTGTTACCGATAGTGGCCTTTGCTACATTCGTCCTCTCTGTTCATCACATATCAGGACTCTCCTTGAGGTTTTGGGATTTTTGCTCACTGTTGTTATGATAATTTTCACCCAAAGGGTTGAAATCTTGCATGGGACCCCAGATCAAGTTTGATTATGAGTGATATTGCATTTCTTCTGTTTTCTTAGAAATGCTAAGGTAAAACGGTAATGAGTGAATGACAAAAAAGTTTCTCAAAGACAAAAGGTCTATCTAGGCCAGACATCTTGCTTGTTTGTTGGTCACCAAATACTTATTTTCTACCATAGATCGCAAATGTTTTGTTTAGTTCTCCAATGAGATTTGTTTTATAATATTCTTTTCTCTTTTTTGTAAGTCAATACAGTACAACTATATTTACTGCAGTTATGGTTGTGTTTGTTTATGGGGCTCTCTTCCTGCCTTGCATATCCATAGGCTTAAATTTATCTGCCATTTCTTTTGAAAGATAGTGTAACCTTAGGCCCCCTCAAGACAAAGCTGTGTTAGAGTGTATGTAACAAGTTTCTTTGCCAATAATGATGAAAAAGCTGCAAAATCAACTAAATTTGAAACCAGGTCCTAATTAAGTTTGACATAGCTCCCCACAGCATCTCCATCATATTTACCTCTATACACATAACTGACTACACATTTGTGTGTCTGCACATGCAAGCCAATGCAGCCCTCACCACCCTTAACCTTCATGTACCAAAACAACCACCAAAATCAACAGACTTTGGTGTTGCAGCTTTGTTTTTGAAGCTACATTTTAGAAGCAATTGCATTTACTGTGGATTTTACATTTACTACTTGCTGCTCCTTTACTATTTGTTGTCAGCCCTTTTTTTCTTTGCTTTCATTGTTTACATCTTACTTCTCCCTTTCTTCTTCTACCCTCTTCATTTGTGTGGTAATGCTAGTGTGCCACCCTCTAACATGGCATAAATATTACAATGCCTATTTGACCTTTGTCAACGTAAGGCAGTTTCATCTTTACACTTGAGCCTTTTCATTGCGGATACCTCATTCAACATTGTTTGGATGTCACTTCAGTCTTGCCCAAAGGCTCTCATTTGGATTAAGGTCTGGACTTAAACCCAGGCAACCAAGTATTACAGTGGGGATGTGGTACTCAGGTTGTTACCTTTGTGTGCTCTAGTCTTATCTGGCCAGGACACATTTTTCCAAATTTTCTGCTTTTTTCACTACATGAATTACGACAGGAATTCTTTTAGCTTTTTTGATGAATGGCTTTCTTCTTGCCACTGTTTTACAAAGGTCAGACTCATAGAGTGCAGCACTAATAGTTTTCCTGCAGACAGATTCTTCCGACAAAGCTATAGGAGCTCTGCTGCTCCTTTGGAGCTACCTTTGGCCCTTTTGGCTGCTTCTCAGGAGAACTTTGCAAGACTGTGTAAGATGTTCACGGCTTGACATATTGATTAATAACCTAACTGCTGTAACTGCTCTAGAGCCTTTTTCTTAACCAGTGTGCTTGTAGTTGGGGTCCTTATGGGGCTATTTGTTAAATAATGTTTTTTTTACTTAAAATTTTGGAACTTCTGCAGGCAATTCTTTAACAGTAATGCTCTTCTTTGCATTGGTCTGTTACAAACAATATCAAAATACACTAAATAGACAGAAAGGGGGGTGTGTATTTATAAAGTATCATTGAGTAAAAAAGTCTTTAAAGGTACAAATACTTTTGCAAGACGAGTTTCATTTGTCCCTGTGTGCATCTGCTCTGACAATTAAATCCCACTTGTTATGTTTTTCTCCTACTCTGCTGTCTGTTAGGTTGCTGTACCGAGCCATAGACTCTCACACTGAGGATGTTGGTCCAATCTACAACTACCGCGTGGTCATCTCTATATTTTTCATCATCTACATCATCATCATCGCTTTTTTCATGATGAACATTTTCGTCGGTTTCGTCATCGTCACATTCCAGGAGCAAGGAGAGCAGGAGTATAAGAACTGTGAACTGGACAAGAACCAGGTAGTCTTTGGTATATTTCGTGGGCACTTTAACACTAGTACTAACATAACAGTTCTGTAGATCAACATTTTAGAGAATATGAAAGCTTTGTTGTCACAAAAATACATGCAATCAGAAAACTGTCATGCAAGTCAATGTAAAAGCTAACCTATGTGGATGTGTGTCACAGCGTCAGTGTGTGGAATACGCCTTGAAAGCTCGACCGCTGCGTCGCTACATTCCCAAGAACCCTTACCAGTACAAAGTGTGGTATGTGGTCAACTCCACCTACTTTGAGTACCTGATGTTCACACTCATCCTCCTCAACACTATCTGTCTGGCCATGCAGGTTTGTCACACATGCTCTTGAACACACAGCACTCTCCAGAATGTTTGGCAAACTTGATAAAGATTAATATGCCTTAGAAAATTTTGATCTTTAATGGAAGTTATATCATCTCATTCTGAAACAAAAAGAAAAACTGTTCTAATTTGAGTCCATTGTCCGGCTGGAAAAAGAATCCCAGTTGAGGAAGTCTTATTACCAATGTACTAATGCTATACTTTCTCTAGATTATTTGTCATCTAAGATCTTTATGAACTTCTCCTCTGCTCAACCTGTAGATTTTCATAAAAATTTAGGATTAGGGACCAAAATGACTATGAATTTTAAAGCCAAATATGGGCTATTTTTTTTTTACTATGCTTTAGTGTTGTTCCTATGGTTTTTAAAAAAGAAAATGTCGTCATTGTCACAGATCCATTACCATTAGAATTAGGGATCTAGAAGTGCTTTCCTAAATATTCATCCTTGTTTGACTTCAGACTCACCTTTTTTTTTGCTTACAGTTTTACTTGCAAATAAAGGCGAACTCAACGTGAATGAGTTGACGACATGGTTCCAGTTTAAGCAGGAGTATCGTTAAGCAAACTCCACATGTCTGCTCCTAGAAAAAAAAGCTACTCTCTATCATTACTCCTCAACAGGAGTTCTGTACATGGTTGGAATGTAAATAAAGGTTGAGGGCTAATTATTTTACACGATTTATTGTTTGCTGACTATAGATACAGTCAACTTCAAAAGAGGGGCTATTTTCTTTCTGTCCATGTCTGTCTATGCCCCAACTTCTCTCTCACTTTGTGGTGATTTGCTCAAATATTACTAATATTTGACATCATATTTTGGTTTCAGGAAACATACACTATATCACTTAAAATTGTTTGCTTGCCTCCTTTGACTCACATATGAACTAAAGTGAAATCTCAATCATAATCAATAGGGGTTCAATGTGACGTTGATCCACCCTGGCTCTCATTCTCCACTCTAATTCATCCCAAAGGTTTTCTGTTGGGTTGAGGTCAGGACTCTATGCAGGCCAGTCAAGCTAATAATGCCCTTGTGTATTAACAACTCAAACATTAACAGATGGGAATGTGTCGTTTAATTACAGGAGTGCTAATGGAAAAAATTTCTACACACATAATCAGTAGCTTAATCATGATAGGCTATACTTCTAACTCTCGATTTAACAGCTCAGGTTTCAAATCTTAGATGATAATGCTATGATAAGGCTTTTGATTACAAGTATCTTGCATCATAGAAAAACACAAAATGCATTTGAATTTCAACTTAATGTAAAAATTATTTATATTTTTGTAGAAGAAACATTGTGCTGATATCTTTAACGTGACGCTACTACTCCAAATTTTTTGTTTATATAAAAAAAACAATTGCTTTAATTAGCACTAAAGTTTTTTAAAGCTTAAGTTAATATGAAACTTAAGGCAACTCAAACTTATTATAACTCCCAACCCTCAGTCTCCATCTAATTCTTCCCAAAGGTTTTCTGTTGAGGTCAGGACTATATGCAGGCCAGTCTTTATGGACCCCTTGCTTTGTGGACAGGTGCATAATGTTGGTAGAGGAAGGGACCACCTCCAAACTGTTCCCACAACGTTGGTAGCGTGAAATGGTCCAAAATGTCCCTTTTACTGGAACTAAGGGGCAAATTTGAAATTATGCTAACTATTGCAAAGGTAGGCTTTCTATTTAAATAAGCCATAGTTCTGGAGGGTGCTGAAATTAGCAATGATGCCAGAGTTATTCTCCTCTTTAAGGATATTGCCAACTCTGCTGTGTGTCTTTGCAGCATCATGGGCAGACCAAAAATTTCAATGATGCAATGAACATCCTCAACATGCTCTTCACAGGACTTTTCACGGTAGAGATGATCCTAAAACTAATCGCCTTCAAGCCCAGGGTAAGTTCTATAATACATAATTGTAAACTTGAGATATAAGTTATATTGTAATATAAATACTGTATAAGCAGAGATGGCAAAAGTACTCACTTTCCGTACTTGAGTGAAAGTACGGATACTTGTGTTAACAAATACTCTGGTAAAAGTGGAAGTACTGATTAAACTTCTTTACTCAAGTAAAAGTAACAAAGTACAGGCTTGTAAATTTACTTAAAGTATAAAAGTAAAAGTAGAAACCACTTTTTTCATGCCGTTGACTACATTTTTAATGGATGTCAGCCAAAAGGACTAGATCTCCGTTGTGTTCATTTTCAATCATCTCGTCGTCCATACTACTATGCTAACGCCACCGCCATCAAGCTGCAATGATTTGCCGCCAATGAATACCGCCGAATCTGTCGATTCATCTTGTAGTGGTGCGTCAAATGCAACGTAGATTCCCATCCAACTAGATTGAATTTGGTACTGATGACGTGAAAAATAATAACGGTAACTCCATTGAAATGATTCAAAACTAAAGTAACGAGCCAATTTTTTAAAATGTAAGGAGTAGAAAGTACAGATATTTGTGTAAAAATGTAAGGAGTAGAAGTAAAAACTCGCCATAAAAATAAGTAGTAAAGTAAAGTAAAAATATCAGAAAAATCTACTTGAGTACAGTAACGAAGTATTTGTACTTCGTTACTTCCCATCTCTGAATATAAGTAAACTAAATAAGCAAAGATTTAAGATGTTTTTTCTTTAAGCATTGAATTGTGGTACCGTCTTTCTTGTGCAAAAATTTTATTGCTCCTGCTAATTTCTTTTTCAGTTACAATACCATCATAATGAAAAGTAAAGTAGAAGTGGATGGCATATTTTAATCTCACAGCTCCCCTCCTACCTAACTGTAGTTGCTAAGAAGCTGTATACATTCATTGGATAAGCTAATAATGCCCTTGTGTATTAACAACTCAAACAGTAACAGATGGGAACGTGTCGCTCAATTACAGGAGCGTTAATGGGAAAAACCCTTACACACATTATCAGTAGCTTAAACATGATAGACTATACTTCTAACTCTTGAGTTAACAACATTAGGTTTCAAATATACAATTGTTAAAATAAAATTTTCAATTACGCGTATTTTGCATCATATAAAAACGCATTAAGCATTTAAATTTCAGCTTAATGTGAAATGCTTTAACTAGCACTAAAGTTGTTTTTTTTAAGGTTAAGTTTATTCAAAAATAAAAAGTTCATAAATTCTGAACCTTTATTTGTTTGGTTTCCAAAAATGAAAACATTATGTTATATTGTCTAATGATCTAGCCTGTGCAGAAAATTCAAGTCTCAGTGTATTTTAAGCCACCAACATTCACATTTAGTTAGGGGGAGTGGACACTTTTTATTATTGTGAAGTACAATGTGTGTGTAAAATGGATCTTCATAATGACAACCCCCAAAATAATTATTTACTTCCAATTGACATTTAGCAAAACTTCCCTCAGTAGAATTGGAAATATTTACATGACTTTGTCAAATCTAAGTGAATGGTTTAGCAGGACAGATCCTTGCATAGCCACTGCAAAAATGTCTGCTAGGAAGTTATTGCTGTGTTTGCTTTGACGCTCTGAACTTATTGTGAAAAAGCTTAGGCTTCCCTTGCAGGTCTTCATGGAACTGGCTCCAGAGTAAAATCCTCTCCGGACAAGAGCTGCTGTATTCTGTCTAATTAATTGTTTTTCGACAGGTTTTTTAGTGCCTGCATGAACCAAAAGACTGTCTTTATGTTTCACATGTACCATTTTTATTATCTTATTGAAGTTTGAGAGTATTTTACTTCATTGTGTTTTTTCTTTCTGAATATAAGCCAGTTTGTAAAGATTTCTAATGTTTAATCATTCCTTCCCTTATTTGTTTAGTTTGTTAGATATTAGCCAATTTAATATGATAAAGTTCCAATTTATCTTCTACTGATGGGAATTGTAATTGGGAATTTTACTGCGGAAATGACTTAGGGATAGTTTTCAGGGGTTTTGTTTAGAGTGCTACTGTCATAGCATAGGTGAATAGGTCAGCGGCGTATTCACCGCCAAAGCATTGCATAGATGTCCAAAAGCAGGTTGGGAAAAAAGCAACAGGAAGTTAGTTAAGGATTAAAATAAACACAGAAAATGAAATAAGAATATATTCCGTAAAAATTCAAAAAATATCCACTGGACTTGGTTTTCAAGATTTGAAGACGTTTCGCCACCTCTCCAGGAAGCTTTCTCAATTCAAATGTCTGGATCCGCAGTGAGTTTGAGTCTTATATAGACAACGCCTTGTCGCCTTGTCGCGTTGTCTATATAAGACTCAAACTCACTGCGGATCCAGACATTTGAATTGAGAAAGCTTCCTGGAGAGGTGGCGAAACGTCTTCAAATCTTGAAAACCAAGTCCAGTGGATATTTTTTGAATTTTTACGGAATGACTTTGACCTGGATGACTGAGAACCTTCATCAGCAAATAAGAATATAATTTTGGTTCACCTTTCATAAAAAGCAGCAAAGTCTAGTCATGTGTCAGGATGGCAGAGTTAAATCTCAGTGTTAAATGACTGTTATGCATTTATGTTCATAATGAATCTATTGGACTATCACATAGAAAACTGCATTAAATATGGTACTTGTAACATGATAAAGATGAATAAGTTAGGGGGTTTTGTACTTTTGCAAGGCTCAGTTTATAACAGCAGTCTAACACACCATCCTAAAAATCTAAAAATAATATTCTTTTTGTGATGCCACATCAAGCCTAGCTGATTTTTTTCAAGTTCCTTCAGCCCACTGTACACTTTCATACCACCTTAAGGGGGGCTGCGAAATGGCAGCAGATGTTGTTTTCCTTCTAACATACCTTTCTCACCCTCCTCTTGCTCACCTCATCCTGTGTAGGGGTACTTTAGTGATCCCTGGAATGTGTTTGATTTCCTCATCGTAATTGGCAGCATAATAGACGTCATTCTCAGTGAGATCAACGTAAGTACGATGTCCCCCTTTTCGCTCTCTTTGTCTCTCCTCCTCCTGTCCTTGTCTCATGTATCTTCTCGACTCTCCTTCCCCTCTTCTTGACTTCGTCTGTGTCAGGCTGCTGTTTCTGTCTCTTTTGTCAGCCTGTTTTTCTTCCTTCCTTCTTCCTCCTCCTCTCCCTTCACACTATAAATCCAAGATGGCCATTGCCACTAAGGGGGACCCCCTTCGTTCACCTTCTCCTAGCTTTAAGGCTTCCCAAACAAAAAGGGGAAGCTTTTGCAGCCAGGGTTCAGCTTTAAAGGGTTTATCAATTGCGTTCTCCTTTTTTTCCCCACTATGTTCGAAATGTTGCTGGGTTTTAGATTTATTTTATTTCCTTTTGGTTGTATTGTGGCACATACCCCTAACTAACTGAACTAACTCACTGACCAATCATAAACAGTCTCACACAGCTTTTTAACTCCAGCAGAGGGCACTTTTTCATTGTTGTTGTGATTTTGTTCCTGACTGTGGTTCTTGATGACATCTCCTCTCATGGACAAGCATGACCAGCCGCTGCTGCTCCTCCTCTGCTGTCCATCTCTTTCAGACTGCCCCTTTTTTTTTTTGTTTGCTGTTGAATTTTGTTGATTCTTTCCCCTCTTTCCTCCTCCTCAGAACTCCAATGCTCCTGTATGTAATGTTTTATCTTATTTTTTTTCTCCTCTCTCCTTTTGATTTCTGTCGTTTCCATCTTTTTTTGTGTCTTATGTTCTGTCCTTTTCTTGTTCTTCTGTTGTTTTCCCTTTTCTTTCCATCCCCTACACAGCATTATTTTGTTGATGCATGGAACACTTTTGATGCCTTGATAGTTGTGGGTAGCATTGTTGACATAGCGATCACTGAGGTTAACGTAAGTAGTCCTACTCCCTCCCTCCCTTCTTTTGCCTTGCCTGATCTGCCATTCCCTCGTACACAAACAGACTGAGTGCTGATTCCTATTTCACAAGCTTTCAAATGACCAAGTGTTTGAATGCAGTAAACGGCCATTAAAACTTATAGATCAAACAAGAAAAATCCCCGCCCCCCCAGTTTACTATGAACATATCTTCATATTCTATAACAGTTGTTCCTAAATGTTCGCCGCTTCTCACTCCCAATTTTCTGTTTAGATTCCTTCCCATTTGAAGCTGTCTCAGATAGGTGCACATGCCTCGGTCTGCTGAGCGTTGGTAGCTTCAAAGATTCTTGCATTTGTCAATAGAAACCTTCTGCATTTTTTCAGCACTCGGTTTGGTTACACATTAAACTATCTTTCATCATTGCCACTGGGAATATCAAAATATTACCATGGCATTATGGACACTGTATAGCATGGCATATTCAAAGGTGGCATAACAGGGCCTTTTTATTTGTCGAGGTACAAGGGAGGATATTTTAAATTTTTACTTAAGGATCTGAAACTCTCTTAACTCCTAAATTACCAGAATAACCTGAAGATTAAATGAGTAAAAGGGCTACTGGTTTCTTTTATCCTCATACATATATGAGGAAGTATTGGATTCATAAACGGATTTATGAAGTACGCCATGTCATTTATGGAAATGCCAGCATGGCTTTTATTATTGGCTCTATGGTCAGCAGTGGGACTGGCTGAGTAGGAATGTAGAAAGGTAATCATTTGGCTCTAGTCCTGTAGCCTAATTAATATTATTTTGAGCTATTCTAACTTTTGAGCCTTCAGCATGAAAAAAATAAACCAAAGACATATGTAAGTCGCTAGGTGGAGATCCTCCCATATTCTCCATATTCTCAGTTTTAAATTTCTTTTAAGATAAGGACCAAGAACTGAACATTCATTTTCCTCTACGCAGAAAAACATGTTTTACCTCAGTGGCTTTTGCATACAAATAAGGTTGATTTATCCCAAGAGTGTACGGACTTAGCACTTTGTCTCATGGCTTTAGAAAGCGAATCCATTTTTACCCATGAGAGGTCGACTAGGCTGCCTTTAAAAGACACAGGGTCATTTAGAACTCCACTATGAGATATGGGAGGCTTTATTCAGCTTTCCAACAGCAATCTTTGCAGGAGATTGCTGCATTTTCAGTGAAATAATAACTTACATGAGCATAATCTTTATAAGCATATGATTGTATTAATAGTTTGTGTACCTTTTAAAAGAATAAAAAGCCTACTTTATGCCAAGGTTTACTGGGCCTGTGATATACACCTTTGTCATCTATACAGTTCACTGATGTTGCACTGCACACTTTGGTTTGAATAGTGCACTTTATTTGACTGATTTGGTCAGTTTGAGAGATTAATTGATTGATTGGTTCCTTGAATGAGTAATCTCTTTTTTTTATGTATAATCTTAAAGCATGCACAGAATCTTTTTGTTTCAGTTAGAGGATTTAAAAAATGTGGGCAACAATTATCCCAAGTACGCTTGTTTTTTTTTTTCTTGATTTTAAGAAACCCTCCGCACTCCAATCCTGAGAGAACTGACTGTTTTGAACAAGAACCAAAGCATTTCAAATGTTAGCCTGTCTTTTCATTTCATTCCTCACACAGGTCCAAGTCTCTTTTTTTTTTTAAACAGAGCAAAAGAAAGGCTTTTTTAAAGTGCAAAATGAAATGTAGTGACAGACTAGCATTTTAAATGTTATCACATTTTCTTCAGTAAATAATTAAAAGGCAAGAACATCCCATCTGGGTGTGCCCACTTCCTCACTCTGCTGGGTATCCGTTGACTTAGATTAGCTGAATTTGTTTTGAGAAGCTGTTGAAAGGAAAATATTCTCCCACTGCTGGGTCCCTAATTCTCCCCAGCTTCCTGCGAGTGCTTCTTAAACCATGTCTGGATTTTTTTACATTTTACTTTGGTATGTGTAGAACTAGTATGAACAGATTGGTATTGGTTTGCTCTGCGTGGTGCCTTGCAGAGGATGTCAGTTATGGATTGCATCTATTTCTCTTCTCTTTCTTTGGAATGCTTCCTCCTCTCCTTCCTTTCTTACCTTTCTTCTTTTCTTTCTGAGCCTTTTCCGTTAACTAAATCTTCTGTTTTTGATGTTGAAATCTCCCTCTATTTACCTTTTTTTCTCTCGTCGGTCTGTGGTGCCGTTTGCTCACCTGAAATGCAAGCAGGGTAACATGGGCTTTCCTTCGTCAATCTGTCAATATTTATGTATTTAAAAGCATCTTGAAATTCATTTTTTTAATTAAATATTTTCACATTTTCTCAAAATTAGAGAATCTAAAGACTTTAAAGTATAGTTTTTAAGAGGGCACCCATGTTACCCATGGAACTGATTGAATTTTTGCTTGAAAATTTGATGTGCAATGTGAGAGAGCAGTTCAAGTTCATTTGAATAAGCCCATTAATGCAGTGAGCTGCAGGTAGAAACACTCACATCTGCACAGTAGTTCAGCCTGAAAAGAAGACTGTATTTTTAGATTGTTTTGTCTTTTTTTATGCTATATTTGTTCTGAATAAACTCTCAACAAATGAAGTAGTTCACAGAGGGACACAATTTCCCCATAGTTTGTATTTCATGAGCTTAAGAGTAAATAAACTAAACATGCGTATTTCAGTTAAGTTTTATAGTTTATTTCAATAATTTAGTTCAGATAACTTGCCCTAAGTTACCCTACACAATTCTATACTGCCACACTGGCTCTAAACCTGGACATAACCTTGTTTAAAAATTCTAGTCATATTTAAAATATACTTAAAAGAAACTATATTTAAATAACCACATAAAATGCAATATTTATCTTGTCCAGTTCTGGTGCTGAGCAAACTACTTTATTCTATAAAGTAACATAAACTGGTAAATTATCAGGCTGATACTTAGTTGATGCACATTTGAATTCCATTTCAGACTTTAAGTCAATTAATCTAATTAAGTTTAAAGGAAGTTTAGCTATCTAGACAGGATTTGTTGGAGATCTATATATCTGCTTATCAGAATCTTTTAGCTATAGTAGATGTTTGAAGAAAGAATACAAAGAATCAATTTATCAAATTGTACAAACACTGCCCTCTTAATTAAGGACTAAACGCTTTTGCTGAAACATTTAGGTAATATTATTAAAAAAAAAATGATGTTTTATTTAGGATACATGTGTGAGCATATAGTTGTTTGTATGCCCTAGTTAAATTTCTTTACCCCCTAAATATATCCAACATTGCGTGTTTATTTGTTTCCTTATTTTTTAACCAAAATATTTTACAACTTATTTTCCTTCCCATTTTCTTACATTATTTTTTCTGCTTTTTCTCTTATTATCTTCCTTAAAAGCTGATTGAATTGACTTGTTCCAACTTTTTTGCTCATGGTCCTGTAATGTTGTGGGAAAGTATTTTAAGGCAGCCAGTCTAAACCTGAGTCTTAAATACTGTACTCCCAGTAACAACCAGCAGGTGTCCCCCAAAAGGCCCTAATTTCCAAGTCTCTCATACACAAATGGCTTTTAAAAGGAAATGCATTGAATATTAAATTTTAAATATAATAATGATAATATTAAACCGATTTATAATTTAATCTAATGTCAGCTACAATATTCACGAAAGTGAAACAAGATGCATTTAATAAACATATAATCTCAGTGATGTGAGGTAGAATAACTTCAGGGGGACCACAACATATATGCAGAGTCATCTGTTTCCATGAAATCAGCCAATGAGGACACAGATAGCTCTGTTTTTTAAACATATATTTGGGCCTTTAAAGCAAAGGACCGCTGTGTTCCTGTTCTACATATTTTAGTCATCCACTACTTTGATAAGAAGGCTTTATGTTGCCCTTAGAGATATTGTAGACCAACTGCTAATAAATTTAGATTGCACACAAGTCTCCATTTAGTTTCAGATGACATTTGTCACCACTATGTGAGGGTTGAGCAAAGTCTGAACCCTCATTTTGTTTCACAAACACGCACACAGAGGCATGCAGGCGCAACTCTGGTGCTGATCTTTGTTGCCTTTCCTTAAAGCCAGCTGACTCGTCCTCGTCCTCCTCCTCCTCTTCCTCTTCTTCCTCCTCTCACCCCCATGTGGTAAGGCCAATGGTACGCCCCAACGGTAACCTCGTCCGCCTCCCTACCTCCTCCACCATCTCTCCATCCTCTTTCTCTTTTTCTGTCCCTCTCTCTGATACTCGTAAGCATTTGGCTTCCCATTCAGCATTTCATCTCACTACTGTTGCTCAAGCTATGGTCCTCTGCAGCATGCTCAGAGTTATAGTCATGTTTCTCTTGTTTATATTGTGAAAATATACATGTATATATGAATGTGTGAGTTTGTGGGACACTCCATTTTGCAGGCAGAGTATAATTGTCTTGTGTGTTTTCTAAATATAGTATTGTGTTTCTTATGTTGTGGTTATCTTTTGTGCTTTCACGTTGGTTCAAGTCATCATGATCACGCAATCACGCCATCTTTTACTCTTCTCCACTGGCCAGCCATCTAAACATTTATCTGTCTATCTACAGTGCCTTACAAAGGATTCATTCTGTCACTTTATAAACACAAACTTAAACTTATTTTACTTTCTTATAGACCAACAAAAAGTAAAAGTGAAGAGGAAGAAAAAGTCCTGTTTACAACAGCATTTACTAATGAAACCATTAGATGTATTCCGACCGCTTTACTCTAATAATACCTGCATAAACAGTGCTGCAAATAAAAGTGATCCAACTGGTAAACACAGAATGTTAGAGAACACAGAAATAGTTCTTAAGAGGTTTAAAAAAGGATTAGATTGGAAAACAATGTCTCCAGCTTAAAACACTGCAAGGTACAAGCCTCCAACAAGCACCATGGTAACACATAAGGACCTGCATAAAAAACAACTTAGGTTGGTGAAGTTGTTGATGAGACAAACAGCTGCACAAATCTGGCTTGTGTACAAGGATGGCAAGAAGAAAGGCTGAAAAAGAAAACTAAGGAAGTTTGTCTAAAGTCATGTAGGGGACAGGAACGAGATGTTAAAATCAAACTTGAACAAGTTTGAACTTTTTGATCTAAGGGCAAAATACAATAGAGCTTGTCAAAGTTGAAGAAACTTATGAAAGGCTAAAATAGACTGTAGACTCATTCACCTTCCAGTCAGATTTCTACCTGAACAACCACAGCAAAAATGGAATGGTTTAGATAAGGGGTCTCCAAATCCAGTTTCCAGAATCCACTTTGCTACAACTTTATGATACACCCCTGCTCTAACACACCTAAATTTAACTAAGGGCTCATTACTGGGCCCCTGCAGAACTTGATTAAATGCTTCTGAGGTAATTTAGCCATTTGTTTATGTGTGTAGGAGCAACACCGCAACTAAAAATAGGACAGGAGCTCTCGAGAACCCTAGTTAAATGAACCCATCAAAAAATACCCATAAGCTAACAACTAAATCCTGTAATCAAAGGTAAAACCTGATAATCATGCTTACAGTTTTTTTTAAATATTCAGCAAAAACCTTCATCTTAAAAATCAATCAGCTGCAGTGAAAAATGGATCTGATCGGTATTGAATAAAGGTGGGAAGAGGGCATATATTTAATACGTATGCCACACCTTTGGTTCTTTTGTTCTAAGTAAAAATAACCTTTTCTTCCACTTCACAAATATGCAATACTTTTATTGGTCTATCAAACAAATTGGCAAAAAGCAGCATTAAAGGTTATGTCTGTAACATGAAGCAGTGAGGAACAGTTCTCCTTTGCCAGGCAACGTATCTGTCAATGTTTCTGCCTCTAAATTGGTCTTTTTGTTTCAAACTACTTTTCATCTTCAAACTCTCCTTAATCAAACTCCTTTTCTCTCTGTCACACTTTCTCTCTCTGTGCCTCTCCTGCCCACTTGCCCAACTCTTCTAATGGTGCAGTGGCGCCCACTGTGGTCCAGCTGTGTTATTACTTGCAGTGCTGAACTGTGATTTCCACTCCTCAGAGCGATGCATCATTTTCCTTATATCCGTCAGTGGAGTGTGGGACAACTCATTTTAGTTCTGAAAACTAGTTAATAACAGATACATTAATAAAAAAAATGAATAAAAAAATAAATAAAAAATTTAATGCAGCACTTTGTTTAAAGGTATAATATCTGTTGTCCCAAACTGCAATGGGATATATGGAGAATGACCGGTTCTTTAAAAGAACACACTGTGTGTTCTCTGGGGGATTAACATAAAGAATTAATGGCTTCTTGGAAAAATATAAATGGCAAAAAATATTAGGTTTCAAACCGTCTGCTGTATTTCATGGATCACATTTAGGTATTTTAGTTCTTTGCTATTATTTTTACCGTTGTCTTAACTTGATTTATTATTAAGCTCTTAGTCATGTCCTGTGTGCAGCTGTTACTGCTTATGATGAAATCCATATGCTACATTTTTATTTTCCTTTTTTTAACATAGAAAGCGGAGACAAATATAAATAAATAAATCTGTATTAGAACAGCACTCAGCCAGATGTCTAAATATTTAAACACTAGTTAGTTCGTGTGGGCAACTCCAGGGGCTTTAAGATGTTAGAAATGAGGATACCCTTCAATTTATCATTCTTCAAACTTTCTTAAACAATTAAAAGAAAGCCACATTCCCTTAAGATGCCAACCAGGGGAATGTTTTTGTACAGTAAAACGACTCCAGTTCTAATATATTTTGATAAAAGGGACTTAAATTTCATTTTGTATGTACATGTGCGTCTTGATAAATTGGAATATTATCAAAAACTGTCAGTCATGCCATTTTAAGAAAGAAGGCTTGTATATACTTAAAAGGTCAGTGATGCCAAACTGATCAAGCATATCATGGAAAGGTAAGTGAAAGGAAGTGGTGTTTCTAGAGATCAGTACATAAACTGCATTGGTATTGACAGCTTTAAGTGTAAAGTAAAATCCATTCAGGAGTTAGGAAAATATTTATAAAGCACAGATTGTGTCTGGAGTCCTGTATCTCACAGATCTAAGGAACTCTGCTGACGAGCTTTATGGAGATGCTGGCTTTATTTTCCGGCTGAATTTATGTATCCGGCCGCATTGATGGAAGTACAAAATTTAGCTTTAATGATTATTGCATTACCGGTATTTTTTTTTTCTGTATTGGTCAGCAAACCGAGAAAAACTATGGGGCTTTGTCAAGATGAAGTTTAGACACATAACACACCACCATGCAGGCAAGTTGAAGGTAGCCTTTAAGCCAACCATGACATCATGACATTGAACACCTGCTGCAGAGTAGCTTATATCGATTTCATATTCAGCGGTACAGTTTTTCATAAAATAAAAATAATAGAATAAAATAATTGAACATTGATCACATTGGAGAAATGCACCTCTGCATTTAACCCATCCCCTTGGGAAGCATTGGCCTGCCATTGGGCGACGGACAAGGAGCAGTGTGAGGTTAAAGGTCATGCGCAGGGACCCAGAGTGGCAGTCTGTGGGAGTGGGGCTCGAACATAGAACCTCAGGATTCCATGGTCTATGCCCTAACCACTAGGCCGCCACTCCTCCAAAGGCCCACCTCCAAATAAACTTTTGAAATATATCATTGTAGGTAAAGGTTACGGATTTTACTGCAAAAAATAAACTTTTCACTGACATCCTATTTTATCAAGATGTACCTGTAAATCTCTGAGGTGAAGGCAATTCTTACCTGTTTTAATTACATCATTTTGGACAAAAAGAAGTATAGTGGCTTGAAATTAAGGTTGTGCAGCAGAAAAGCCCGAGTAATTTTTATATAGGAAGCTGCTGGATACATTTATTTACTGCTGCCAAATGATTTTTCCATGAAGTCGCATAAAAAGCATGACTGCCCGATTCTCTCCCAGATCTCTTTTCTTGTTTGATTTTGATGGGATTTCCTCAGGACGCTGATTTCCATTTATTAACTATGTGTGTATGTGTGTGTGTGTGTGTGTGTGTGTGTGTGTTATGCATATTCACATCCGCGTCTTCGTACTCATTGTAATATGCATACAAACGACCTGTGTGGTTCTCACGTCTCTGTCTACATACGCATGTCCGTCTTTCCCCATTTCTATGTGTTTGTGTGGGTTATGTGTGTCTGCGCGTGCTTCCCTTCCTTATCAATTTGCATGTGTTCCCATGCGTCCTGTGTTTTTTTTTTCTCTAAAAAAAAACACCAAACCCCACCAAAAGGGACTTCAGAATTCTGAAGAGAACGCCAGGATCTCCATCACCTTCTTCCGGCTGTTCCGCGTGATGAGGCTGGTCAAGCTGCTATCTCGCGGGGAAGGGATTCGGACCCTGCTGTGGACCTTCATCAAATCGTTCCAAGTGAGGGGAGAAACGGACACAACATGCTAGAGAAAATACGGGGTTGTGTTTATGCGGTGCTAATCTTACTCAAGTTGCACTTCCTTATAAGACTTTGGTCTTTAAGGATTTAAAACTACATTATCCAAACCTGATAAAGTCTCCTTTCCTTACGTCATCCCTCCTCAGGCTCTCTTTGAGGAAATTCATGTTGAAGGGATGAGGAAGGAAATGGAGAAGAGGTTCGGACTCTAGCAGGATAGTTAGGGAAATACTAAATACTTTTTTTCTGCCTTTCCACCTCTCCTTTCCTTCTCCATCTTTTATCTTCCTTCTCAAGTTATACATCCTACTATCACTAACGCATAAAGCTCATCATTTCCCTGTAGATGAGATAAGCAGTAGATAAGTTCGACAAAGCACCAAAAAAATCTAAATCATTTGATTGAGTTGTAGATAAAAGACAAAAAAGAATCTGTTCTCTCTCTTGCGCTTGGTAAATTGGGCTATTTCTTGTTTAATTTCATGCAAGTATATAGTGTAGATCTTTAACTTAAAATTAAAAGTGCATATATTATGAGTTTTAGAATTGTTTCTTTTATTTGTCTTCAGATTGGTAGTTTAGGATAGTGATAGTCAAAATTTATGTATATTGGTTAAAACAGCTTATTAAGAATTAACATATTGATGGTTTTTAGAGGAATAAAGATAATGGTTTCTCTGTTGCGCACCTATCTAGCTCTAAATCACCATTAGATAAAATTGAAAAACCGTCTCAAAAACTGTGCTTCAAAAATCTACAATTCGGAGCGCATTCAGATGGCTGATTTTCTGCCGAGCTTTTTATTTGTCACTGCTTGTTGTCACTTTTCTTAATATTAAAGGTTTGTGACTAGACTACAGTCATGTAGAATAGGGGGAAATATTTGGATGTAATCAAGGATTTAATTAATATGAAATTGTCTAAAGAAATTTTGAATCACCAAAAAACAGTTAAAAAAAATGTGTGCAGAGAAACATTTGGATCGCAAACAGCACATGTAGTTGCTGCCATTATCTAGCCACTGCCTCCAATAAATGTATATTCAGTTGTTAAAGAGAATTATGCACTTTCTAGATGAGTGTCTACATATTCCTTCATTACACTGTAAATCTGTAAATTCAGATTAGAATTTTACTATTTTTCTTCAGTTTGTCCAAAATGTGTTGCGGTTACTAATCAGCTGATAATTCTTTATGCTTTAAATAATTTCGAAATATTTTCTGGCTCAATACACAACAATTACCCTTAAAATAATAATTTTAAGCATGACTTGGCCTGACTAACCAATGCACAGGAGCTATTTTAGCCAACAGCCCAGCTACGCAGTCTGTCTGTTAGAGCTGGTCTGCTGCCTAAAATTTAGAGACTAGATCTTGTTGAGGTTTTAAACTGTAGTCAGATGATTTCTACTTGCTTTTTCTTGGTGCTGTGCTACTTCAGATGCATTCACTTTTATTTCCTAAAGAACCAGCTAATTGTAATAAACCTGTTATGCATCTATTATTTGTACTATAAGTGAGAAAAGGGATCTGAAAAGTGAATGTTCTGCAGTATTTGTGACTATAAGCACTTGGCACTGATGGTTATCTCCTCTTTTCAGGCTCTGCCCTATGTAGCTCTGCTAATAGTGATGCTCTTCTTCATATACGCTGTCATCGGCATGCAGGTAAGATGTTGCTTTTGTTGCCTTGTTACCCTGAATCTTAAGGTCTTCTGTTTCCTTTTCTCTCCTGTAGCAGGCCTTCATGTTTCGTCTATCCTGGAACTGGTCAAATCAGCATTCTCCACATGTTTGGCCACCGTTTCTTTTTTGTTTGTTGTCAATCTCTTTGTCTTTCCTTTGCTTGTACAAGCTGTGGTGCTGTTTCTTTCCCATTTGATGTGGGGTTGCGGTTTGATTTGATTTACTAGAGACAGCTGGCCTTAAACTGACGGCTTCTTGACACTGCTGACATCATTTTCTGAATGCTGTGACTACCTCTCTATTCCCCCTCCTAACCTACTATGCAGATGTTTGGTAAGATAGCTCTGCAGGACCACACGCAGATCAACAGGAACAACAATTTCCAGACGTTCCCTCAGGCAGTCCTGCTCCTCTTCAGGTAAGCATGGTTAGAATGATCCTAGAAAGAAACTTTTCTTTCTTGCTCATACCTTCTCCACCTGTTTTAAAGAACATTTATACTCTACCTTCTGCTGTTAATCTTATGTTTACTATGTTTTAATGTAGGGAAGACATGCATATTTTTTTTGGTGTTTTATAAAATTAAGAACTAAATAAAGACTTGGAATTTTATTTCTTATGAGGTGATAGAAAAATAAGGACAATTTTTTTCTACAAGAGAGACCCTCATAAAGTAGTGCATAATTCTGAAGTGAAAAGAAAATGTTACACAACCAAACACAAAATGGTTTGCAGGATTTTTATTTTAGCGTGTGTTTGCCTTTTGCGGTTCTGCCTTTTCAGATTTTCATTTTTTAAGTTTTAAGTACGTAGGCTTAAATTTATTCATATATTACCAGAAAGCCTATGTCAATAAAAAAGGCATATACCCATCCAATAATATTGAGGATTCAACTTTGACTGGGTTATTTTAGTGCATGGATATACTTTTATTTTAGCATATTTAGAGTTAGTTTCTTAATAAGAAACTGGCCCTCTTCAATCTCTTGAAGCATGTTAAAGTTGCTGGGTTTTTTCCCCACAAAAATCCCTGCAGAAGATAAAGCCTCTACATGGTGGATACATTGTGCTGTGGCAACAGTGCCCAATTGCTTACTAATTGGGAACACCTCTTGGATAAAGCAGAGCTGTCAAACTCCACTCATCGAGTGCTGGTGTTGTGCAGCTTTTAGATATGTCCCTGATCTAACACAGCTGAATCAAAAGCACCAAACATGACATCATTAATTGACTAGTATTTTAGAGCATGCATGTCTAAAAAGTTGCGAATTAGCCAGCGGAGCGAGGAGTTTGACACCTGTGCTCCAAAGATTCTTAGAAAAGTTCACTGTCTCAACATCTGAACATCCATGGAACTGATGTTGAAATAATGGACACCTCTAAGTATCTGGGTGTTCCCATTAATAATAAACTGGACTGGAGAAGCAACACTGATGCTCTTTCAGGAGCATCATAGTAGGTGTGCAGGAAAAACTCATAAACCTCTGACTTTTGTTCTGTTTTTGAACTTGCCCATTTGTCATTTAATCTGAATGTGTGATTTTTTAAATAATTTAAGAGTTTTTTCTCTTTTTTTTTTTTTTACTTCGCAGTCTATTCTTAATTCTTTAGATTTTTGTCCCTTTTAATATAACATACTATTGTGCGTTTTTGCTTTTCTTCCTTTTTGCTATCCCACTAACATACCTTAATTTTCCCACTGTGATATAACAATATACAGGGAGTTTATTCTTGCTAATGTCCTTAAAGAACAGATATATCGTTAGTGATTTTATATTTACAGGCATTTCACATTTACGCGTATTTAGCTATAATTGATTTGTTTTTATATGAGAAAAAGGCGTTAAATAAAAATGCATGATACACTTCACAGGTTGACTATCAACAGATGTGAAAGGCATTTTTCATCTTTCTTCACAATTATGCACTACTTTGTGTTAGTCCGGCTCATTCATTTCAGAAAAATGACATTGATGAAATGTAAATAAGTTGTAGGAATACTTTTGCAGGGCACTTCCTCTTGATGGAATTGTTTAAGGAAAGCGATGTTTATATTATAACTATTCACACTTATGTTTATTTTTTGCTTGTCTCTCCCCCTCTTTCCCATTTGGATTGTTGTTTTTTGTGTATGTTTATGCATGTGTGTGCGTGTATGTTTTTTTCCATACATCTGGATGTAATATTCTTTTGTTTTTGTGGATTTGAATGTTTTTGCATGATTCTGCATGCTGCATGTCTGTACTTCTGTTCTGTTTATCAGATGTGCGACTGGTGAGGCGTGGCAAGAGATCATGCTGGCATGTTCGCCCAATCAACCATGCGAGAAAGGGTCAACCAATGAAACCAGCTCAGCCCATGAGGACTGCGGCAGCCAGTTTGCCATCATTTACTTTGTCAGCTTCTACATGTTGTGTGCCTTTCTGGTATGTGCAAAGAACAGAAGAATGTTTTCAACTGAGCAAAATAATTTGTCAATATTATGTTTTTACTGTATTGTTTTGCAGATTACACTTTTTAATTAATGTATTAATGTAATTCAAAATATGACTGATTATGTTCTTTTTTTTTCTAGATCATCAACCTCTTTGTGGCTGTAATCATGGACAACTTTGACTATCTCACCCGGGACTGGTCAATTTTGGGGCCACATCATCTTGATGAGTTTAAGAGGATATGGGCAGAATATGACCCAGAGGCTAAGTAAGTTTAAAGGGAGCAGAAATAAAATCAGCATCAGAATGAAGACATGCTCATACTTATGGGAGAGACTTGGTCGTTTGTTTTCAGGGGGAGGATAAAACACCTAGATGTAGTCACTTTGCTTCGGAGAATTCAGCCTCCTCTCGGTTTTGGAAAGCTCTGTCCACACAGGGTGGCGTGCAAGGTAAAAAAAATATAAAATAATGCAAATTCCTACACATTACCTGTCAGATGTGTTAAACTGAAGAACAATATATTAAAACGTTTCATAAGATTCAATGTTTTTTATTGAGTAATTCATCAAGCATATGCAAAGTTCTAGTTGGATCAAGATCCTGGGACTTTTCCTGCCATTGCCCCTAAGTGTCACTGAACTAATAGGTGATCACTTATGACATGGACATGCTGGAAAAGTCCTATTTTTTATTGTATTTAAGAGCTTGTTTTACTGTGCTGAACCATCTAAAAACTGTTTGCATCAGTTTCATTCATTTGTTTAATGTGATTTAGTGAATAATATGCTGGATTTCTTGCAACAGCATCCTAGCAGGTCAGGCTTGTAGCAGGGCTAAACCTTAATGCAATTTTGGTTATTGTATTAGTTATTTTGCTATTAATGTAATTTAAATGTATTCAATCTTCATAGCAACCTAGACCCAATGCAAATCCCAGTGTCAAATACAACTGAAGCAACTCTAAGCAGCAGATTTCCATGACCTCCACAACTGTTGATCATGACTGTATGTCTGCACTGTTTCGGCTCATGACTGTGTGGTTTCCTGTAGCGCCTGGTGTCAATGAATATGCCTCTGAACAGCGATGGAACCGTTATGTTCAATGCCACATTGTTTGCATTGGTCAGAACTGCCCTCAGGATCAAGACAGAAGGTAACAGACACAAATAAGGACAAACACTTTATAGAGTGGTGCAAGTTAAGCTAACAGGCATAGAAACCAAGACCTTTCAAGAGAATGGACGATAATGAAAGCAATTTTACGAAACATATTTAGAATGTATGATAATTATGACTTCCCTTGGAGTCAAACTAAATTAGAATGGATTTGATTAATAATTGTCGAGGTTTAATAAGTGCTTATTAATGACCTTTGATGATTTCTGTATTTGCAACTCTAAACCCAAGTACTACAACAGTGTGATTTCAAAATGCTAGTGACAGTGCTAACCCTGATATCACACAAATACATCTGAGGCCTAGAAAATAGACTCGAGAAAAGTAATTTGTAAAATTTTTCAGTTAAACAACCAGTCCCTTTCTGGTGGTGCCCAAAATATAATCACTGTAAGTATTTTTTTTTATATTTGGCTGAAACAATATAAGAATAAACATTTTCTGCAGCTGGTTCCTAGTATATAAGTTCCAGACCCAAAACTAATATGCAGAAATTGAAGGAATTCAGGAGTGTCCAAGATCTCAAGCTATAAGTAAAATGATATGTTATCAAATCTAAATGAGGGTTTTTGATGAATTGAGGCCTCAGTCTTAAGTGCGACAGTCTTTCCTTAACCATACTGTATGCATGCTGTTTGATGCACATCCAGGTAATCTAGAGCAGGCTAATGAGGAGCTAAGAGCAATTGTGAAAAAGATTTGGAAGAGAACCAGCATGAAGCTATTGGATCAAGTTGTGCCCCCTGCTGGTGGTGTGTATCCTTCCCAATACACATGTGATTTCTCCAAACCTACACTGACAACTCATTCTAAAACTTATCCATTAAAATGTTGAATTGTTTTGCAGATGATGAAGTTACAGTTGGAAAGTTCTATGCCACCTTCCTCATTCAGGAATATTTCCGCAAGTTTAAAAAGAGGAAAGAACAAGGTCTAGTGGCCAAGGTACCCCCCAAAACGGCCCTTTCTCTGCAGGTACTCACAGAAGTTGTGTGTTTGGTTTTTGATGACAGTCCCATAAAAACGGAAGCAGAGGCTATGAAGCCAACTGATGGTGTTAAACTTGTGTGCAGGCTGGCCTGCGGACACTGCACGACATCGGTCCAGAGATAAGGAGGGCCATCTCTGGAGACTTGAATGTGGAGGAGGAGATGGACAAAGGCATGAAGGAGTCAGTGTCAGCTGCGTCTGAAGACGATATCTTCAGGGTAAAGGTCTGATACACAAGTCCCCACTCACTCTCCAGAAAGAGGGAGAGAAAGAGACGGCCGGCACCAGCTTGAGCATCCATCCATTTACAGATACATGCCTGCATGTGCTCAGTGTACCACAAAGCTTGGCTGCATCATATACTTTGACAGTGAGGGAGTAGACACACTTTCCCTGAATATTCTGGGCTTTTGGTTCAGCATAAGTCTACGGAATAAGCGTTGTTGTTCACATGTGGAACGACTGCTGTCAAGTAAGCTGATTATTTGAAAGAGACGATTAAGCCAGATATGTCTGTTAAAAATCAACCTTTTCCATACAATGTCTATTAGGGTAAAGCAGTGGTACAAGTGCAACTGCAGATGAAAAATATAAGTAATATGAGAGACGGCGTTGGCATTACAATCTAAAATGTTCATTAGCAGAATGTATGAGCACAGTTACTGTATATCATCTAACATTAAAAGAACATAAACGAAGGGAATCCCAGCTCCCACTAATGTCTGCTGTCAGGGGACATTAAGGTTTTATATCCTCTTATAATGATACAGAAAAAATTATGGTATGAATCTAAGGTTCTAACTACTTCTAATTATTACATCCAATTACTCATTTTAAATTATTTAAAAATAAATTTAACAACATTGGTATCAAGAAAAATAAGCTTTAGTCCAAATTCAGCTATGTGTTGTATTCAACTAGCTCAAAATGCGAAGTGAGTCATTCTAATGGTAGACAGGAAGAAGTGATTACAAAATCACCAGTTATTTCTATAATTTTAGAAATTCTGAAATATGAAACAAAATAAATTATTAAGTATTTTAACTACCCTCAACAAAAAAGGTAATTTTATGCTCTTAGTTGTTGTTTTTGTTTTGGACTTACTTAGTTTGTGGCTATATTTAAAATCAATACAGTCTTCCCCACTGACTGAGTGATGTTCCTTTTTGAGCAAAAGGAGATAAATACATAATGAGAGAATACTCTGTATTCTTTTTATGATGCACTGCTTCGATCCACTACTTTTAGCTCTGGTTTTTTTGTTGCTTTGCCTGATTAGCAGCTGCTGGTCTTTGCTTTCCATTTCCATGTAGTGTAGTTTCATCGCTATACAAAGCACAGACATTAACTCAGAGGATGTGACCTAGCATTAAGTTAGACTCGAGCCTTATACATATTTCAGATTTTTAGATTTAAATCGATGAAAACAAAAATTTTGGACATGAGTCTGACTTTGACGAATTGTAGATTTCTTCAGCTTGACCTCTTTGATCTAAGAAGATTTTTTACCAAACAGAAAGTATGTTTAAAAAAGATGCTATAAATTGTGGGGCAAATTTAGAGAACAATTATCCATGATCCATGAATAGGCTACTAAGCAACGTAACTCCATATACCATCATTTTTAAGCTTTTTGAGTAAGAAATCCAGATGTTAGGAGTTTTCCAGACCGATCTTAATTACAAGTCTGAAGACAGTGATCAGGGTGGCTCCCAGTGACAGCATAGGCAGTCGTATGGAATGCCAGAGGTGCCATGAATCTGTGGCCTTTGTGTTGAGTGATAGACACAGCACAAAATGCCCCCAGAAACATAGCGGGAGTGATGTCATCGCTGAAGTCAAAATCAAAGTATTTTTTTCTTGAAGTGATAAATGAGTAAAATAAACAATCACACAAATCTAGATAAAAAAAATTAATAGCCTGGTATTATTCGTCTTCGTCATTACTTATATGTCACATATACACATATACTAATAATAATGTTATCTTGCTCCTTTTTTTTTTTTTTACATTTTTAGGATCCAAATTCTTTCTTCTTCAATATTTTGAAATTTTTTATTACGTTCTTTTATCAATTAGTTTGATTTATTAATTCCCTGAGATCTCTGCTTGCTGGTTCTTCTGGCAACAAAACAAAAACAAAAATAAAAATCAATAATTTTAAAAGCTAAAGATTATTATCACTCTAATTAGATTAAATAATTGGTTGAATTACTGTGTTAAGACAAAAATTGAAAAGTTTAGGACATTGACATTGCTCAAAACCTCTATGCCTTCAGTTGGACTTTCCACAAGACTTACTTGTGACTAAAAATAAGTTTTGTCCACCCTCCAAAAGTTAATAATTGCTCTGCATTACATAAGCAATAAATTTGCTGTATTTATTTTCAAATTTTGTCCTTCTTGAACAAACTTCCTTGTATGTTATTGTGGTACAAAGTGGTGCATAGTTGTAAAATGTAAACAAAAGAAACAGGGTTTTTAAAAATCTGGAAAGTGTGACATGCATACATATGTCTTACCACTGAGTGAATACTTGGTAAATACATATGGGTAATATATCTACCAGATATTCTCCATTCTTCTTGACCAAATAAGCCAAGTCAAGCAGGGTGGTGAGTATGAGGGAAAAGCTAGCTTAAAACCTTTCCACAGATTTCAATTTGAATTTAGGTTTGACCTTTAAATTGGCCATTCCACAATATTACATCTGATCTAAAGCAATCCGTTATAGCCCTGCTGGAAGATGAAACCTGACTCCAGTTGCAAGTCTTTTTCTGGCTCTAATAGTTTTACGATTGCCTTGTAGTTAGATCCACCCATCTTCCCATCAACTCTGACCTTTTTCTCTGATAAAAGGCACCCCTACTGAATGATAATGCTACCAGCTGAGGTTCAGAATCTAGGGGGTCAAATACACATACACATTTATCACTCCTGTCTTATGTGATTGTCAAAGAATCAAAATGTATGTATTTCCTTCAGACCCCCTTTCATAGTTAAGAACTATGCACTCTCTAAAACAAATTACTATTAAAATACAATGAAGTTTGAGCTTGTAATATGACAAAATTTGAAAATGCAAGGTACCTATAATTACCCAAGGTGCTCTTGGACTATACTATAGACGATTTGAAATATCGTTTTCTGTTTTTCTCTCTGTATTTTTCACAACAGCGCACGGGTGGCTTGTTCGGCAACCATGTCAACTATTACAACCAGAGTGATGGTCGTGGGTCCTTCCCACAGTCCTTCACTACTCAGCGTCCGTTGCACATCAGCCAGAAGGGCTCTCCTTGCGAAGGCGAAAGCCCGTCCCACGAGAAGCTGATGGGCTCGACCACCTTCACCCCTTCATCTTACTCCTCATCAGGTTCAAATGCCAACCTCAACAACGCCAATAACACTGGAATGACAGGAGTGACTCCCCAGGGCATCACCCGATTCCCAAGCCCATCCATAAGCACCGTGGACGGGCACACAGACCAGCCGCTCACACCCATCCTGCTGCCAAGATCAGCATGGTGCTTCCCTCCGAAAAGGTGAGTGTAGGACAGTCTTCATACAACATTCAACATATGAGCTGCATCTTCGTGCAAATGTTTCCCTCAAAGCTTTATTTCTTTCATACACTCACCTTGAACCTCTTCTGAAACGTATCTATAATTCCTTCCTAACAAAAATGAGTCCACTATTTTCTTCTCTTCATCAACTGCTTTCTCTCCTTCTCTCTTGTTTCTGTTGGCAAACAGGATGTTTTATGACACCCTCATGCGGTATGTTGCCAAGGGTCAGAGAGGGAATGTCTGTGGGTTCTGTTAGCTTTCTAGGTGCACAAAGGGAAAAAAATCCTATGATGCTTTACAAAATAAAATAGCTGTCAAGATGCAACGGTTGCACTTGCTGCTATCTGTGCAAATAATGTGGTAGTTGCTATAGCAAAAGCCAGGCTTTGCAATGCAGTTATGAAGTCAGCCAGAGATGGACTGTTTGGTGCAACACTCCCAAACCTCTTCCATCAAGGGCTTCCGCTGCTGCTCCTTTATTATACATCACAGCAGGTCTGGGTTAGACACAATATGCTACCCAATCTGTACAGAAATGTTTTGAGATATCCTAAAGCTTTCCTACTTGGATTATAAAATAAAACTTTAGAATATCTAAATTGTAGTTATGATATATATCACAGTATTAACACATCAAAAATAGCAATGATTTCAAATATACAGAACCAAAAGTATGTTAACTTCAGTTCACAGCACTCACAAAGCTTATTGATTCAGTTCATTTGTAATTTTATGAAAAAATAAAGATTATTAAATTTAGTCAACCAGGATCCAATTCAGTTCATTTCAATTCAATTAATATCGCTAATTTATTTAATATTATTCAAAATGAATAAACATTGCTCAGGGAGCAAAATTTGCTGAACTAAATATTATAAATATCAGAATAAGTATTGCTCCCTCTGCAATATTAATTGAATCATAGCGCTTTTTCTCTTTAAAAGATCTTGGTTGTTTAATTAACTGCTCCATGGATGATGCAAAGTGTCATCAGCATTTTCAGCACTGAATCATTTTTCCAATTGAAAGCGAATGAAGTTGAAACTGTAGTTTTTAGTGCAGAAAAATGACCCCCTCACCATCTGACATTAAATCAGATATAAACCTTTTTGTTTGAGGCCAGTTAGAATTACCCAAACTCTTTCTATTAGTCTAGTTAATAAGGACAATACCTTTGGACTCTTTTCATTGATTGGATCACATTTAAGTGAATTTGAGAGAAACCTATGGATATATGGTTTAAAACACTCCATTCCAGTCAGCTCTTGTGTAAAAGCATTAGAAAAGAAAACATAAAAAAATACAAAGAGAATTGGGAAATCCAGGTAATTCCCTGGTATTTTTTATATTAAAATAAGGGTAGCTCCAGTTATCTGCTCAAACAGTTATGTGGAATTGGAAAAAATTATAGGGATGCCTAGCTACCATAGGGATATTAGGAACTTTTAGAACTGCCATTTCTGCACTAAAGCACGCATTAAAAGCTGAAGTCAACCAATTATTGTGCTACATTTTAACAACTAATCTTCCTTATTGATTTATTTCATTCAAATTCAATCAATATTGACAGTTAAATTAATATTATTCAAATTAAATAAATATTGCACAGGGGGTGTTATTTTCACTCTATTATTATGTCAAGCTGTGATAATCTGATTGGAGTCAATCGAAATGTTTGAGTTGGATGGGACTTTTTCTTAATTTTAAAGTGTATATATATATGAATCGATGAATGAATACATTCAGAAAACACTTACACATGAAATACTTTATAAATATTAAATTACTTAAAAAAAGGTTTATGATATGCATCTCCTCAATTCTATAATTCCTTTATTAAATTTGTTTTTATCTCCTTGAGATTCTGTGTTTCATTTCAAAAACTCAGAATCTCTAAAACTCTTTGTATTAGATCTTTGCCCCAACAGGTTTAGGTTTTATCTGTATTTCTTTTTTTTTTATTAAGGTTTTACTTCAACCCTGATCTAACCCAGAGCTTGCTGTGGAGCCCTGAAATAGCTGACATTTTGTTTTGGTTTTCTTCACCAGAATGTTCTCAGAAAGTACTTTGGTTCTGCTGCATGATAAGAAAAGAAAAAAAGAAAAAAAAAAGGGAATTTCATTGTTAAAATGTATTGTCATTGGGGGTAACTTTTGTGGCTAATGGGAAATATTTGCTTTAAAGTGAACAATCTGGTGAAAGAGAAAGGGAGTGAAATTGAAATGTCAGAATGTTTCCTTAATGCTGAGTTTTGGATTATGAAACAGACATGATTGATGAGAAGACATCTTTGAAAGATTTTCCTGATCAAGAAGAAACAGTCCATTGTAATGACACAGATGTGACAGCCTTTGGCAAATTTAACTCTTTAACTTTGATGGTAATACCGATATTCTTCCAACCTAAAAAAACAAAAAACAAACATTGATTGGTACATTCTCCATTGCAGACACAAAGGATATCACAGATTTTGTTTCCAATTGTGAGAAAAGCATTAGAAAAAAAAAGGGCGTGCTGACAAATTTCAAAAATGATAACACAAATCATGTCTCACAGCCTAATTTTCAGAAAGAAATAAACACAAAATACAAATCCGAAAATATGAATCTCTGGGGTCCACAAATGGTTTTGAGACACAATAATTCAAAACCATCTTTAAACCTTTCCCTCAATGGGCCAGTTTAATGTCCAGTAAAGCAAATGCTGTCAGTATCTTAGCCCATAGAATGCATCTCCACTTCAGTTTCTCCTTTCAGTTTTCAGAGATGTCTAAATTTCAGTCTGCTATCATTTCTTGTATTCTAAGTGTTGTTTTTAGTGCTACTTACTTTTTTGCTTCGACACAACAGCTATAAATGGCAGCCGCTTCTCTGCAGGCCTCCTCTTCTCACTGTTTCATATACGAATTAGTCAAGGCACTTCAGTTTTTTGAATCCCACTCCTTTGAAGCTCATTGCTAACTGTTTTGCAAATCAGCTGCTTTTTTATGTGTTTACATATGTTTCTCAATGTGCCCCCATCGGTTATGCGTCTCTGTGTTAATTTTGTTTGTGTGTGTTTGCTTTGCTTATTTGGTCGCTGGCCCATTTATTTGTAGCTCGGACTCGAGTGACAGTCGTCTGCCAATCATCCAGAGAGGGGAGGGGTCAACAGAGGAGACATACGATGAGAGTTATGGTGACGACAGGGAGTACCAGGACGATGAGCACTCACTTTCTTCTGACATGTACTGCTAAAAAAAAAAAAAAAAAAAAAAATACCCCTCATCAGCTTGAATCTGATCAGAACACAAAACTGATTTTGTTTTTCTCTATGAATTTTTTTTAATATCTATTAGGTTGGTGTATCATGATGAAACATGTAAGCAGCTGACTCCAATGGAGGAAGCAGAAGAAGTAGAGGGACAAAGAGGAGGAGGAGGATGGCAGTCTCCAAGAAGAGTCTTCCTCTGTCCAACTACTCTGGGTGAGAACAAACAGAACTGAAGACAGAACTTCCTCCAACCAGATTCTGTATGAACACATAGACTGTAATTGGCTCTTGTGTGATTTGTGTCAGGACGGAGAGCTTCTTTCCATCTGGAGTGTCTTCGGAGACATTCTAGGCCAGATGTTTCCCAGAAGACTGCTGTACCTTTACATCTTGTACATCATCAGGTAGACTTTTGCTTTTAGGACCATTGTTCAGGCCAATAGGAAAGGTAGCTGTGTCAGCTCGGGTTTCTCGAAGCTTTAACTAGCAAACTCTTGTGGTACATCATTTGGTCCACCTTTTTAAAGATATTTTTTACAAAACACTGCCATGGTCAGATTCAAAGATTAGACTGAAAATCAATGAAAAAGAAATTAAAGCCCTTAGAACAATCGAAAGATCTTCTATAGAAGTAGTGGTTAAGGGCACGTTTTCAGATTTCAAGAAAATGTGGCGCCATGGATACAGGACAACTTGCAGATTTGGGTACTAGTACATATTACAGCTTGTATATATATATACATAGTATTTGGGGGATATTACCTTGACCGAACTTACTAGATAGGTTCGTCAAATGATATCTAGGTGGTTTTTTGAAAGTTTATTTAACCTTATTAGTTTTGTGGAACCTCTGATAAAGTATCTAGTAGACTAAAGGACAGTATTCGGGGAATTTCAGAAAGCACCTGGTAAGCACCACAAAAATGTTCTGGAAGGTACCTGTTTAGTTTCAGGATACTTCCTATTAAGTTCCAGAAATCTCCTTCTAAGTTCCAGGAAAGTACTTAGCGGAGCAGGGAATTGTGGAGTCATCATCCATCTCCATACTATTTATTTGTTCTACCCAGCCAGTGAACCAGGTGAGTCAACCTGTACAATGAACTAAATTGTGCTAATTTGACTCTCTTGGTTCAGTGGCTGGACAAATCAAATACATTGTAAAGAGCTGGCGTGATCTCTCGCCCATTCACAGCTGGAGATAGGCACCAGCACCCCTCGCGAACCCACTTGACATAAGCGTGTAAGAAAATGGATGGATGGATGAGCTGGCGTGATGACTCCACAATTCCGATCACTATAGAAAACATCTGACAAATCGGGTAGATAGGTCCAGATATTATGTGGTAAGCTCCATGAAAGTTCCAATACAGTACTTTGTAAAAGTTACTAGTAAGGTAATTACAGAAAAAAAGTTTGGCAACTCTCATGAAACTACCTTTTATGTTCCTGCAAAGCATATTGTATGTTCAACAATTTCTGAAAAATACCAGGGAAATATTTTTCTAGAACTTTCCCCACAGGTTCTAAAGAAACTCAGGAAAGTGCCTTACAGTATAGGTTTCAAAAGAGTCAAATTTTATCTTTCAAGGGAATGCAAGCATTACTGTGTGTATCACTGCAATTTAAACAATGCATATGTGTTATAATTGCCTTTCTGCTCATCCTTTCTTTTCTCTTTTCTAGGCTCTGGCAGTGGCAGGGTTGAGTCCTCTTTTGAGAAGGAGTCACTCACCTACTCTCTTCAGCCGGCTGTGTTCCACACCTCCAACCAGCCCCACAGGTAGCTATCAAAGGTCATCCAGCTGTAAAAAATTGAATACACAGACATTTACCAAAGGGAAATACTTATTTGAAACCAGAATTTGAATAGGTTGGGCTTTTTTTAACTGTTCAGTAATAACTCTTTGTACTTGTTCTTGGTGTGATTTTCCCCTTGTTTTTGTTTTTGTAGCCCAAAGCAGTGATGCCTCTTACCAGCAGGTTCCCTCTCTGAGGCTAGAGGGGTCTAACTCTCATGAAAAGCTAAATACCAGCTTGCCTTCTGTCAATTGTGGGCCCTGGTGAGACCTTTGCATAGATAACAGTGATATGTCGCAAACACTCATAAGTTATTTGTTTAATCAGACAAATGCATGCGTTGCATCTAGGTACAGTGACAGTAATGGGAATAGTCCTGTGGCCAGTCCTAGCCCCACGCCGGGGTCAAGTCAACGAGCACGGCGGCCGGTGTCACTTACTGTGCCATCGCTTTTGGGGAAGGACCCGAGCTCGCTCTCTCATGGCAGTGCAGGCAGCCTGGTGGAAGCGGTAAGTCTTTCTTCTGCATCTATTAGAAAACACATTAAAAGAAAATAGTATTGAGAAAGTTCTAAAATCCCTAGATGTGACAAATAAACACAGTGATAGTAAATAATTTTTAAATAAATATTGTTCATGGTTTTTTCAAACAAACATCTGAAAAGTGTGAAAAGTATTTCTATTCATTATCCTTTTGTTTGATACCCTTGAAAACCTGTTCAAACTATAGTCTTCACACTTATTTATAATAGAAAAACTTTAAAAAATCAGCTGTTTTTGAAGATCTCAGAGGTTTGTTAAACATTAATAAACAAACAGCATCATGCAGACAAAGGTGCACCAGAGGGGTTTATTGTTCCTGCTATGAAGAGGTTTGAAGCAGCAAGTTAGGATATAGAAAAATAACAAGTTTTACCAAGTATTATGATCTATAATGAACCCAACACATCTAATTTCAACAGAAGAGTTGGAAAGAAGGTCAACAAAAGCAATTTGTTACAAAATGTACAACACATTGAAATGTTTGTCTCCCCCTGAAACAGGGAAGATGTTCAAACGTAATTTTAAGGTTAAACCCATACCTTTCTGTAAATTAAGTCATTTGTAATCTCCCACTAATGTCAACTAGTATAGGATGTTAGTTCAAAGGAATATTTTACCGAAAATAATTTTTTATAAGACATTTCACAAATATAATCTCTGTGTTTTATTTATTTTTTTTACTATATATCTTACCGTTAAGGTTAAGCTACACCTTTAAACTAAATTATAACTTATATTTTCAGGTGTGCCATTTATAAAATAAAGATTTTTTTTTTTTTTTTTTTGGTGCACGAAATAAAATGAGTTTAGAATTTACTAATGGCTTGGGTTGCAGGTTGTGAGCAAACATAATAAAACATATCATTTGATGAGTAAAAAAGTTAAAGCATTATTATGTTTAGGGGTTGGTGTCAAGACTCACACATACTCCCAAAATTAGTTTGGATGGCGAATGAATCCGTCTGTCACATTATGTTGCCATAGCTCCCAAATTTCGCTCCATTCATAACCAATTTGGCTTGCGGGATTAATTACATTTTAAATCGGTAATTTCTTTTTTGGCTTGAATATATTAGAAGTTACAAACAGCAAAATGAAAAGAATAACAATGAGTCAGAAATGTTTTATTCTAACCAACAAAAAGAAAACATTTTTTTGCTAAAAATCATACTTTGGCCCAAAAGACACTTTTGCAAGATTTTAAATTTGTTCTACTCCGACTCACGCAGTCTTAGTTTTAGGTTTTTTTTAAGAGGAATAGCCAAAAAAAAACTTAATTCCTTAAAGCTTTACAGTGTTTATGACTCAGAGGAGCTGAAGATAAGTCTATGCTATTTATTCTTGTCCTTCTATTACATAAATGTTCAAAGCCTAGCGTTTGCTTATTGCATACAATCTATTTTAAATATGTAGGCCTACCTGTAGCCGTAAAGTGAACGGGATTTCCAAGGGCTATGAAGACTTTAGCAAGGTACTATTCATCAAGTCCACAGTGAAACAATAACTCATCTCTTTCCTATTTCCTTTCAAAGGTTCTTATATCAGAAGGTTTGGGTCATTTTGCCCAGGACCCTTCCTTCATTGAGGCAACCAAAGCCGAGTTGGCTGATGCCTGCGACATGACCATTGAGGAGATGGAGCATGCAGCCAGCAACATTATCAACGGCAACACAGCCACAAACCCCGCATCCAGCACCACTCCCACCTCTCAGCACAGCCCCAATGGCAGCCTGCCCTGCCACAATGCAGCAGCAGCAGCTGTACCGCACAGGGACCGAGTCGTCAGTTTGAGTCCGGGTGACGCCGGGGCAGAGGCCGGAGGGGTCAGAGGCTATATCCATGGTCCATCCTCTATAGAGGAGCGACAGGAACTGCTAGCTAGTGGGGGAGGGCGAGAAGAGGAGGAGGAGGAAACAAATGTGAGAGAAGAGCGATCCCACAGAAGTTCAGCTGTGGTTGCAGGAACGCAACAGAACAACAGCAGACTTTTGGAGGATGACGATTTGGAGTGCGTTACGAGCTTGTAGGGGCCACCTCAGCAGCGTTGATCAGCAAACTGGCCCCTCTGGTGCCACCAGAGGCTGAGGTTTGCCAGTGCTGGCGAACAGTATGGCGGCTGGTTGGTTCACTCTGTCACTCTGGACAATGGCGGCCAGCGATGCACCTTTAACACAAGAAGACTTTTCGGGTTTAACTGAGCTAGTATGTGCGTCTGCAGTAAAGTATACCAGACAATATACTATCCGAGTGTGTGCTTCTGTGTGTCTGTGTGTGTGTTTTCTCTATTTGTACCCGTATGTGTGCGTTCACCACACGTGTCAGAGTGTGGCTCTAAAGTGCCTCACAGTTTTATCATGTCCTCAACGTGGGATGAGCAGGAAAATGGAGACAAGCAAAAAAAAACGACAAAGGACAGACTAAATGGAATAAAGATCAAACAAAGAAGCAGGAAGTACTTTTGTGGACTTGCTGCCAGTAAGATCGTATGTTAATGTTTTCATTTCCTATGCCTAATTTAGTGGTGTGTGTTATTGTTGTTTGACTGGCCGCCATAATGCCAGGTAGGGACCAGAGACCAGCTCGTGGGAGGTCACTTGAGGATTACCATCTGACCACCGCTCACCTGTGGTCAACGGTCGATTCCTTTGTTCAACAAAGATGAAGCGCTGTATTGTGTAAAATTGGGATGAGAGTTCCCTTAAATCTCATTTATCCTCCTCTTCCAAAGCTATGGGAACCTGTAGTCCTGCCAGCCTGGGAGTGGATTTAGAATGAAGTGTCGACCACAGCCAGGTGTGGAAGGAAGGATTGGAGAGATGAATCAACAGCCAGAAGAGGGCTGTTACAGAAAGGGGGAAACTTCCTGGCCAACAGGGAGCTAGCAGGCTCTTTCTTCTCAGCTGGTTAGTAAGACTTCAGCTTGAGACAAACTCGCCTCGAGATAGTTCCACCCCATCTGCCCTTTTCTTTGTTTGGCTGCCCCAAACGAGAAACAAAAAGAGTGGCAGGTGGTTAAGCAGATACAGAAAGACCCCCCTTTTCTGCCTCATACCTCAGAGTTCCTCACTATTTCTCTATCCTTCCTCCCTCTCCTTTGCTACCTTCTTACCATTCTCCTCTTTGTGCTGGATTTCTTTGCTTTATTCAGCACTCAAGGAGCTGTATGCTTGTCATGCGGGGCCAACAAAATCGAAGGGTAGAGGAGAGAACCGAAGTGACCGATTGCAAAGAAAAACAAAAAAAAGACTCTGGTCATGGGGGATCCACAGCAGATCTGCCGTCAATCAACCTCACTTCCTTCTCCGGGGCACCCCTCTTCCTGTCAGCTTGGAATCCTGTCGGATTTGCTGCCACACACTCTTTCTACAGACCGCGCCCACTATGTATTAAACAGTTCAATATTGTGCAAAACTGGCTAGCCATGACAATATTTTGTTTTATATTCATGACGTTATTGTTTTAATTTATCTTTGATTTGTTTGCACAATCGGGGTGCTGGTCTTATAAATGTATTTTTGCTCGGTTTATTTTTAGGAAAAATTTTTTAGAGGTTTTAAGTATCGAAGCAGGGCGTAGTGTGCGGGCGAGTGTGTAACTATAATTGTGCGTTGATATGAGTGTCTGCGTTTTAGTACAACCTATGAGTGTGTGAGGTAGTGCGTGTGTTGGAGGGTCTTTCTCTCTATCTGTATGCACCTTTTACAGATTCTATCTATTTATTTATTTATTTTTTCCAGAAGAGAAAGTCAGTGGGAATGTGTGCGTGCGCATGTCTGTGTCTGCGTGTGTTCTTGTGTACTATAAAAAGCAGATTTTAAGCCTATACAGTAAATTAAGGTAGCATTACAAATATGTTATGTGTGCAAGAGAGGGTGTCTGTGTAGTAATGGGCCTCCTTAACACAGGGTTACCATGGACAGGCATACTTCCAAAGCTTTGTGGTTACTTTAGGATGTTTTATACTTTTCTCAGCCAAATGTCAAAGTCACTCTGATTATAAATTCTAGCCAATGCATAACTTTTCTTTACAGCCCCATTTGGACATTGATAGGATTGAGGTCCGCTCCCAGATCAAACTAAGGAATCAATGTGTATTGTTTTGCATTTTTTCAAAAGAAATGCTTTTGCGTAGGGATGTCCTGAACCGGAATATTTGCCTCCAATAAACAAAACCATTTAAAAACAAAATCGAATACAGAGTTGCAACCCAATACATCATCTAGATTGATATATGCCTGACATTTCTGTAATTTTAAACTGGCACTTTGTGAAAAAGTGAATGACATAATTTTAACTATGATTAATTGCATTTCTTTTCAGTTTATGCTCCTCAGCCACACTTATACAGCACTGCTTTCAGACCTTTAGAATCTGTAGGATTTGTTTAACTAGGATAATACATTAAAAAGTGTAAAATTAATCCACAAGAGTAAAGAAATAGAGTGACATCTATCAACCATAAAGAGGGTTTAGAAAGTCATTGTCAGAGTCCAACAGATCACCAGGGACACCATTATCCACAAATGAGGAAAACCCAGATTAGTAATTAACTTTCCCAGGAGAGGAAGGAGAAACAAAACGGCATCTTGTAATTACTCAGGAAATCTTTTTTTATCGATATTAAAAAAATAGTTGGTTCTCTGAAATATTTATTAGTGGCCAAAATGCAAAAGCAGGACAAATCTGTAAGGAGATAAACCCTCCCTTCCCTGTACCTATTTATAGCAGGGAGAATACTTTGTCAGTTCCCCGTAAGATTCTGTATTTTAGGTGATTTGTGGATTTAATTTTCCAATGACACAATGTTTGCAGTGTCTGTTTTTCTAAACAGCGGCAGAAATGTTGTCCTTTCACCAGTTTACAGTCATTAATAAGCTCACATTTCTTACCTTTTCATGCAGAGCATTATGCTGATGCTAAGAGGTTTTACACTCTTTTTCGTTAAAACTTGTTTTTAATGAGGCTTGTAGGGTATTGCAAAACAGCTCCAGTTAATTGTCTTTGGAATAAACTTAAGAAACATGTTTTTCTCTTGATTCATAAACTTTTAAATTTCTTTATAACCTCTCATTTCTACCATAGTTTTTACAGTATCTAGAATATAGCCATGGGTACTAAAATAAGCATTGTTTATTTTAAAACAGGCTGTGCAAAAGGAATACAGTAAAAGGACTGGTCTCAGGAATGGAGATTAGTGTTCGGACTCGGGACATCCCTAATTATAACAGTTGTCCTTATTCACCATTTCTTAATAAGAGAAATGTTAAAATGTATTACTGCCACAATGACACATCCATGAATAATTAGGGATGATGTCAAGTTTCTGTAAGACTTCTCTATTGAACCTCTGTGTTCTAGACTCATTTCACAATATATATATAAATATAGATTTTCTGTGTAATTCCAACCACTGAGAGTCGGCAAGAGTCATCATGTATGATTGTTGTTCAGGTCAGATTTGTGAGCTTGAACAGATAACTGCTGTGAGATTATTTTGTTCTCTCTCTTTAATAAAAAATAGGTAACAGAGTCAGTATTTTATACTAAATTCACATTCATTACTTAATTGTAATGTGAATTCACTTGAGAAAAAGTCATAGCAGGTTGTACTTTGAGCTGCAGCTCCTTCAAGAATTTTTCTAACTAAATTTAGAAAAACATTGGATTATTGTAATTGTAATGCAGATAACTATAAAAACAATACTAATATTTAGCAGATATATAAAAGCATTCCCATTTTTATTTACAACAGCTACAGCTGAACCAAAGTCATCCACAAGCCTTTGTAAAAGTATTACTGACAGCAGCAGTTTTAAGTTAATTCTATGTTGCAAAAGCTCCTGCTGTCCTTTGGCCCTTTTATATTAATACAATTGACATCATTTTTTTTACAACTCACACAGAAATAGCTTCATGTATTAAGATATGCCCAAAATGTTATTTTTTCTTGGATTTTCCATCGCTGTTGAGCTCTTCAAATGAAGCAAAGCAGGTTTGTGGCAGCGTACAGTATGCATAAACACACTGCCATACACTGCATCCTGTGCCAGTAAGACTTCTGTCATTATTATGCAATCTAAATGTGAATGTTGAGTGTGCTGAAAGTTTCCATGCTGTTGTTTTATTTGTGATTTTTTGACCATATTTTAACTCCCGAAAAAGCCTGTGTTCTCACTTTCCCAAATTTCTCCAGGAGCCTGTGGCTTTATTAAGAGATTCTTTGAATTTTTTCAGTTAATCTGAACACTTAAAATTTTGCAACCCAAACTTAAAGGCAATTTATTTGTCCTTTCCTCATTTCTAATTTAAGCTATTATAGCTGAATGTCTAAAAGATGGAGAGATAGAGTTGAAAGACGTTAGTTTGAACCAACAGCAGTATTTGAATACAGAAAGAGGAAGCACTGTTGTTCTCCATGTTTTTATTTCTATTGTTTGTTTGTTTTTTGGACGAGCTTTAAAGAGGCTAATTTTAAATATTCACACATATGAATGGACAGATTTGGGGACTGTCTCTATGATAGATGTTATATACACTGTAATGTATTTATGCTGAAAATGTTCACTTCTTTCATCCCAACATATGCACAAAGCAGCCTCTGTATATTAGAAGTGCCCCACCAGGCCTGCTTTGTGTCTTTACTTTGCCGGTGTGAGAGATTCAAAGCCTTGTGGCGTCCCTGTGTGAAGTGAAGCAGCATTTTCGTAAGCATGACCATCGAGGTGTTATGTTGCAGTATTACGATATGAGCAGGTGGAAACCTGCTACCCACAAGATATGCAAAAACAATGCAATAACTATGACTGTGTACAAGGTTACTTAAGTAAACGTGTGTGACAGTCTACAAAAAAAAATATGAAGAAAATCTTCATCAAGATGTATCATTTTTCCTTAACTTAATGGTTTTCGCATCAGAAAAAAAAAAACCTAACATACTTGAAATCAGGTTCGTTTCAGTGCAGTCTAGGTAAGTTGTTTTTTCCTGTCTTTTTACGCACTAGGGTTTTGGTTGAGGCAGTGAACTGAATGAAACCAGTGTTTTTCCTGTTGGTGAATAAGAAAATAGTTTCTCAGAGTTGAGAAATGAAGAAAAAAAATTGTCCTTGAAAAAGCAGCTGACTTCATGTTCCTGCCTATTTGTGGCGCCTTCCATGTGTTGTGCTTTTTGCTTTATAGGTGAGTTTCTGAATGGGTTAAGCTCTGTGCTTTAGCTTAATCAGCACTGAATGAAGTTTGCATGTCGATTAGTTGTTTCATACTCATTAAGTATCATATCATCTTTACAAATAGTAGCTTTTTCTACCTATAGTCCACATAATAGTAATTAATGTCAGTATTGGAATTTAAAGCGGCAGAGGGATATAAGGTTGATGATTTTGCATATCTTGTGTCTTATGGGCTTGTTTTATTCTTTCTGACGCTCAAGCCTGAGATACATACAGATGTTTAAAC